GTCAAGGGGGTTCAATTAAGATGTTCAAAGTAATTTCCTCGGTTCTTAATACACCTCTCCTGGCGTTGAACCAACTGGTGGAACAAGTGCCTAAATCCATCTGGGAAACGTTTTTTCAGGGCATTTTGCACGGCATTGTGGAGGTCTGTAAAGTTCGCATATCTGAATCCTCTCAGCTCATCTTTCATCGGTCCAAACACACCAAAATCACAGATCGCAACATCTGGTGAATAGGGAGCATGGGGTAGTTGTTCCATCTGAAGGTCATTAGATACAGTGCTTTTGACAATCGAAGATGTGTGGGACGGGGCATTGTCGTGATGATTAAGTAATGACGACAGCTCTGTTTCAGGGCGTTTTCGTGCAATAGCCCGCTTAAGATGACGTTTCAATACCTGAAAAAAGAAGTGATTTTTAGGGCACCATTCCCTCACTAGATGTATTTAAACTACATGTACATTCAAGCTGAACTACCTAGACTAGAGTGAACATAAATTCTCTGGCAAGACATGATCCTGAAGGGCATCAATAGCCACACACTAACTTACCATAGCATAATAGTCTTTGTTTATGGTTTGTCCTTCAGCGACTGCATGCACCAGGAGTACCCCGTAGATATCCAGGAAAATGATGAACATAACCTTGCCATCTCTACGATTGAGTTTAGCAATGGTCGTCATAGGGGTAGGGGAGTCCTTTGTTCTCCATCCACTTGTGACCCTCTTGCCTTCTGGCTCATAATATGAAACATAAACTTCATCAGCAGTAATAATGCGCTCCAAGAAAGCCTCCCCCTCTGCTTGGTATCGTCTGAGGAAGTCTTGTGCAACATCGACCCGGCGCTGCTTCTGGTCCATGGTTAGATCTTTTGGCACCCATTTAGAACACACAAGCTTCATATGGAGCTTCTCTTTCAGTATGTACTGTGTCCTTCCATAGCTGAAGTTTACTTTTTCACTTAACTCCCTGATTGTTATTCGCCTGTCTTCATCAAGGACAGTCTTGAGCTTCATTATATTTGTGGACTTTGTAACAGATAGTGGCCTTCCTGACCTTGCTTCATCTTTTACACTGGTTCTCCCACTTTGGAATTTGCCATACCATCTGTAAATAGTTTTAGTGGATATCCTGCCTGGAAAGGCTACCAACATCTCCTTGAGTGTTTCTTGTTTACTTTTGCCACCAAGCACGCAAAATCGTATGGCACTGCGCATCTGTATTGACATTTCCTCATTTTCTTCTAAATTTTTAGCATCTTTTGGAGCGGCCATTTTGGCAGGGTACATTGAGGTTGTGGAATTATGATGTAATAGTAATATTATGTAATTTGTCCTAAATTATGATGTCATATTAAATTGTTACCATAGTGATGGTTATAAAAACAACAAAATCCTCATTGAAATCCAATTTGGTTGAAACATAAGATTGTTGCTTGATGTTAAAAAAATTTATTTACGTTAAAAATACTTGCCCCGCCTACCAAAAACACGAGTTACCATGGTAACCATAATTTTGGCCCAATAGGTGGAAAGTGCATTTAACTTCTTACACTAATTGCTGAATTCATATTACATGTTCTGTGAAAATGTCAAATAAAAATTCACAAAACTTGATTTTAGAGGAAAATTCTCAGAACTTATTGATCGACCTGGTATTGGACCTTCAAGTTTAACAAAAATAAAAAACAGCACTTAATTCCAAGCACTCTACTGGCGGATCCAGATTCTAACAAGGAGGGGAGGGGGGTTGGGCCCCTAAATCCAAAATAGTCTGTCTGTCCGTCCGTCCGTCCGTCTATCCGTCAACAATAGTGGCAAGGTTTTAAACTTCTGTCGATAGGATTCCCATTTTGAGTTATTTTTGTTCAAAACCAATATAGAACCCCCCCATGACTCCTAATTCAAAAGATCGCCTATTTTTAAAATCGCCGCCGTTTTTGAGTACAGTAGTTGTATGCCATAATTTTATTTTAAAAAATCGGCAAAAATATATCCGTCATTTTTATTTAAACCATTTTAGTTGCATTGATTTGTCCATTTATCTCTCAGTCAGTCAACAATAGAAGCACGTTTTAAAATCTGGGTCAATAAGATTCCTGTTTTAACTTATTTTGGTTCCTCATTAATACAGAAGTCCCTCCTGTTAGGTTCAAAATCTTGCCTATTTTTAAAGTGGCTGCCATTTTATTTACGGAAAATTCACTTTTTGTCAATTCAGTAGCTTTATTACTGATTTCAGTTATCCTGCATTATGAAAACACATGTCACTGTAAAGAGTAGTTTAATCGGATAATTTTGTACAAGAATTGGCAAAAATTTATATCTGCTTTTGTATTGTCAGCCATTTTAGCAATCATTCATTTTTTTCTTTCTGAGCAACACCATGTGAGCCCACTACCCACGGTGCTATTTTTACAGAGTGATTTCAATAATTGGTTTAGGAGAAAAACAATTTTGAATTCAGTTTGCAATATCCATACCAATGCTTTGAGGCCAACATTTTGACAATTTGGCCTAAAAAGGTCCAAAAGGCCAAAGTGATGCCCAAAAAGAACACTAATTAAAGCCCTACAAAATGTTTTGGCCCAAATTATGACAAGACTTAACGTTAAATGATGGGCAAAACAAGCACATTTTGTAATACTTTTGTCTCATTGGATTGGTGAATTAGCGGTCAATAGCTTGTCCGTATCCTACATGTGCACCATGTGACAAAATATCATTAGCAGCTTTTTGCGTTACTGGCATGCATCTAAGTGTGTAACTTTACTACACTTGTGATTGTGGAATTGTGACAGAACTACACTTGTGAATTATGGGATATACAAGGGGCATTTGAAAGTTCATTTTTGTTGCTCCAGGAATGATAAAAAAGACAAAATTTGCAGGTTCTATAGTTTGAATATTTATTTTTACACTGTCAAAATTATAACATGTAATATATACCCACAGTTTTACATCCATTTGAAATATACTCGTATCGATAATGCCTTCAAGTTTACAGAAAAACAGGGCAGAAGGACGTTTTTTCAATGTCCATGAAAGTGACATTTTGACTTCCTTGACAAGGATAGCAAAAATACAATGTTGGTGATGTGAAAATAGAGAGTTTAGTTACCAGTTCAGATGTTGACAATTTTTCTGAAAATATTTATTCTGGCGTTTGGAGAAAATATGGTGAAATGAAAACTTCAAACGGGGCATCGGGCGATATTTACAGAAGCAGATGGACATTATTGAGCTAGAAGGAAAGGTATGGAGATGTCAACAATTATATCACGTATACATGTTATTACCATGGTATCAAGTGGGAAATTGAGTTCATCCAAATACCAAACCAGTTCAGACAGCTCGAAAGTGGCCATCTGTTAATTAGCCCAAATCAGCCACCTGGTGGTGAAACTGGTAACTACCTACTCGCATCTGGGTAATTGATTAGTTTCGTAGTAGAATACCATTTAATTTTGCTAAATGTCTTATTTTGTTAATTGCGTGAAATTTATAGTAAAAATGCCTTTAATTACTTTAAATTGGTGAATTAGCGGCCAACGGTTTCCTCTGCACCACATCTGTCCATCATACATGTATGGTAGATACCTTTTAGAACCTAAATACTTTTTAGGTTTTCTTGGGGAGCTAAGTAAGCACTTGATGAAGTAGTGGCAATGGAGAGGCACATTCACACAGTCAGATGTACAGTTTAGTGTATACTAGGCACATAGGGATAGGGTCCTTTATTTTTGTAGATACCAGCAAAATGCAATAACTGTCAACATCGAACGCTATATTGTGATTCTCAGGAAGTTCTGGGGGAGGGCTTTAGGTAAACTCAAAGGGATTGATAAGTAGCAACAGTTTTTCTAACACAGGAGAGCAATGTCCCATACAGCCAATGATGCACTAGAATGGCGTTGGGACCACTTCAATGACCACATTATCGGCAGGATGACAGATAATGAATAGGCACCCCATAGCCCAGATATAGCCCCATTTAACGTTTACCATTGGGGTACCCCAAATATAGAGTATAGGAGAATAACAGAAGAACAACATTAGATCTCAAAAGTGAGATCACATGTGTCATTTAGGCCATACTCGATGAGAAATACAGTTACATCTTTGACAACTTTGGAAAATGTGTGCAGGTTTGCCGATGATTGATGTTTGCCTACTGGGGCATGTTGTTTAAAATACTTTAATATTAAGTCTATCAGTCTGATGTTCATGAAATACAATAGTGTAGTCTAGTACAAATTGAATGATGTACACGTATGTCAAATATCAAGAGGAAATTCTTTAAAATGAACAAAGATATGACCACCCTGTATATAGGAACGTTGCTTCAAACTTGAATATTATCAGTTTGAGTGTGCGTATATCTATTCATTTATGCACAGCTACACAGTACACAGGTGTATTGTATGGGGACATGTCATACCTGTTTATGTTCCGTTGACATGTTAAGCAATACTATGAATGAATAATAAAGATGCCTTGCTTTTGTGAAAAAAATGTGTTTGGTGCTGTTTATCTGGAGTCGGTCTTTGATTTATACTCTTGTCACCAACTTTTTTTTATCTGGAATGGTTCAGGCAAGGACTTTTACGCGAACAAATGATTTTCTTTAAAAATCCAGACCTGAGACCTTAACACGAAATAGGTAAAAATTATCATATTCAATATTTTTTATATTTCTTCTCCTTAGTTGAAAATATCATCAGAGAACAATTGTTCCCAAATGACTATTTTAAAGAGACAAAAATACGCCAGAGCCAAGAGTTGGATTAGTACCCAGGGTACTGAACATAAGTAGCGATGATTTACTTTTATTAAGGAGAATCTTTTTAAGAGAACTACAAAAATCACAAACGCTTGATTCTAATATGAAGTTCGCCTTAAAGATCAAAGCTAAGGTCGATCTGCATCGTTAAGGAGAGGTTAAAAAGAACGAATAATCTCATTTATGATTAATTGAGAGAAACGACTGAATATACACAAGTTAAGATATCAAACCCGTGAGTCAGTGGAAGCACATGCTCGTAAACTCATGATATTATAACAACTATGTTCTTTTTTACAATCACGCGAGTACTTTGGATTGGACTCACTTTACTGAGCCTTTCAGAGTTAATAACATTTAAAGTTGGAGCTACACCAACTGATGCCGATTTCAAGCGACTTTCGAAAACCGTTAATAAGCTTTCAAAAATTGTTAGTGAACAGAACCGAGATATAGAAGACCAAGCTAAGGAATTAGCTGTCTTGGAAAGAAGTGTCATCAAACTGGAACTTCTAAATGAACAGTTGGAAGAAAAATATGAGCAGTTGGAAGGAAAATGTGAACAGTTGGAAGAGAAATGTGATGAAAAGTGTAAGGGAATCCGTGGGAAGCGTGGATTTCCAGGGCCAAAGGGTGCTGAAGGTAAAACAGGGCCAATTGGAGTTCCTGGGTTAAATGGTACGAAAGGCGATAGAGGATCAAACGGTTTCCCTGGTAATAAAGGTGATCGTGGACAAATTGGTCATGTTGGTCCATCTGGTGTAAAGGGAGATCCGGGGCCAACTGGTGCAACTGGATTAAATGGTAAGGATGGTGGTAGAGGACTGAATGGTCTTCCTGGTGCGAAAGGTGACAAGGGCGATCGAGGGCCAAATGGTGCTCCTGGATTAAATGGTAAGGACGGTGGTAGAGGACTGAATGGTCTTCCTGGTGCGAAAGGTGACAAAGGCGATCGAGGGCCAACTGGTGCTTCTGGGTTACATGGTAAGGACGGCGAAAGAGGACCAAATGGTCTTCCTGGCGCAAAAGGTGACAAGGGCGATCGAGGGCCAAATGGTGCTCCTGGGTTGAATGGTAAGGACGGCGAAAGAGGACCAAATGGTCTTCCTGGCGCAAAAGGTGACAAGGGTGATCGAGGGCCAAATGGTGCTTCTGGATTAAATGGTAAGGACGGCAAAAGAGGACAAAATGGTCTTCCTGGCGCAAAAGGTTACAAGGGCGATCGAGGGCCAAATGGTGCTTCTGGGTTGAATGGTAAGGACGGCGAAAGAGGACCAAATGGTCTTCCCGGTTCAAAAGGTGACAAAGGTGCAAAAGGTGTTAAGGGTGATATAGGGCCAAAGGGTGGAGTTATCAAAGGCGCACAAGGGCCACCTGGGCCTCCTGGACCAAAAGGAGGAAAGGGTGATCGAGGTTTTAAAGGCCAAAAGGGTGAACCGGGAAATATTGCAGACAGTAAGTATATATTTAACACAAGGAGTCCCACCAGTAATTTTTATGCAAATCAATTCCAGAGACGTTTTACTGAATTTAGGAACCGACTAAGTCAATGTTATTGCTAGAAAAGTCGATTCCACCATGAATGCTAGACAGACGAAAACCATCGTTCTTTTTAATGCAAGATTGTCTTTCATTGAGCGCTGTTCTTTTTAAAGAAAATGAAAATGTATGACGCAAACTATAATGTAGCTCAGTAGCATACAAGTGCCATATATTTTTTCGTTAACACTGTAGACTTCTGGAACGATTTGTATTGAAGGATATCTTTGCCATTTTAAGATATTACTCCCTCATATTTCACACATTTGTAAATTATTCAATTTCCTACCACTCTACCATATTTCATGACCATCAGACTGATAGTCACAATTTTACAGCACTTGAACAACATGCTTCAGGTTTGGCCATCATCGCGCTGGAGGCAAACCTGCACAGCTGTCAATGATTCAAGTGCATTCCTCAGCAGGTATGACCTGAATGATACAGATAATCTCGCTTTTGAGGTCTGCCATTGTCCTAGGGTCATCATTATACACTCTATCTTTGCCATATCCCCATAGGTAGGGGTATTTTGGACAACATGTGCAGGTTGGTCTTCAGCGCAGTAGTGGCCACTGGGAATGTTCTTTAAAGTGCTGTAAGACGTTGATTAGAACTCAGATGGTCATGAAATATGGTAGGCTGGTAGGAAATTGAGTGATGTACAAATGTGCATAGTTATTTCTTAAAATAATAAAGATATTAGGAAAATGGTGTAAGGGTTTCCAGTTTTTTGACCACCCTGTATATTACTCAACAGTTTGTCAATGGACGCAATGGTCGGCGTGGAGTAGTGGTAAATGTTCTAAGCCATGTGGAACGGGGACACGTCTCAATGTACGAACTAGAAAATATACACATTGTGTGTCTGGAACATCGACAGAAACCAGGAGCGAACCATGTAACACGGTACTTTGTTGTAAGTAACGATATATTCTTGTTCTTGATACAGAAACTTCATCGCTACACATTTATTCACGTCCTCCGTCAATGGACTTCAGATGATATTGTAGTACTCAGCCATCAACCATGTTGAGCTTTATATGCCAACTCTAACATAATTCCGATACAAAATGTTATCACTTCATATTTTGACTCGTTAAAAGTAGTCAGTGAATGAATGACACAGCTAGCTTTCAAATAAATGAGCGAATTGATTTGACTCCCGTGCGAAAAACGAGTCAGAAAAATGTTTTCTTCTTATAAGGGAGCAGATGCAATTAACATTGCCAGGTTTCAAGCCTTTCTTTTTTGATTCACCATTTGATTTGATCATTTACAAAACGAAGGTTTGTCTACTTTCTGGTGGTGGACGTTGCAAGTTATTCCATTTTTATTCGAGTGTATCTTAGAATAAGGATAACTAGATTTTGGAAATTGAACGAGTTCAATTTCAGACTCCAGATCTAGACTTTTTTTAGCCGAGTCATCCAGAATAAGCCAAGTCATCCAAAATAAGCTAAGTCATCCAGCAAAAGATGGATGGATGGATGGATGGATGAAAAAGGAAGGAAGGATAGGATAGAATAGGATGGAACGATAGGATAGAATAGGAAAGAAGGATAGAATAGAATAGGAAGAAGTGACAGAATAGGAAGGATAGGAAGGAGAGGATACGAAGCAAGGGTAGATAGGAAGGATAGGATAGGATCAGAAAGGAAGGATGGATGCATTTTTCAATATTTTCTTCTCTACTCTTGACTTTCTATCAGGATACCATCAGATTGATTTTTTTTTGAAGTTGGATCGAAATTTGATTTGCAGATTCGGATTCCTGACAAAATTCTACCCCTAATTCATAATTCATACATTAAATTTGGCGAATTTTTATTTTGACCTACTTTTCGGACATGCCATAACTTCGGAACCGGAAGTCGAATCAAAATTTGCAGAGTCGGATTTCTGAGAAAATTCTATTCTTAATTCATAACTCAAACGTTAAATTTGGAGAACTTTTTATTTTGACCTACTTTTCGGAAACCGTATCTCAAAAGTGGGTCAAAATACTTTCTGACGGCAAAAGGCTAACGATATAAGCACACTCTTGGCTACATGTATACACAATTTCGAGGAATATAATTAAAGTGTAGTGTCAGAATTGCAAAAATAAGGATAAACTATGAATTTGACCTAGATTTTGACCTAGGGATTTTGGTGTCCAAATTTTGAAGTTAGGTAGCCTTCGAGGTTCCCTTCTTTCATAGGCTTTCATTATTTTAAGCTGTACTTAGTCTATATCTCGTATTTTACACTTCAAAAAAATATTTTTTCCCATTGACATAACATGGGGCACCAAATTTAGCGATTTTTGAGCTTTCAAAATGTCATAACTTCCGAACTGGTAGTCGGATCGAAATTTGGTTTGCAGATTCGGATTCCTGAGAAAATTCTATACTAAGTTCATAACTCACACATTAAATTAAGAGAATTTTTTATTTTGACCTACATTTCGGACACCATATCTCAAAAGTGGGGCAAAATACTTTCTGACGGCAAAAGGCTAACACTATTAGCGCACTCTTGGCTACATGTATACAAAATTTCGAAGAATATAATTAATCCGTAGTGTCAGAATAGCAAAAATAAAGAAAAACTTGACCTAGATTTTGACCTAGGCATTTTGGTGTCCAAATTTTGAAGCTAGATGGCTTTTGATGTCCCCTTCTTTTAAAAACTTTCATTATATTTAGCTGAACTCAGTCTATATTTCGTATTTTTCACTTCAAAAAAATCTTTTTTCCCATTGACTTAACATGGGCACCAAATTTAGCGATTTTTGAGCTTTCAAAACGCCATAACTTCCGAACCGGAAGTCTGATCCGAAATTGGTTTTCAGATTCGGAATCCTGAGAAAATATCCTATAAGACCTTTATCCTAGACATTTGATTCGGAGAACCTTTTTTTGGACCTCGTTTTCGGACACTGATATCTCGAAATCGGTTTGAGATATCAAAAAACTAAATCGACCCTAGATTTCCTACTTTTTTATGAGGAACACAATGAAAAAAAACGGATCAAAAATATTGAAGGACGACCGAGAAAATCGAAAAAAGTGACAAAGTACTGGATTTGACCTAGTTTTTGACCTTTGACCTAGATAAAAATTTGACCCAATTTCCGAGGAACTAGATACTGGACCTAAATTGACCAAATGATTGACTTTACTGAAGACCTAATGGTTATTGAGAAAACTGGTTTAGAAAAAGAAGAAGAAGAAGAAGAAGAAGAAAACTGACGAAAACAATAGACTCCAGATTTCATCTGGAGTCTAATAATACATATAAATAAAAAAGAATGGAATAAAAATAGAAGTACGAATAGAAGACGATATAACTAACAAACGTTCATTTTAATGGCTATCTTGACGTGGATGTAAAAAACCATTGCAAACCATCATTTCTACTAAGATTATCGAAAAATAAAAATAATATTTCAAATTTTTAGGTTCATGGACCCAATGGAGCCCTTGGCGGATTGATCATTGTGGCACTTCCACATGTACGGAGAAAAGATCACGTTCTAGAAAATTCTCTACTGTAGGGAGTTCACCTATTTGTCAGGGATCCTCAACTGAGTCTGCCAGAATAAAGTGTAAGCAGCTAAGGCCCATACATAGAATAGACGGTCCTCCTATAATTAAATATCACTGTCCAATTCCCAAACCGAAGGATCCATGAAAATAAAGTCATATAGTTTTCCAAGTGTACTTGTAATATACGATTCCGTATCAGGACACCATGGATGACCTTGATATCGACAGGCCCGTCAGCCAGTTTTCTTCAAGGGGTGCGGTTTTTACTAAACGGAGTAAATCGTTCAATTTGAGTATTGTGAGTTTTAATGACAATTTAAAGACCTACCAGACGTTATTTTTCTTTCAAGTGGTACTTGACTGTCTTACCTGGCTAGTACAGTTAGAACCATGACCACAAAATATCTGCAAAGCACTTTTTGGCTGATTTATGAAATACAATACTGAAACTAATATAAGATAATAATTATTAACTACTATTTTCCTTAATTACAATATATGCATTATATTTTGCTACAACCCAGTCATTCGTTTGCCAAAAAACGACAGCATTGACGAGACAACATATGTAATGATACTTGAGAGTAAATTACATTGTGAAATTATTGCCATAGTAAGAGGCCAATCATGCGATGCTATATTTAGGTAGCTGCTCTGGGTACTGTACTCCATGTACTAATGGCTTTTGAAGGACATTTTAAGACAAAAGGGTTGCTGCTCGAGGCACTATGTAATACCCACGGGGTGATTTTAAAAAGGTAGCTGCTCGTTGTATTGTACTATCTGGATGTTCAAGTAATTTTGATTATCACTTACCGTAGAACAATGAGAAGGATACCGTTCATGGGCAACCTTGCATAACTGGATAAGATATTGCGCACGGACTTGGATCACAGTTATCCGACCACGGGTTATGATGCCTGAATGTTTGACGTTAGAAAGATGAATGGCAGAAATCAGATAGATAAATACATTGATCCTTTGATATAACTGTATTCATGTCTTGAAGCCCTGATATGAATACAAAAAACTACATTTGTAAATGAATGTAAATGAAAGATGACCGAAAGACCAGTTGTTTGCTCTCAAGAAGTAGACGACTGGGACCCCAAATCATTAATATACGATATTAAAGGAGGACGGAAAGTATCACAACAGATTTCGGACAGACATATGCTAGATTTAGGCTATTGTCTGAGGTTTTAAACAGGTGCATATGTTAGGCCAACGTATTACCTCCAGGAAAAGCAATCAGGGAAGATGCTAACAACACACCTACATGTTTTTTTCTGAAATGCTGTCCTAATTTTCAACTCCCTCCACCCCTGATTTTTCAATTTTTGTTGCATTAATATGTTACATATTGACCCCTTTAATGGAATAAGTAATTCCTTCGGGTTATGGGTCATTATGGTTGACCAAAATTAAGCTGAAATCAATGGATCGCATGAGTTTTCCCTATTGGAAAATAACATCGTTTTCCATTTTATCTAAGAGGAATTACTTCACGATTACCTCGATATTAAATTACAATCGTCAAATAGCGTCATGTTAGTATTTCTAGGGTGAGTTTCTGTTTATAAAATTGGTACACATACAATACAGCGATTTTAATATTTGTACGGATTCTTATACGTTGAGAACAGTGAAGGGATGGATAATCCGGTAAGGTTTTTGTCATATCTTGGAGTTGATGCTTTTTAATGTATAGATGTCGTCAGAAATATATTCCTTCTTTCGATTACCTTGATATCAAATCATCATCATAGTCTAGGTGTTAGGTTAATGGCCGTATGCTAGACTACGTATACATGTGCAGTCATTCAAATTTTCTCATTCCGTTTGAATCTTGCCTTTTGTCGTAATTTACACCTTTAATTTGAATATTTGAGTTGCCTTTCCCATATATTCTAGTTATATATGTTCCTAAACAACATGTATTAATTTTTGAGTTAAATTTGTAATATGGAGAACAAGTTACAGTGTATGGAAACTAATGCACAATTAATATTACTTGATATATGATTCGGTAAACTAAGTTTTGAATTTTTCTGGGAGCCAATCCTTATTAGTTAGAGCAACAGTTATTACCTTGCGGGAGTCATTTCGCCCTTTTAGTATTAGAAAGTCATACAGGGTGGTCAGAAAGACACTTACATCATTTTCCTCATATTTTTGTCATTATTATTTCATGACTATCAAAGTGATAGTCACAATGTTACAGCACTTTTAAGAACGTGCCCCAGTGGCCACTATTGCGCTTTAGGTAAACATGCACACGTTGTCCCTACCAAAATGACCCTACCTGCGGGGATACGGCAAAGATAGAGTGTATGAGAAGGACCTCAAGACAATATTGTTGACCTCAAAAGTGAGATCACCCGTGTCATTCAGGCCATACCTGCTGAGGAATTCATCCCGGTCATTGACAACTGTGCAGGTTTGACTATCGCGATAATGCCCAAACCCGAAGCATGTTGTTCAAAGTGTCATAACATTGTGACTATCAGACTGATGGTTATGAAACATGGTAGGGTGGTAGTAAACTGAATGGTGTAAAAATGTGTGAAATATTATGGAGTAGGCGACGAGGCGAAAAAATATTTCAAAAACAGTTAAAAAAGCGACAAGACAAGCGTAAATTATTCCTCGGAAACACAACGTTTTTATAAAGCATCATTGAAATATGATGATGGGATATGAAAAAACGATAATGGCCCTTACGTGATGAGATTGTGCACAATGGTCCTTTTTCCATATAGCTTTGAAGTCTCGAAAAAGTCTCGATTTGCTGAGATTTAGGAGATCTGCACTTTTAACCATTAAAGACTAACATTTTTTTCTATTTGATGGTACATGTGAATTCCATGTGTAACTTTCTATCAAAAAAAGCTTTGGAGTTATTTACTGATTCTGGAGATTATCAAGTTTTCTGAAAAGGTCGGGCTAAATCCCTATTGGCACAATGTTGAAAAACTCTCAAAAGTTCATTTACTCTAAAGAATTAAGGATGTTCAGTTTTAATGTGAAATCACGATCCATATGTCAATACGTTCATAGAGTTACATTCCAGTGGTGTATGAGTTGATCCAATTGGAATTACTTGTTAGATAAAGTAACTAAGTGACTCTGGCAATGCATTGACATGTATTGTAGGCCTACCAATAACAACGATGCCATCTATTTTTCATTTCTATAGAAAATGGTCAATTGAGTAAAAACTTGATTATCTAAGAATAAAAACATATGAAAGTTGTACAATTGATTAATAACCCATAATTGGTAGAGAAATATTTTTCAATGGATGTAAAAGAGCGACGAGGCAAGTGCCTCGTCTGCCTCATCCTGGCTACGCTTTCAATGCTTGATTTATTTTAGTAAATTACAATGATAAAAAAGACGAGGTGACAGGAGAGTCAATAGTTAATGTAATTATAGGATGTTCACTTGAATATTATGGCATCAGAGGAATAGCTAAGTCCTGGTTTGAAAGTTATTTAAAAGACCGCAAACAATATGTCACCATTAACAATTATGAATCTAAACAATCATCTCTAAATTGTGGTGTTCCGCAGGGCTCGGTACTTGGACCACTATTATTTATTCTTTACATAAATGATCTGCCTTTTGTTGCCCCTAATCTAAAATTTATTATGTTTGCTGATGACACCAATCTTCTTGATAGTGATTATGATTTAAATGAACTTATGACTAGAACTAATGCAAACTTGAATTCAATAGATGACTGGATAAAAGCAAACAAACTTTCACTTAATATTGGCAAAACCAATGCTATTCTATTTGGACCCAAAAAAAATCAAACAAATCTGAATCTTAAAATACGCAATGAGAACATAAATTTACGGGAAAAAATTGACTTTCTTGGAATTATTATTGATAAAAACTTGAAATTTAAAGAGCACATAAAATCTGTGGAAACAAAGATTTCTCGCGTCATTGGTTCTCTTTATCACATTAAACATCTACTTCAAATAGACAGTTTCAAAACAATTTACTACTCATTGATACACTCTCAATTAAATTATTGCAACATAATCTGGGGTAACACATTTAAATCATTTTATGATCGTCTACATAAACTGCAGAAACAATTCTTAAGGCTAGCTTTAAATAAGGATAGACTTTCTCACTCCGCTCCCCTATTTAAAGATCTTAGAATATTAAATATTTTTGATGTCAACAGATATTGTACTGGTCAGTTCATGTACAAAATCTTTAATAAGCACCCCAGTCTTCCAAAAAATCTATTTCAAGACTTGTTTGATATCAACATTAATATTCATCATCATTACACAAGACAATTGCATTATTTTCATATCCCTAAATGCTCTAAACTTTCCCTTCGCTATCTGGGTCCTAATCTTTGGAATGCTCTACCACATGATATTAAAAAATGCTCCACTCTAAATATTTTCAAATCTTCATATAAAAAACTACTCATCTACGATAATGTATAATACCAATATCATACTATACTGTTGATTTTATACTGGTACCCGATTTTTGTAACATTTTTACATTGTACATCCTTAGATTAATTGTTAATACCATTTTTATATACCTACATGTAACATAATATAAGTGTTTTCTTTTATATGTAGTCTAGTTGTCATTTTAATGATTTCTGTTAAACCGCAACATATACCCACTAGGGTGTCTAGCGGCTTGTTTTTATAGTGTATATTATATAAGAATTATGAAATAAATAATTGAATTGAATTGAATTGAATTCTTATTATCCTATACTTACAAGGAGTGTACTAAATGTATAATGTCATTGTAAAATGAATTTCATGCCAAATAGAGTCATTTTGGCGGGAAATCAACAAGCGGAGCATATCGTCACAATATGCTCCGCATGTTAGGTTTTCCGGAGTATATTTTCACGATATCCTCCGCCCGGAGTATATCGTAACGATGTCCTCCGGTTATTCATTTTGCCAATAAATATCAAATTTATTTTTTAATGTTATTATACATTTAGTACACTAAGTGTAGGATAATTATAGGATATCCAATGATTTTGAGGAATATCATTTTTTACAAGGAGTGTACTAAATGTATAAAATCATTGCAAAATGAATTTCCTGCCAAATAGAGTCAATTTGGCCGAAAATCAACAAGCGGAGTATATCGTCACAATATCCTCCGCATGTTGGGTTTTCCGGAGTATATCGTCACGATATCCTCCGCCCGGAGTATATCGTTACGATATCCTCCAGATATTAGTTTTGCCAATAAATATCAAATTTATTTTTTAATGTTATTACACATTTAGTACACTAAGTGTAGGATAATATGATTTATCGTATTGATCTGTAAAATGAAGTCTTCTGATTGGTCAGTTCTTGTGCTGTACCGATATGTATTGCTACTGAGATTGTCCCCATTGATCATCTCCGTTGTAATACAGAAAATATTGGTACGAAGGGGATATTGTCAGTAGCTATACAGAGGATCACATGATAAATACGTTATAGAATGAGTGGAAGTGCAACGCACTATATTCTGCTCTAGATATTCTGTATTGGCACTCGACTTCGTCTCGTTCCAATACGGAATTCTCAAGCAGAACATATATCCTGTATTGCACTTCAAATCATTCGATAACTTATAATACGAGATTAAAATTTACGGCTCTTAAATAAATAAATCAAAAATAAATATTCCTCATTGGAATCAGATCTAGCAAGACTTTGACAACAACTCTTTATGAAAATTGTTTCAATCTTAGAATATCATTTCTTACCATATCTATTTATGAAAATACCAAAAGTGGATACTGTAATTGTGCAATATCAAATTTTTAGAAAAAATATCCCGATTTTAATTTTCTACTTGACAGGTATGTACTTAACTGGCTATATTAATGTTGACAGCGGGTTTGAATTAAAAATCAACATTTATTAAAACAGACGCAGAGTCATCCACATTTGTTCAAAAGTAAAACAAAATACAGACGGATAGTTCACTACAAACATTTTAAAAATATTAAGATAAAAAGATTTTAAAAATATCTTTCAGATGTATATAAAGGAGTTCGTTCGGCGTATCGGTCAAGCCAAGTAACTTAGTCAACATTCGAAATTCGTATGTTCATCAGCACTAAGAATGGTGCCACAATTTAAGTAAACCTCTGGTTAATTATTTTCAATAAACCTATCAGCAAACGTGTAAATGATAATTTTGATGTCCTGTTACATATTGGTGAAGCAATCTTTGGGATATGACCTAAATTTCTGATTTTCCACTGTGTCTCTGTATACCCCTACTTCAAAAGATGTATGTTATTCGTCATTTTTCATTATGAACTTATACTACATACTTATATCGATATTTCAAGGTTAGTTTTGAAGAATAAAGAAGAAAATCCATATTTTCAAATGGGTTCATCCTTGTCAAAGAACGTGAATGAGGATATGCCGTTTGAAAAACTAACAACATGTTTCAAGTTCTTACAATTTTTGGTTAAAAAAATAATTTGAAAGTTTTGATTTCGAATGTAATATCCTACTCAATAAAATTTGTTGATATTTGTGAATTTTTTCTTTCGAAATGCACATTGCTGGATCACAGAACCTTGTCTTGTTCGAGATGCACGAAAAGTGTATTGTTAATACTTGACGTCGTTCGGATGTTTGGATGTGATTGACGTTTTCGTTAATCTCCTACCACTGTAACTTCCAACTTAATTTTTGAAAGCCAAATGTGATAGTCACGAATTGATATTTAAGTCACACATTGATGCATGCATCATGTGTGTACATTAACTGTCGAATACATGCCGACTTACATTTACATAAATATTCACAATTAACTCAAATCATCAATTCTCGAAACGGTTTATCATTTAACCTGGTGAGTTGAATGTTTCATATTAATCTATAATTATGGTATCGGATTTGAGTATGATATAAGTTGAGGCCTAAACAAATCAATACATTTACGTAAAACCTTTTGTGAAAATTCGAACGACTTTTCAAGAATCTTTCTTCAAAGTGGTACCAAAGTGCTCCCGGGTGTTACGCGGTAAACACGATACAAAAATATGTCATATTCCGCAACGAATATGGCATATTCACATGCAGTGTATGACAGATTCACCTGCGGTATATGGCATACACACTAACCAATGAGAACGTGATACGGAAGTACGCAATTGTCAATTGTATCGATTAAACGAACAAGTAAAACGTTATAAATTATTATAATGATTACTTAATCAACAGTCCTGTGTATCGAATATATCAACTTAGCAGAAGTATCAGTCACCAATCTCGTGTAATAAACTTACTCAATCAATCCAGGATTCATATATTAGTACTCGACGCACCAACTTTATTGGTAATCCAGCGTAGTTTTGCATTTAGAGTCGATTCTCGCAACCAATCAAATCAAGGCTTTCTGTATCACGTTTTCACCTGCGGTATATGTCATATTCACCTGCCGTATATGGCATATTCCGCAAGTGAGTATGACATATTCCGCAGGTGAGTATCGGGTATTCACTGAAATCAATGTATCGCATATTCACTGCGGAATATCGCATACTCACCTGCGGAATATGCCATATACCGCAGGTGAGTATGGCATATTCACCCGTATCACAAATACCGCGCAACCATGAATGTATGCCATATACCGCGTAACACCGGGAGTGGAAATTTCGTCTTGTGAAATCAAAATAATAGAGCGGTTGGTTTGAATTTTTGTTTGAGCTTATAGCTTACATCTATACATTTAAAAACATATCGCCTCATTGAGAGGTACATGCAGATTTTGGCGATCTATCATTATAAAAGGCTAGATATTGTACAAAAACAGGAGTTAACACGCTTACATTTGGAAATAAAAGTTCCTACATAATCGTCGACTCATGTTTAAAAGTCATGAAAACAAGGTTGAACACAAAACATTGACTCAGTTACTGTCTATTCAGCATAGGTTCACTAAGGGAAATATTATTAATGACTTAAATCGTTTACGGTTAAGTTGTATTCCAAGAAACTTATCAATTTAGAAAAGCAAAATGTTCAATTTTGTTTTTCAATTATAAAAAATGGCACCTGTAGAGAACAACGTTTTCGATTTTTTTAAATGGAGATATTTACTTATGCAATATTCATGGGCATGTGTCAGGGAGTAAATAAGAAGAATATGCATTTGATTCTATATCTTGTTCCCAAAGGAGTTTGTTAAGGAGCGGTATATCTTAACGTACTTTTATCATCCCGAACTCAAACATTTCGAATACTTATTTCGAGAACGCTTTGTTGAGAATGGATTCGAGATGTACTCAAAATTAAAACGTTAAAATGTGTATTATCATCTTAATAACCACTTCACAAATAATTTTGGAAATCAAAGATGTACGATTTTCGAGATTTTTATTTTCGAATGTTGACTTACTAACTTGACTTGACTGGTATACCTAACAAGGAAGTTATATCTCTAAAAATTATTTCATTGGCCGTTTCTACAACAATGCATTTCTTTAAACAGACAAATAAATCGGTAGATATATTGTAAATCAATCATTTATTGACTTTTGATCTATCTATGAAATTGTGCTTCTTTGGTCAGGCTTAAATTGAATATTTTTGGACAATTCAATTATTGCCTTGTTTGAATATCAACAATGGCAAGTTCTAAATATAGGCATAATGACAACTTTGATTCTCGGTTCGAGATCGACTATCTTGATTATGGCAGCAAAGACGGAAACTTGTCTACAGACCATCAAGGCAAGAATCTATCGAGAATTGAAAGAAACCATACAGTGACAGGTTCAACACCACCACAAATTACAGAGAAATCTTTGTTTTGCGGAGGAATGACAAAACCCGTGGTATCTGTTGTCGCAGTATTGGTTATCGCATTAGCTGGTGTCGGCCTTGGTCTATACTTTGCCGGTGTTTTTAGAGGTAAGCACACGGTATTTGAATGGGTAGCAAATGCCTCGATCGTCATATTTCTCATATTTGAAGCATTTTTCTCCATAGTCCATAAACTTTATGAACCTTCATATTAGCATATATTCACATTTGATCAACATCAACCGTACGGCGGTCGTAGCTTTTCTGAATTGAAAGAAATATGCCGTATAAAGTATGTGGATAAGCAGTACGAAGTAGATTTTCTATATCGATATATGTGAAGCTACGACCACCGCAATGCCGCCGAAGAGCAAATGTGTTAGAGGGTTTATTTTTTTCAAACACTCACTTTTATTTTGATAAAAAAACATCACAAAAGTAAAAGTTCATTGTAAACATATCGAATACAGAGGATATCCTATGATTTTTGAGGGATACCATTTTTATCTATGAGTGGATATCGCCCATCTCCGCGAGTAATGCCTTGGTCACATTTGCTCCGATCCATCGGCCGGCGCCCGCTCGATTGAGTGTTTTGTTAAAATACTCAATCGGCCGGGCGCCGTAGTAAACATCGGGGCAAATGTGACCAAGGCATAAGCGCAGCTAATGAGTGGGGATCAGCGAAATCCAAGAGTGGATAAAATTGATAGCCCGACAAATTGATAGCAGATCAAACAGACAAGTGGTTATTTGGCGCAAAATTCAAAACAAATGAAAAAAACGTATCCGACGGATATTATTTTTAAGACGTCATATGAGTCGGATACGATTTTAGTGGTGCATACCAAAATTATCTTGCGTCGTTTTCCTCATATATATCTAGTATCCATCGGATATAATTTATTACAGTTTTGACCTTCAAATAAGGTTTTAATATATTGAAACTCTACTCATAGGATTATTTTCTCAAAATAAAAATTGAATATTGGAGATATTTAATTCATATGACTACAGTACACGTAATTCATAGAATTAAAGGAAGATTAATCAAATATAAGATTTATATATACCATCAAAGTATATGCAAAAAGGAACGATAAAATCTATTACATAACTATGTTAGTAGTAGGAGGACACGTGAAACAAGAACCCGGCCTATCTGACATACTGGGTGATAAAATACGAGATTTCCTACACCCCATAATGTCCACTCCCCCATAAAACGTTGGTATTGTTTAGCAACTTATGTCTAATTTTATAATTCGGACGATTTTTAAACGTTTTCATGACGTCAAAGTTGGCTTACGTTGATTACTGAAACTCTGATTGAATGCATGGGTTACTTCCAGAGTTACGCCAGTGTGAATTTTCTTGGACAAGTTGCTCTTATTGGGGTTATAATGAAAACACGCGCTACGCGCTAACGCGCTGGCGCACTAACGCGCTGTTCAGAATGATCGAGATAAATGTAAATCGAGACGAATATATATTAGGTAACGCTTACTGTGCAAATAGTATCGCTCGTCAGTGTGTTTTATCTGATTTAAAAGGAAGATAGAATAGAAAGTAGCAAGTTACAGGATGAATGGTCGCAGATATTTCATTGGCGTTATTGAAGAGTCGGTGAGAAAAATCCCGTTTCGAAATCTGAGGGCCCTCGTCTGAAATAACTTGACTAATGACTTCATAATGTATATTTTTCGCATATCTCCACTTAATTTCAAGTCTAATGTTTTATATATCTTTATCCTCTATATTTTTTGAAGTTATATCTTACATGTTCTTAGCAGTAGGCGTCGCATTTATATTTTCTTTTCGTGTCCGGTTGTGGCGCTCTTTCGCTTTCATGGAGGGGTGGGGGTGTATAGGGATATCGTATATCGTAATGAGTGAACATTTATTTATATTGCATAAGAGAGGCCAACTTTTACCGTATATAGTATCGTATAAGTTAAATATATGTTTTAAAAGAATTGAAACCAGCCCAATATTTATGGGGGTAATCTAGGTTTTTGATGGATGTTTTAAAACATTAGATTGTTCCAATCGGAGTTCTAGCACCTGGAATCGAGAACTCAAGATGTACAAGTCACCCTAAAGAGACAGTTTGTGATATATGTAGACCTACAATGAAGGAAATCAAAATTCGAAAAAATGTTTGGCCGTGTAGGGTCCCCCCCCCGACCCCCCCCCCCCCCATCGTAAATGGTTACATGGTATTTCACCTGAACTTTTCGTAAAATATGGTAGTTAAAGAGATGTGAGAAATATTGTAGTCATTGTATGTTATAAAAGGGGTGAAAAAACTGTATTTGATAAAAGGGGTGAAAATATTGCATATGATTTCCAAGACCCCCTATAAACCCCCCTTTCATATTTGCTTTCGTAATTTCTCAATTTGTTTAATCAGATTTAGTTTGGAATTACGGCTGTCCCGGGAATTATATTTTATCAGGAATATTGTTAAAGGAGGATTATCTTTGGAATTATAGTTGTTTTAATTAGAGACGATTTGAAAAGTAACTGTAAACCAGCGTGTTTTATAATTGCCCGATAATCGTACAAGTACATGTTCATTTTAGTTTTGGAATTATTTCCTGAATTAAAGTTGAATTCAGTTTTGTAACGGTGTTTAGAACATTTCAATTGGTCTTATATTTCTAGAGAAATCGTAACTAGAAGAGCGCAATTTGTGAGATCTTACGGCCGCAAAGTTCACATCTTTGAAGTTTGATTGGCAGGTTAGCGGTAATTTATACAGTCTTTGAAGTGTCAATGTTTCGACAAATTCCATGGCAATATCCTAACCGTAAGTATACATGTCCCTGGGCCTATGATATAGACCAATCATAAACATGCGTTTAAAAGATGCGCACACTTCGTGAGGGAAGGATCATTTTCTATTAGCGCGTTGGCGCGTGGCGCGTTAGCGCGTAGCGCGTGTTTTCATTATAACCTCTTATTGGTATCACTGATCACGTTTGATAAAAAATTGAACCGAGCTTGGCAATCGCCACTATTTCTCATTTTTAAAGAAATAACAGGACATCTTTGATTTGATTTTAAATGCATCGTTTGAAATACGTTTAAGAATAATAACAATCCTGTATACGATTCATCATCTACCCATTTACAATTAAAACATCAACTATTTGAATTCATCGATATCATTCTTGTCATATAGCTTATAGGATTAATTACGCGAAAGGGTAAGAATGTAACTACTTACGGCTCAGTTTTCCATTTAATCATACAATTTGAACAAAATCGTTAAAATACGTACATGTTCACAACTATTTGTAATAAAGTCCTTAGGTCACAGCGACCCCGGCAGCAACCTTCAAATTGACATAATACGACTGTCTATGTCACTCAACTCTATCTGTGTGGTTGTTTAAATAAATAGTTAGCCTTTACCTTTGTAAGTCTTTGCCTTTTCAAAGGTTTCACCAAGCAGGTAAACACGCAACGAATTTGTTTTCCCTTACAAAGATTTGGGGGATTTTATACTTTTTTCAACATCCTGATTTCATAGACAGATTATATGATGTAAGAACACCTCATGTTGTACAATAATTTTTTACTCTTGCAAATATTTTTATAAAAAAATTCTATTTTTCATTTTGTGACCCATTTCGGCATCCTTAGACTGTTTAATGTCAAAACACTTTATTTTTATCAAAGATATTTCTAATCCTTGCAAAAATTTTAATTTTACCTCTCATGTTTCGCTTATTTCAACATCCGTAGACCATATATAGACAGACAATATGGGACTCAGGTACAGTGAAGTTCATCGTGATATTATGGATGAAGTAGAGGAACTATTAGCAAAAGGCATGACTCAATCAAGAGCAGTCAAGAAACACTAAACAAATATTCATATTTTGTTGGAGAATTATTTGCGGATGACGCATCAAGTATTAGTAAATAAAATAGATAAAAGTATTGCTAAATTAATCTACGCTCTTTTAGAATTTTGGAGAGCTAATTTAAATAGCTGGGTATATCCACCCTTCCACAATGCTATGTTACAAGCTTTCAATCCAATTCTCCCTAATTTGTACAATGTTATTCATTATGATATGATGATGTATGCTACTCATGATTAACATCCACTAACGATTGTTCTGTTTGATGTGTTCAGTCCCATTTTAGCGTGATAGAATAAAACTAGAAAAATATTCATCTACCACTCTTTTATTGCCTGATTCAGTCGATGAAAATGCCAATTGTGTAAATCCTATCTCATTGTTCTCCCTCTCGCAGGGATACCTGTGGTCTATACAAGTCAAATCTAAAACACTGTTTTGAAAACAGCACCTTAACGCAGTTTCAGTGGTAAATGTGTATACCTTAGTATGATAGGAATCATTTTCTCGACCTTCTCCGTTTGATGCTAGACCTGGGTGTTAGCTCTGTTAACAACCGCTTGCATCGGAGATACAACCTCAATGGGCTACTTGCGTCGACTGTATTTTCTCTAAGGTTGCTTTGATTAACCAAACCCATTTTCCCGCGTCGTCTACATAGGGTATCAGCTTCATGGTCTTGTAATGTCGAGAGTAATGTGAACGGTAGAAACACATTGGAATGACTACTAAAACCATATACGTATATAATATCATATTGAGGAATCGGATTTTTAACTTCTGTAATCAATCACACTGACATCTAATATATTTTTCTCATCTACAAAATCCAACCATGGCATCGCACTCTCGATGTTCGAGAATTGTCTGGGGTGAGAGGTGGTGCCAGTTTTGTGCTAGCCTTAGGTTTGCTGTTTATCGATTGTGAAATTTCTAGCTAGTTTTTTATCCATTTTATCAAGTCTAGACATCACTACACTGTTATCAGCAATGGCTATCTTTTGGTCCATACTTCGAGTATCTAAATGCGTAGTCCAGGACACTTGAGTTTCATAATTGTTTAGCAACTAGAATTTAACGACTGAACACTGCAAGGGGATTTTTAGTTGTATCCAACTGTAGCATTTATGTTTGGCCAATTCTGGGTCACGGGTCCTGAGTAAACATTGATAATTTTTGTTTATCTTAGAAAGCACGAAGAGACCTTTCTTTGAATTTAGCACATTTTCCTCTTAATCTTGGGCACATTTTTTGGCTCTGTAGCATAATTCTAATTGTGTGATAAGACCGGTTTTCCCATGGCCAGGCTCATTTTATAAGACAGATGGCGGTTAAAGGGTGACGCATATCGTTTAGCAAATCGAACGCTCGTTTCTGGTGTTGCTCGCCGTTTAGTATAAAAGGCCCGATCCCGGAATAATACTCAAGGGTTCACAGGTTCGAGGTCGTTGTGTCAACACCTCTAACTGTTATATAGCATAAGTATATTATAGATCGTCACACATTTATAAAAGGGTGATTTTTATTTTGACAAATCAATTCCACATTTATGGGTGAAGTTTCAGGATCTTCTATTTATGTATAATAAGGAAAAATTGGCATCTAAATTTCCCCATAACGTAATAGCACACAGCTTGGCATATGAAATATCCTACAAATGAAACAAAGCAAGACAAACCGGTTTCTAATACAAGGATTTATATTGGATGTTGTACATGTATTCTTTGAACGCAATCACTCTTTGGATAACGTTTTCAAAATCATTATAAACGGATTTCTTTATCTCAAAGACAATTTCAATAAACTGAATTTTACAGAACTCCCCTTATTTCTTAAAAATGGACTGATCCAGTTGATTCGCCTGGAGCCGCCATATTGTTTTTATACGGGATGCTAATCGGAACCCTTTAAGGAAGTCAATCGACCAACCAGAGGGTCTCATTCAAGAAAGTCAACTCAAACGTCACTCATTCAAATGTTTGCCGACACTTGATGTAGATACGTCTATTTCACAATACCGATTTTATTTCATATTATCTTTAGGTACGCTGACTTTAGATTTTTTGAATTTTAGTTCCTTTAGCATTTTGTCTAATGTAAACCTATGTCCGTCTTTAAAATTGTCTGGATACTTTGCTGCATGGATGCATATCACCAAACCAACCACTTGTAATCAACCATTCATTCCGTTGTTAATCGCGATTTAAGAATAATTGGGGTGTCCATACTTCTTATTTCTAAAAGAGTATTCCAGGTAACTTTATTTGCCATGATTGTTTAGCAACTAGAATTAGTTATAAAGATTTATAAACAAAAATCATTCAGAAACTGATTTTTGAAATTCTCTCAAAAATGTGTCTCATATCATATCTTGATCACACAATGTTAATACATCTACAGTAAACGGAGTAGTGAATACAACATTACGTAAGCCATTGTTACCATTTTTATTCCAAAATGAATATAGGTAATATCAGGCAAGACGCTACAAAAACCAACAATACATCGTTACTAAAGGGTGTCGTAACAGAAGCTACGAGCTTAACAGCACCAAAGACCTTTACAACGGGTAGTATTCCAGCAGCAGACTCAACAGTTGAACAAAATGACAAGATGGCAACAACAAAGCCCTTGATAACAGTTGAACAAAACGCAAATATGACAACAGTAGATACCTTGGCAACAATTGAGCAAAATGACAAGATGACAACAACAGAGCCATTGATAACAGTTGAACAAAACGCAAATATGACAACAGTAGATACCTTGGCAACAATTGAGCAAAATGACAAGATGACAACAACAGAGCCCTTGATAACAGTTGAACAAAACGCCAATATGACAACAGTAGATACCTTTGCAACAGTTGAACAAAATGACAAGATGACAACAACAGACGCCTTGACAACAGTAAAACAAAACGGCAAAATGACAACAGAAGACCCCTCGACAGCAGTTGAACAAAACGACAAAATGACAACAGCAGACGCTTTGACAACAGCAGAACTTATAGGCAAGGTGACAACAGCAGACGTCTTGACAACATTAGGGAAAAGCGGCAAAACGACAACAGAAGATTCCCGGACAACAGTTCAACAAAGCGACAAAATGACAACAGCAGACGCCTTCAAGTTGACAACAGTAAGGAAAAGCGACAAAACGACAACTGAAGACCCCCCGACGACAGTTGAAGAAAGCAACAAAATGACAACAGCAGAACTTTTAGGCAAGATGACAACACCACAACCCTTGAACAATGAGAATAATACGTTTATAGGTAATTAGCAAAAGGTATATTCTGATGTGGAAGCAATATTGAATTTCTATCATTTAATTTTTATCGTCCATAAATAGTTTATAACAACAAATCTCCACAAACTGCTACAAAGATTAAAAACCATGCACTTCCGTGTTTATTGAACTTGAGTTAGTAAAGAACTCGGATATCAAATCCAGTAATGTTACCAAACGATACTACAGTGAAGCTAAATATATCATAATTCGTAGGGCATTTCGCATAAATTTTTCAGCTAATACGCATATTAAAACTATTCAGCAAAACGCTCAAATCAATGGAAATTTTAACTTTTTACAAGATAATATTAACATAAATTCCAGTTACTTACGGCATATGGGCAAAATGGACTCCTTGGTCAAGTTGCAGTGTCACGTGTGATAATGGAACTCAAACCAGAACGAGGTTTTGTCGGAAGACGTCATCTAAGGATATCGATTGTGATGGAGAGGATGAAGTAACAAGATTGTGTAACAATGGGAATTGTCCAGGTTAGCAGGGGCTTGTTTTTAATATGCAACATATACCTTGAGTGATAATAGTCTTTTAAGCTGACTATATCCTCCCCTGCTCGATCAATCTTTCCTAAAGCGACATATAAGATCAATAGATACTCATGTCTTCCAAACCGATTAAATATATGAGTTTTCAAGGTTTAAAGTCTGAGATCTTCGAGTTTAGAATATTTTGGGCTCATTTCATGCCTTATCACGTCTATTTTTACGGTTACCATTTCTTTATTTGGGAGAATTTAAACATTTTCCCCCATTTTTGCAGTTTGAATCCTTAATAATTGCACCAATTTATAACATATCCCGGATATTTTTGGAGATTGTATTTGGGATTGTAAGGAAGAGACTTGTAGGTCTAAACGGTATCGTAGATGTTTCTTGTAATTTTGTAACCCCCCTAAAGCACAGACTTTTTGTTTACAGATTGTGAAATAACGTGTCCATCGAATACGATTTTAAATGAAAACTGTACGGCCTGCATATGTGCTTCTAATATGAGACATATCCAGGTTTTCAACACAAAAATGGTTCCAATTGATGGCGTGACGATTGCAAAGCTGGAAACACAGTATGAAATATTAGGAACAACCGCCGATTCAAATGGGATAAAAATTGATTATCTTTGTGAATCAGATTTGTTGATATTCAAGAAGTTGAAATATATGGATGTCACGTTATCTGTTGGTGGCGTCTCTTCCGATCCGATAAAAGTTACCATGGAAACAACAGGTAAGCATATGACTGTTCCGCAACAGTAATTTAATAACAAAAAATAACTTGATCAATCAGCAGACAAAGATTATTTTAAAACACTGTTTAGATTAGTGTTATTCTGTATCCAATCGAACGAAGGTTGAGGGATATAGAGAACGGCCCCGTTCGCCGGTCGTATGTCCGTCCGGCCAATAACCCAAATACCATTAAACCAATACCGTTTATATTTAATCCGTTTATACACCAGATCATGGGAGTTAATGTTCTGCTTGAAAGTCGATTGACAAAGTGTCTGCCAGATTCAAAGTGGCCGTCATTTCAGTATCAATTCTACAGTATTCTAGTGTAATATGGTTTCAATGCAAAACTCATATTATTTTATATACAGTACATATACATACACAAGTTTTGTGAAAAACAATTTTGACTTTAAAGCCCCATAACTTTGCTGAACCTGAAGAAACATCAGAAAGAATCAATGTTTTGTTAAATAAAGTTAGTGAATTCAATTGCCTGCCTAACTCGTATTTTTGCAAGGATTCGGAAGGATGGATACACTATCATATGACTTGGGGCAAACCTACCATTTCCCATTGGTTAACATGGGAATGTCGATTTTCAAAAATTCATCAGATTTATCATCAATTTTTGACTTATTGTAATTGAGGAAAAAATTGAGAAAATTTGGAAGTATTGGAAATAAAGTCAAATTACGTTTTCATCAATAGTATAAGTATTTTCAACGCAGGTTAAGTAAATAAAAGTTCAAAGGTAAAGAGGCTTTATCAAGTAGTTCAAACGGGGAGCTAAGGTTGCCAAACTTATGGAGGGTAGTGTACCTATCATTGTGTAGCATTGCTAAATAAAACTATATTATTTCCTCACTCTGAAACATGGCATGTATTCTATTCTGACTATTTGTTCATTATTACAGATTTAAATTATAAATTGAAAATATCACAGTGGTGTAATCTGTGTTTGTGATTTTATATTAGGTTTTCCCATTTGGTGTCATTAGGATGATTTAATTTTACTTCCTATTTATTTTGGATTTTCTGTAGTGTTTTGCATTGCGCTTTCCTGAACATTTGGTAAGTATCTCTGTTATTTAATGAGTTGAGTTTATCTATCAAGAGTGTGGTATTCTTTTTATTATTTTCTCCTTGTGTTATTTTATTCCTCCATCCCTGCGGTATACAATAGTATTCCCATGTGATCTAAGAATGTACCTTGTTCGATTTTAGATTATAGTCTTCTTTGAGTTTGTGGAAAGGTATAAGTGTTCCATCTTTGTATAATCGCTCTATATGAACTGTTCCTTTCAATAACCAATGTACGTTGAATAAAATATTATTGTTACTTCTAGTACATGAATCGAATCAAATAGTTTGGACCTGTATATTTTCTGTCTGTTCTGAGTATTTAAAGTGTAAAGGAAAGGTTTGAAGACAAAGTTGCTTCTATGGTTTTGATTCATGAAACAAAATATTTGTCTCTTTTTCAGGGTTATTGCTATGTGTCTTCTTCATATCTTTGTGTTAACTAAAACGTGGTATGGGTGAACTTAGAATATAATTTCTTTAAAACATCCCTCTTTCGTCCCATAGACCTTTTTTATAGAATATTCTATATGATGAATGATTTCTAACTCTATATTAGAAGGTTAATTTGAGGTGTATTGTATCAAAACTTCGGTTTCAAGGAAGGTTTGTTTTTATCTGTACTGTACTTTAGGGTTGTATTGATTTTGGGGAGAGTTTAAAATAGGAAAGGTTGCTAAATTGAAATTTCAAAAGATGAAATGGGGAAGAATTCTTGTTGAAAGTCTTGCTATAGACCTTGTCCAGAATATATATATACATTGTAATAGATTTACGCCTATATGCATTTTACTTTTTCCCGCTAGTTTGGCCTCTATTGTAATTTTATATCGATCTGTAAGTGCCTTCCTAATGTCTTCTGGAGAGTCCTCGGATACTTTTATGATTAGGTTTCTGTCTTTTCGTCATTTTCTTTTTAATTTCTTAAACTTTGATGTGGTCACTGAATCGTACCATGATTGGCCTACCGCTAGGTTGACCTTGAATTCTATTGGTCTTCCCAAGTCTGTATGCCGCCATGATGGAATCTCCAGCCTTCTCTGCGATCGTCTCGTTTAGGTGTCTTCTTATGGTTTCTATGGCTTTTTCAATTGTCTCTCGGGATTCTGGTATATTGTGAAATATCAATTTTTCCAATGATTTCAATGTTGTTGGTTTCGAATTGCTTTAAGAGGAAGTTTCAGTTCTTGATTTTCATTTTGGTTTCGATTTCCGTTACCTTTTGCACCAGTTCTGTTTCGATAGCCATCGGTCTGGTATCAAACATTATATTATCCTAATTGTGTCGCATATATTGTTTATACTTGTGCATAACTTATCTCGAGGGTTCTGCTTTGGAGATTACTAAAAAGCTTCTAGTAAATGAAAAATTGAGTGGCACAAATTGTGTGAAGCTTAAGTCTACGTATTATTCTTTTTCTAGAAGCAATAGAGATCGTTGGCCATCCTCAAGATGCAGTAGCATTAATTGGTGACTCCGTCAATTTCACGTGCAGAGCAATAGGGAAACCACCACCTGATGTCTATCAGTGGTAAGTTATGAATGACTGAAAATATATAATACTATTATATGTATGTGTGTGCTATAGGGACACTATGCCACCTGACGTTTATCAATTGTAAGCTATGAATGACTGAAAACATATAATACTGTTAGATGTTAGATAATACTGTTAGTACTATAGATGTTAGAAGTAATGACGATGATGCTCCCAAAAATGTGCCAAAATGTTCTCAATTTTACTACTATGAGACGGGATATTTGTCACATTATAAATGATTTGGCGGTGACCTAAGTAACATAGGGGTAGGATAGCCTGCATATGTGTCATAGGGGAACCACCGCCTGACTTTTATCAGTGGTAAGCAATGAATGACTGAAATGTATAATACGGTTATATGTACTCGTATGTGTTACATGAAAGTATTACAAAATGTGTATAGGCCGTAATCTAAGAATAACTGCAAATGTATGATACTATCATAATTATATGCCATACTGTATAGGTGGTTTTTAAACCGAGTGGTTAATTTGCCGAATGGTCAAAGGGGACATGCCATTAAGAGGCCATTCTCTGACTTAGTCATTTTTTCAAAAGTGTGAAAATAAAAGAATTCATGAAAAGTTCTTAAAATATTCTGAATAACAAGTTGAATATATATATTTAATGATGGCACAAGCAAAAGTCTGAAAATTAACATGAAATGAAGGGTTTTGACAGATGCAAAAGATGGTAGATTTGTGATGAAGAAATAGAGGTTTTTGCAGTGACAACACAATTACCTCGAAGTTATCCGTTATGAGAGGCTGAGAACTAAACTTGACATAATTTTCTCAGATTATCAGTAGTATCTAACTTAAGCCGGACAGCCACTCAAAATGTATATGGAGACCATAATATTCATTTTTCTCAATTGAAGTCACTATTTCTGTTTTTAGCTTCAGAGGATAGGAGGTACATGAACATGCTAAGTTTACCTAGATCACAAGCCTTACCACAAATATAAAGTATATAGGAATAGAGTTGATATGTGTGAAAACCTTAAACTTCCCATTTTATTGGGGATGGAACTTGTGGACCATGTGTATTTCTAACTTCTTCACATCTGCATGGATCTAAAATTGTGGCAGCCATCTTGGATTTGTCATATATGTGGACATGGTTTTGGTTGTGCTGAATTTGTTTCAAAATAACATTTCTTGTATACCTTCGATAAGTGAGATAGGAATTTGAAATTAAATACAGATCGTATACTTGACATTTAATGCAGTAAACAGTAATACAATTCATTCTTACATAATAAGTGAGTCCAGACAAAAAGTTGTTATTGTGTTAGTTTAACTGGGCATGAATTACACTCATTGGTCTTGGTTTTCTTAATTGGCTTGGATAAAATGTTGTTCTGTTTATTCAGAAAAGGAGTATAGTTCAATATACAAGTTCACACTCGTTCCATCCTTGTAGAAATGAATCTCATATTATTTCATCTCAAATATAGAACACAAAAATATAATAAAAAACAAGTTTCTATTAATTGCAAAAGTTAGCTTCTATGTCATGACTGAGTTTGGGTTCCGCTTCTAGGGAAAAATATCTATCTGGAAATATCGTATTGACCATTGCTATACACTCCATATTTAATCCTCCCAGTAAATAACATTGATATACAGTATACAAGTATATATGACATCGAGGATCTGGGGTTTGGGTAATGTGATACATGAGGCCACTTGTCTTTTTGAATCTCATATTCAATATTCTTTCTTTAAACCCTCATATTTAATATTTTTGGAGTGGTAATTCAATTATGTACCTATTTTTTTTATTCTTTATCCCATAGTTGAACTCTGTTCCGCTCTGTTAGGTAACATGAAAACATATTTGTGATATTTTGCAAATGCGTGGAAAAAGTGATATCTGTGGAATACGGAAAATATTTCACAGATATCACCTTTTGGAAGGGATTTGAAAACTACCACCAATATAATGTGTTTTGTTACATAGTGATTTCATGACATCACGGGGATGAATGGATGTTGTTTTGATATGTTTTGTTTAGTTTTAGAGGTGAACTATGGGAAAAATAGAACATCCTATGAATTTTCGTGATATTGTGTTAATCCAACTCATTGATATCAATATCTGCGCTAATTCACTATTCTAACTTGGCAAGATATTGATATCAACTCGGAGATAAAGATAAAATCATTTAAAATCATATAATATCCTATACATATCCTTTACTGTGCCACAACTTTCTCATATGTTATATATTTTTGCACAGGCCATCATTTATTTTCCTTGAATTCATGCTTTTGTTCCTCGTTTTAGAAATGAGAGGAAATCTTTGATTTTCCTTGTATTTAAGTTGCTTAAATGTTGCCCTGTGATGCTGATAAAAGTCAATAGTAATCCATTACAGTCACAGTTGAAATGTACTCATTGCTAGCCCAGAACCTACCAAACTAGCATTTGCATTTTGTCAATATTGCCCTATGTGCTTTTCCATGAAAATAATTTTAATCGTATCTTTTCTTCAGTATTTCATATATTACATTTTTATATATTTAAATTGGTTAATATTTATATACTATTTACTTAGACAACAATAAATAAAGAATTTTTTGTAAAAACACCAAAAATGGTATATGATCTTTAAATGACTGTTGTGTGAACATCAAAGGTCAAAATTCGCTGAAATTGTATTTTTATAAAGCACAAATGATTTTTCTTCAATATGATATGCATTATTATCAGATATCTTTGGGGGCTAAAAAGGGCCCTTAATGACACCCGTCCTTTTAAAATTTTCCTAATTTCAATTTTCCTACTCACAAGAAACTTCCCTTTTGGATAACATTATGAAGGTGATACTTCCGTTATTTTATTTTCCGAACCTATCAAAAATTAGGAAATAGGGAAAATTATCACTTAATACAGTATAGGGAAAGTATTATTACATAGTGTATAAGTCGTAAGCTTAGAATGGCTGAAAATGTATAATACTGTTATATGTATATGATATAGGGAAAACGCCACCTGACGTTCATCAGTGGTAAGCAATGAATGACTGAAAATATATATTTATATGTACACTCCCTTCCATAAGTTTTGGAACCTTTTCCCCCATAAGGTTACCTGTTAAAAGCCCTCTATATTTGTATTTTCTATATTCATTAGTTCTACAACGAAAAAACTGATAATGGAGATGGAGATGCAACTTGACTTTTTCTCCTTTACTTCCAAATAATCCCATTTTTCCTAAATTACAATAGGTCGAAAATTAGTGACAAATTTGATGCATTTTTGAAAATCGCCATTCCTTACTAAACCAATGGATGGGTTTTAGGCAAATCAGATTTCAGGATATCTATTCAAGAAAACATTTACCAAAAAATATTTTATATAGATAATAAAATTGTCTAACATTTTGCATGCTAAGTGTTTAATTTTTTTTAAATTACCTGGGAACATTTTAGACTCACAAGTGCCAACATTTAAACATTCTGTGATTAACCATCTTAGAAATATGTAGATAACTGCAGGTCAGTTCCTGTATATAAAAGGACAATTGTTAGTAAACTTATTTTACCATTAGCTCTAGTCAACTTAATGCATTTAACATTAACTATTTTAGTAACTTTTTACACTCATAGATAATTTAATATTAATATTTTGAAATTTGCATAGTGGGCAAAGATGCCTGTTGCATCTTAGATAAATAGAAATAGACAAGATTTATCGGGACAGATTTGGGCAAACGAAAGTTATATCTTGTAAGCCCATCGACCCCGCTTATTATTGACAATAAATTCAGCTAGTGGAATGTGTTTCACATCATCTGTGCTTTAAAGGGTACTTACATATGACTAGGTTGTTTGTGAGACTGTACACAAATTGTCCCCCCTGACATCCAACGTATTCCATCCGATCGAATAGGGATTACTCCACAAAGGGCGATAGTGAAACAGTAGATAACAAAAAATCTTAATTTAAAATCGAGTTGATGGTTGATTAAAATCAAGATTGATCAGTGCAATCACCAAATGGAAATAAAAAGACTTTATATTTTATTTTGTTTATCGTGTGTGTAAATAATTTTGCAAAAAAGTGTGACTAAATGATTCGGTTTACTTCAAGAATTTGATTTTTTTGATGGTGGTGTTGAAAGTGGTGCCTTTCTATGCAAAAACATTTTCGGTTTTAAAGGGTAGGACAAATGGAGCTACATATATCGTGGTATATGGGGTATATTAAGGCACCAAAGATCCTAGTTTTTTCATAATTATTTCAATGTTTCCCATTTGTTTGTATTAAAGCATTTGTCTGTGGAATTGCCGCATATTTTGATACGTATTTTAAATATATGCGATACCACGCATCCTTCGTTATGCGACATATGTATTTACGCGAGGTTTAGTCACATGACAAAACCGAATAATTTTGGTCATGCAACTTATGTGCGGTAACCCGTACACAAAAGAACAAACATAACGCAACTTATTATTGAAAACTAGTACTAAGTATATAAAATAAACATGTGCGATTATTACCGGAACTTATGGTGTTTTATTGTATACAGATAAAAGTGAATTTTACTTGAAAGTGTCACTACCTGTGATCATTATGAAACTCTTAATAATATAAATTAGCAAAATGCTTGCTTCTAATTTCAGGTTCAGGAACGGAAAGCTCATAACAACGAACCCATTAGGGTTAACAAATAGCAGATTAATGCTGAATAGTGTCAGTGATGGTGACAAGGGGTCTTATTACTGTGAAGCTAGCTCCGACTATGGATCGGCAATATCAAATATTGCTTCCCTTGATGTCAAAGGTAACTGTAAATCTATTTTCGAAATTGTTAATGGACTAGCTACAGCCTCATCATTTTCACCGAGAAGGAGGTCGATTCGTATCCAAATAATTTACCCCTATGTTAATAGAAAATAATATCTGTGTATAATTTCGGGAAACCCTGTATTACTGTACGATGAGTGCAATTTACTTACAGTAAGGTACAATCGACAACGTGACTACAACATTTAGATATAATAGTTACATTAATTAGATTAATTAATTAATTGTATGTATGTATGATCCATTCCGTGGTAACACGAACACATCCATTGACTCAATATATTTTTTAGGTCATGTTTATTCATAAAATTGTATTTTGTGGCAAAATGTTTCCACCACAAGCGTCATTTGACAATCATGCCCCCTGGCGTAAAATTTCTGCTCTGAAAATGAAATGAGAAACAGACACGTGTTGACCCTAGTATGTTCGCGATATTATGATAACATGAACTTTTAATACTAATTTTAAAAACAAAATATTGAACAGGAGTGTGGTTAATGCGAAAATGAGGAAAATGACCTAAATTTTGACCTTGACCTTCGACAATGACCTTTTAAGGTAATATTGATTATCATGCCCTTTAATAGGTCTATTTACACTAACATAACTGTAAGTCGTGTCCATAATTCCTTTACAATTCATCTTCAACCCAAACCTTTCACCTTGAAATACTTGTCAATAGTAGCCTTATTGTTTATCATTTAAAGGCATTCTCTATCCCTCAAAACTCAAACTTTTTGACAAAACGTATTTTGGAAACAAAAAACAGTATAACAAATCAATAACCTGACACAGAGACAAATTGTTTTTGAGACGAAAACTGATTGAAAGGTGCTATCACCTGATCGCAGGCAGAAACGCCTTGAATGTCTCGTTGCTCTAAATTCGAAATGCATTTTTGAATTTGTCAATTCTCACATAAGCGATGTAAGCGATTCATCTCACTTTTTAAAAGCTTGCTAATTTATTTGACTTTATATGTACAATAAATTTAGATAATCAATTTCTGAGAGAATACTTGTCAAAAGGCGGTTTATGTTTTGGACATGATACATCATATCAAGTAAATGTCTGTGCCATTTTAGATGATGGAGGGAGTTTCTGTGACACATCCCCTCTATCACATCCCAAAGCGTTACCAAAGGACTGTCCACAGACTGGTGACAATCCGCTGCAGTATGAAGTTGGCCGTTGCCGTAGAAACGAGTGTATTCAGCGACCAGAGTCAAATACTGAATCCGAATATTGCTGTGGCCCTACACGCCAAACAATGAGAACGATTTCATGTGCTGACTATTCTTTAGATATTGTTGTAACATTGGAGTGTGGTTGTGTTGTGTGTAATCAGGCAAATGTTACTGGTAATATCATAACTAGCGTTCGTAAGGTCACTTTTAGCGGATATGCTCATGATATAGTTGACACAAGTTCTCCTCTTAGATTTGGGAAGGTATACTTATTTGATGAAGAGATTGCAACAACAAGTTTTAATGGTGAGTTTAGTTTTCCCGTCCCTCTTGATATGACAAGAATCGTGGTCACTTTTAAGGAAGAATTCATCAAAAATAACTTCATTGAGACATCTAAGGTGTTTAACATACCCAAAGACTATTCCGGTAATTTCTATAGAGACATTCCGCTTTTGAGAAAATCTACTGTTGTTGAAATTCCATCATCAGAAACGACAACTCTCTCCTTGGCTAACTCAACGTCTGGGAGTTCATTTGCTGACGTCATCATTCCTGGTGAGTCATTTTACAAAGCTGATGGTACGAAATACAGCGGTCCTGTTCAAACAGCTATAAACTTTATAGACCCTCGAAATAATGAAGACCTTAATGCCATGGTTGGAGATCTAACATTCATCAATGACGATGGTGATATTGGGTCATTGCAAACATTCGGAATGTTCCATTTGGCATTTAGTGATACGGCCGGAAATGAACTTGGCATCAAAGGGGAAGTAGGCATGGCAATAAGTGCTGACGTCATAGGTGCAGGACTGCAGAACGCAACGAATGTAAAGCTTTGGTCTTTTAATCCCTCCTCTGCGAGATGGGAATATGAAGGGAATTTGAGACGAGTTTCAAATAGAAAAAAGAGATCACAGGCTCGGGACACCACAGACTTTTTTGTTGGTGACGCAGTCATAACAGATCGTTACTGGTTCAACTTTGATGACAATCAGTTAAATTACTGTTTCATTAAAGTAAAAACATATAGTGACTCGAGTTCAGCATCACCATTACCCTGGGACAGCTCTCTAGAACCTACTGTAATTTCATTGGATCAAACATCTTGGCAAGGTGGCAGCGCAGGACGTATTGTCACTGGAGGTATGAGTAGAAATCGCGGCTTACGATCGCATGAAGATTGCATATTGACAGTTTGTGGTGATTCCCAGTTTCACGGATACCTATTCATGGACAGTCCATCGGGTGCATTGAGTGCTGCATCAAGCCTAGGCGGATCAAGTTCAAATGTGTCTGGTGTAAATATAATAGTAGATCAACTAAGTCCAACTGAAAGTCGAGGGAGAGTCATTGAGACAACAGTTTCCCCACTCACTTCAAATGGCCCGATATATCATAGCAGTTCCAGTTTTTTGTCTCGTACTAATTGTGTAAACCCAGATGAAACGGCCCCACATTATAGTTTCTATCAAAATACAGCTTCCCTATTTGAGTATTCTGTATGTGAGCGTGTGCAATGGGATTGCCCTTCAGTACAAAACTCTTGGCCTTTAGCATGGTTTCCAAGACTCACGTCCACGTATTGGGTCTGGTATATTAAGGTTCGTGTAGTCGTTGATAGTACATCGGAGGAATCATCTGTAAGAGTTGTAAGTAGAGGAGGTACTCACCTTGCAACCTTGGGGGAGATGTTCGGTATCCGTGAAGACACAACCATAGATCAAACAGCATGTATTGAATTCAAAGGACGTGGCACCATACTTGAAGCTTTAGACCAAACTATCGTCGAGGTGCTTGTAGAAGGCACAGACTGTACAGTAGAGTCTGTTGCTTCCAGTCTTCAACAATACCAGACAACCACACCTTATAACGATGCAGCGCTAGTTTCATTTAAACCACCTTCTGCCTCTATCATTGGTGGAACAGATTTTGGAATATACGTAGATGATAATGACGATGTTCAAACGGCTAAATCTACTGCCAAAGCAAGGTGTCTATGTGCTGATTTCCAACAAGGCCAAACGTGTAGTTCACCCAAACCTGTTATCGGTGTAGGGCTAACTATAAGATGTAAGAAACGTTACGGTTAACTTAGATTCTACAAATATTGAACATCGTTTTTATCACTTTTTGCCGTTTTCTCATAATTATGCCGCATTTTTAGCTAAATAGTTGAAATCTTAGATGTGGAAATTAGTTAACTTGTTGATTGAACAAAAGAGGTTGATCGTTTTGTAGCATGTTATGTTATGGGCGTCATCTTATTGATGGAAGCAGTGATGTAACTTCGATGTAATAGTACAGTGTATAGTATTTATAGATGTGTAACCATTTAATCAAAGAAAGATTGATATAGAGTCAAAAAATGAAGTCAGAATTGTTAATTTGAGTTTTTTACTTTTTGTCATATTAGCGCCCTTCAAAGGCCCGTTGAATAGGGAAAATCTACGCTGAATTAGTTTAAGATATGTTGGGGATTTACCAAATGCAATTCTGTGTTTCATTTTATTTAATCACAGTATTAGCACACAATATATAGTGAAAAAGCATTTCAATTGCGCAAATTTGATGAAGGATAAAACAGCAAAGATAAACAATTTTGCAATTCTGGACTTCTTTTATGACTAGACAAGTGTTAGATCTTTAGACATGCATGCAGGCCTACAAGTGCGTTCATGCATCTACAATTCAGTAGTAGATGGCGATTGAATAATCTTAATATTTTTTTAAAATTGAACCTAATCTTGCTACAAGATTGTACCTACCCCCCCCCCCCCCAGCACCTTCACTCTCTTTACCTGGAAATATATAGTCTTGTAACCACCGATTTTAAGCAGGTGCTGCCACCTTCCTAAACGGATCCGGAAATCATGAATTATTAATGATGTTGGAACTATTTGATATATCAATACACCAGACATGCTTTCTTGTAGTGAGTTTTAGTTAGTAATACTTTTTATTTTATGCTTTTAAACCTTTGTTAAGAGAAGGATTTTAGTTTAGAAAAGTATTTCTATACACAACAAGATAAAATCATGGAAATATAAGACTTAGTGCAATAGCCTTGCCCAAGTCGGTATTTTTTACTTATCTGATTTTGAATTATAACCGTCTTGTACAATCCAATACATCTCAGCTGTTATAATGATGAAATATTCAACGGTTTCGAGAGTGCCATAATACCTACGCTATCAGGGGTATCGCGAAACCTTATTGATTGACAGATCGCGCGTGGACACGACGTGTGACTTCAGGCTGATTGACCAATCAAAACGTTATCAGGTTGAGCTGCATAAACAAAACAAACTTCCAATCTACGACTTGAAATTCAATTGATCAAGTGTTTCTTTAGAGTTACAATATATCATATAATTAAATGTACATTGGAAGGTAAGTCATTAATATAAATTAAATCATGCGATTCAATGTTGATTTAAAACTGATTTCGCGATGAAAATGCACGAAGTCCTAGTCCAATGTAGCAGGTATTGTTGTCGTCGATCGGTGATTGAATCTCAGCCTACATGTTCAGCAATCGTTTCAACGTTTATTGTTGAAATCTTCTCACGTTTGGTTATCCGATCGATGCTCTGGCATCCACTAAACATTAACTCTCATTGATATTTATCTGATAAAATATTTGTATTTTCATGATTAATTCGTGCAAGATTTGTTCGTGAAAAGTCCCTGAAAAGTGTACTTGTTTATGACCGTGCATAATAATGAGCTAATGATGCAGGGCCAACGTTGATTGGTCATATTTTACCGACATAAACATTGGGTTGTGCTGCTCTAAGAACAACAAATAATCTGATTGGCTGATCAAAAGGTGTTAAGAGATAACCATCTAGCATGAATAATTCATATCAGTGTCAACTTACTGGTGGTAACAAGACCCTAGAGAGAAGGATAAAGGGGGGGGGGGTTCCAGGTTTTTTAAGCAAGACTAAACTGAACCCTTCAAAGACGGTATCATGGTCCACTTACGTGGGTACGAGCCTCGAGGTTTTCTATACAAAGTCGAGTCATTTGAAAGCGATGATGCTTATAATTCAATAAGATAATTTCCCTACAGCTGAATAAACAAATGAAAACTAATGCTGCCATCTTTTATTCAGCTTTTTATTTTGGCCAGACTGCCATATAGCATATTGTTCCTCAGATTAACGTGCTATAACTAAAAAATATATTATGGTGTTAAATTTGTATCAAAATTGGACATCTTATATTTATGTGATATCTCTAGCACATTGAATGGCGTCTAGCAGAATACATTCGCCATCCGTGTAATTTCATAACGGTTTGTTGAGTTTACACGCACTATATTTAATTTTTCACACATGTACAGTGGGGGACAAAAATAAAACTCAACGTTCACAAGTTGTCACAATGAGCTAATTTCCAAGTTTCGTGTCTCGAACTCTCCCAAGCGGTAGAAAAATAATTCCCTTTCACTAAAGTAGCACAATAAATGAATCCAAAGCTTCATACCTGCAAATAATGGATAAATCCCTACCAAATCGAATGAATGTTTTCATGAATCGCCATGTTTGTTATCCAAGGACGGTTGACTCCCAGAATGCAACATCAGTTACCGTATTTACTCATGACAGGTTTCAAAATGGCGGAACAGCATTTTGAAAGCTGGCATGTGTCATGTTGCATTCTGGGAGCCAATCCTCCGTTCCGGCGCAATCGGGCGACAAAATCACCTCAACATTTGAAGAGTCGGCATAACATGTGAATATCCACTTCAACTTTTGAAGTTCTTATTTGTCATTAAGGACACAAATTCTACTATATTTGGACTTACTCAGACGGAGAAAATAGAGCACTGAATACACTGAGGTAAGAATTTATTACATGTGCGACAGCATGTCATTTTCATAGCTTTTGCAATTCTTTATGATCCCCACTGTACATGCGTATTTGTGAATGCATTGCTTAAAAATGACATCGAACAGAGAACACAGGTGGAACAAGTGCCTTTATGGCTCGCACAAACTTTTTCCGTTCACATTGGTTTCTAGAGATGTTCGAGATTTTGTTAGCAATTTGTTTTTAAATCTGGTGTGACTTTTGACTTTCAATTGTAGAAACCAAGATGTAAATACCACAAGACTTCAAATCTATAACCCTATGTGAGGTGCAAGATGTTTGTGAGAGCCTATGCGAGCGGGAACCATCATATGCGAGTTTGAACTCCTAAAAAAGCTTTCATGCAAACAAAAAAAGTGTTATAGAATAAGCTTGTATCCGCAAGTGCAAATAGCGGCGGCTGGCGGGCGGGCGTGGCGGTTTCCGGATTAGCCTATTAATTTTCATAAATAAACCCGTCATTTTGAAGTTGTAATTACGAACAACCCGTCAGTCAACGAACAATCTGCAAAATACAAGCAACTCGATAGTCGGTAGCCGTTATTTGCTTTCGCGAATACAAGCCAAGGAGGATTGGCTCCCCGTGTGCAACATCGATGTTATGTCCCATATATGGAAATGTCGTGATTCAAAAGGAGGGCGAGTTGTTTGTAGAATGAATCGGGGGATTTTTTTCATGAATTTCGCTTATGTTTTTCATCCAAAAAACATCAATACACTTTAAAACATTTTGTTTACTTTAAGATTACACCATGTAATCCAAAAATATATTTCTCATTTTCAAAGATAATCCATGGATTAACACCCAGGTATTTTTATTTTTCAATCTTCAGAGGGCTGGGAATCAATGATGCTCAACGCTTTTGAATACGATAAATGCTGTTTTAAATAGGTATTACGTATGCCAATAATTTCTCAAATTATGTAAGCTGAATGCATTCCTTAACCCTTTCACGACGATAGGCTCCATATGGAGCCCTATTATGTAATACCTTTCAGGACGATAGGCTCCTTTTGGCACCATTATTTTTATTCATATACATCAATGAAATTACAATATCTCTAGTTCTATGCAGTATTTTTACATCAATTCTTGACAAGTTGTTCTAATGTGATAATCCTTACTACAAAATTGTATTTCAGTGATAAAATTCTAGGTATAGGTCCTGGGGCATAGGTTATTTGCAGTTTCCCCTAAAAACCTCTCTTACTTATCCGTCACCAGGGCCAACATTTTCCTTTTATATTCACGTCGTGAAAGGGTTAATCCCTAGAATGCCTATCATAATAACATTCTTTTGTCTTGGCCACTTAATATGTTTTGTTGTTGTCTGATCATCAAATCAAATTGTTGTTATTTAAAGATGTCAGTCAAATCTGGTGAAACAGCACAACATTTACCTAAATAGCACGAGTACATATTATGTAACTCATGCATAATATTTCATGCATCAGGTATTAAGGCTTAGGGGATTAACTTTTACACATAAACTGAACTGACAGATGTGTACGCTTACATGTACAACTTCCAGGATTGTAAGAATTCAAAACTTGTTGATAGCCATATTTTCCTGAATGTGATATCGAGATATTATGGCATTTATGAGTGGTAAAACATGAAAAAAAGCATTTTCATTTAAAATTAGCATATGATTTGAATTGATGCCAAGAAATGTATTAGTTAACTGTATCCGTTTTACATCCATTGCAGTTGGCTACATTATAAGACAAGGCATTCACATGCAAAATGTCAACACCTGCCATTTGTTACAGACACCAACTGCCAAACACCAACTGCCAAATGATAAACACCAACCACTGAACACAGTCTACAAAAAAGGTTTGAGACCATAACAATATGTCACCACTTGTGGTGGTGACATAAAAATGATCATGGAAAATTGTATTTTTTTTAAAAAAGTAGGAACTTCTGAGGTTATTAGAAAATTGGAAGACAAGGAAGGATTCTGGGAAGAATATTAGGGTTATAAATTGCAATGAAACTAAAACAAAACATTCTTTTTCTCAAATATCACAGTGTATATTCAAATCACAAATACGATATCATACAATTACAATAAGGGTCTAGTGCACTTTCCATTGTGATATCCCCATGAACAAAATGAATCATTTTTAGGTGTAACATAAAGAATACAATGTCACATAATACTGTGGAAAATATTTGAGCGTTTGGACCCACATGGGCTGAGGTTGAGGTCATTTAGTTCAGCAAGGGTGAATTGACTTGCCATTGAATGGGCTCCATTGACTTAACATGTGGATATCATCAATTCCAATAGAGGCCATTGGTTTCTATTGATTTTCACAAAAATACCTAAAATACACTATGACCTGAATCGATTGCAAATTAAATAATTTCACAGTATGACACAAATGGTATATCACATCAGATGTGCAAATATAAAGTTTGCAATCGATTCAGGTCATACTTCAAATTAAAAGATTATACATTTTTCCATCATTTTTTTCCTACAAAATGGCTATAGAAAAATGCTTCAAAAGCAACTTTTATACTAATGAAATCCCATACAACTTTCTAAATCCAAAGATTATACTGTTATGTTTCATTAATTAATAACATATTTGGATAATATGTTGGGATGTGTAGGATGCAAATGAATTTTGACAGACACAAAAAGACTTCTTGGTTTAGCATATCTACCCCTGTACACTTTATGATTGAATATTGGCCCTCATAAGTGGCCCATTCATCAATACAGTGCTGAATATAGGTCAACAAGATACTAGTGTACATATAATAATAATACCTATAGCTAGGTCTGAATATTAAACTCCAGCCAAATAGAGCCACCACAATATTTCAACCTTTGTAACCCTTGCAAAAAGATTTTCTTGCAATAAAAATGTGAAAATAGCTTAGGGTACTTGTAAGCCAATCTGATTTTAAGGTAGACATGTCTCGATATTTTTCAATAATTTTCATGATTATAAATACCGATAATCAATGAAAGGGACAATATTTTCACATTTGTAATTGTATGTGTATGCATGGTCCATGTGTATGTTACCATAATTCTTTATATCCACTTAAAATGTCAAAAATATTGCCCAATTTATAATTATCAGATAATTTATTCATCACCAAAATTAGTAAAAATTATCAACATGCAGAACTACCTTAAAGAGTTTAATCTCTCACTCAGTCACAATCATGTCAACCAAAACTGTACTCGTGTTACATAATATAGGATTATACAACTTACCATACGTGTGCAATCTATATAGCATCCACACTGACATCTTTACAGAATCATATATAATTTTTGAATATAAACTAACTCAACCCAATAAGGCGAGTACTAAAGAATTTACTTACCTGCCATCTAAAAATCTGCTTGGAACTACCATTGGATTCCTCCAAGAGAATATTCTAGGGATTATGGAATGCATTCAGCTTACATGATTTGAGAAATTATTGGCCTACGTAAAACCTATTTAAAACAGCATTTATCATATTCAAAAGCGTTGAGCATCAATGATTCCCAGCCCTCTGAAGTTTGAAAAATAAAAATACCTGGGTGTTAATCCATGGATTATTTTTGAAAACGAGAAATATATTTTTGGATTACATGGTGTAATCTTAAAGTAAACAAAATGTTTTAAAGTGTATTGATGTTTTTTGGATGAAAAACATAAGCGAAATTCATGAAAAAAAAAACCCGATTCATTCTACAAACAACTCGCCCTCCTTTGAATTCAAACAGCCGCCATTTTGTTCACTTGAAGATTTTAATCTTGAATTTTGGTCTTATTCCTAAACGAAAAATTCCCAAACTCAAGAAATGATCGAGATATTGGTTTGAATCTTTTGGACTGTTAATTTTGAATTTATGATTGGTAATAATTTCAGAAAATAATGACATTTCGACGTTTTCATTGTTGGACAATATCGATTGTCGATCCTGGGGGTCAATCCTCCTCGAATACAAGCTAAGTAAAAGCTATTACTTATGGGAGGACTCGAAATTATTTTTGCTCGCTGATTACAATAACGATGGTATGCTTTATTAAACATATCCTTACTGTATAGTGAATCTCACGTTGTTGAATACTTTAAAAATTTCTATATTTAAGATTTAGAAGGTTGCAGTTTTTATCGCCCTATGCTTTTATAGGATATCCTATAATTTTGAGGAATATCATTTTTATCTACGAGGTGATTTTGATGTCTGCACGAGAGAGCAATGCGAACGATTGCATATATCAATATCACCGTGTAGATTAAAATGACATTCTGAAAAAATCATAGGACGTTCTTATTATTCTACACTTACAAGGAGTGTACTGAATGTATAATATCATTGTAAATGAATTTCATGCCAAACAGAGTCAATTTGGCGGGAAATCAACAAGCACAATATATCCTCCGCATATTGGGTTTTCCGGAGTATATCGTCACGATATTCACTGCATAGTGGTTTTCCTGAGTACATCGTGGCGATATCCTCCGGTTATTCATTTTGCAAATATATATCAAATTTATTTTTAATGTTATTATACATTTAAGTCACTAAGTGTAGGATAAATAATTATATACGATTATTTCCAATATAAATATGACTTTGCCTTTATGAAAATAAATACTGTTTGAAATTAAATAAGACAATTAGGCGTGTATTATGTGCTTAACATTATATACGTACATGCTGTTTACCTTGTGTGATGTAGGGTTGATTGATATTTTGATTTGGTGTATTCCTATCGTATTCCTCACACTCTGATTGGTCCATGTCCTACACGTGACTAAAAACAATATTGGAATATCCTATGGTTTTGAAAAAATATCATTTATATCCATGAGTAGATATTTATATCTTAATGAGTGAGCGCAGCGAATGAGTGAAGTTACTGTCATATCTATGAGTGAATATGATTGATATTTTTGAAAAACCATAGGATTGTTCGTTTATCTCATTTGAAATCATTACCCAGCAAAAAAAATTGAAAAAAAATTAAAAATTAAAAAGATACTTGAAAAAAAATTGAAAAAAAGAAGAATAAATTGAAATAAGTTTCAATAAAATTATTGACAAAGAAATTGAAAACATTTGAAAATTCTAAACCTTCGAATATCACTTCTGAAACCATCGAATATCAAAAAACAAACAATACTGGACATGTATATAGGGTATGTAAATATCAGTTCCAATATCCCTGCGCTATATTGTGCTACCAGCTCGTTTATTCGGCATCCTGGGATTTTCATACCATAGATGTTAGGTTGGAGACTTCAAAAGAGTTTCCCATGGGTGACCATTACAACAGTTTACCCTATATCTTATCAAAAGTTAGTAGCCAGGCCAAGTGCAACACACTATGTGTCCGGGAGAGACTTACCTTAAGTTGCAAAAAACTTCCAAAAATAACACATTGTTTCATTCCGCTCTTCGAAAATGTGTATTTAATAATTATAAGATTATTAATCACAGGTCAATGTGTTATGTCGTTTGTATTCTTTTGTGTAGATAAATTTCTTATTGAAAGATAGACTCTTATAATTTTAGTAATACGTATACTTAATGTTCGTTCTCTTATTCATTTATTAGTATTCTATCTGAAATTTAATCTATAGCGAAGTTATTTAGAAATCACAAGTTTTGAACCCTTTCTGGTTTGCACAAAAAATGTCTGCGTTGACAATATATTGCAAGACTAAACATGAATAGTAAAATTATAGTTTTTGTAAAGTAGGTGCCTGGTAGCTATTTACCTGGAGTTGGCGAATAAAGAGTGTATGTGTATAAAAGATATAATTTATGACATCATTATCTATACAAATTTGGGTGACTTTGATTAATACTTTTCTCACCAACATTTTCATGTTTTATGGTTTAGGTAAGGATTTTAACAAATAATATTGCATTAAAGTTACATACCTCTTGAGAGATTAAACTAGTCTCCACACAAAGTGGGTACTACAGAATGATAACTTTCAACGTGTCAATCCTAAGAAATATTTATCCATGCAAACGCTTCTCATAACTTCTTTAACTCGTATAACTTATAACTCATACGTGATCATCATACACATTTTTAATCCTTATGGACATTTCTTCCTAAGCAAAACGTTTTTATCAGAGAACAGTGCATCAGAAATGACTATTTAGAGACAAATGCGCCATACCCCAGAATTAGTTTAATAAGGGGGGAGGGAGTATGCGTCCTGAACGAACGCTTGATTGCAGTATGAGGTACGCCTTTCATATGTCCAAAATAAGTCTGTAAAAATTATTGAGGAGGTCTGCATCGTTAAGGAACAGTTAAAGATGATGAAAAATATAATTTATGTTGTGATTAATGGTTTTAAACTAAACTAGTGAATATAAACAGGCTATACTTCTGTTCAAAAGATTAGACGCATGTTAGTGTGCGTAACAACACTAGCTTAAGCGTATTATAATAGAAAAGCATGGTCTCTTCCCTAATGACGTACCTAATTGGAATTGGGCTAACTCTACTGAGCACTTCAGAATTTTATACAATTCAAGTTGGAGCGACACCAACCGATGCCGAAATCACGCAACTCACATTAGCTGTCAATAGCCTTTCAATAATAGTTGGTAAACAGCAACAACGCATAGGAGACCAAAATAAGGAAATTGCTGCATTGAAAGATAATGATATCAAACTGAAAACCCTAGTTGGACAGTTGGACGGGAAATGTGATGAAGCTTGTAAATGTAAGTGTAGGCGTATTCCAGGAAGGAGAGGGCTTAAAGGGAATCCTGGTGTAAAAGGTGAAACTGGTCCACAAGGCCCAAAGGGAGATGAAGGTGACATAGGACAAAATGGGTTAGATGGTGAAAAGGGCGATAGAGGTGCGAATGGCCTGCCAGGTGCAAAAGGCGAAAAAGGTGATCGGGGGTCAAAAGGAGAAAATGCTGTTTCTATTCAAGGACCATCTGGTCCACCAGGACCACGTGGACAAAGGGGTGAACCAGGAAATAGAGAAGACGGTAAGTATGTATTTACTTTTTAGAAAAAAACATCGATCAGTACAGTACTGGCTATATATGGTAATCAGTTCATGAAATGGTTATACGATCATTAAAAGTTCGCAATAGAACACCGTGACATGAAATTCATTATCAAAAATGGGAGACGTAACTGCCGTTTCAACTCTTCTTCAAAACCATGAGGAGACAACGGATTCTGAATTAAAAAACAACGAGGATAATGGCAAATGGTATATGGATTTGTCGTTGTCGAGTGTCATATTTTAAATCGGTACATTTAAGGACTTCCTCTCGGTTTTCGAAAAACATAATTGATTATACCAAAGGAACCCAATCTACGTTAGTGCCGTGCTCTATTAAATGTGCAATGGAAGAAAATCAATTTGATTACGATCTACCGTCCGCTATTTTTCCCAGCGGAATCTGACTTTGCTGTTGTCAGGTTGTCCCGTCGTGAAGTTTGAAATAATCAAAATGCTAGCACATTAGGCGAAATAGCTATATAGTCACGTATTGGGCCGACATGAGAAAACCCTTTTTATCAAATGTTATTCTTTTATATCGATGATAACCGTGTTTTCTCAGGAAAATAAAAAAGTGTTTTAAATTTAGATAAAAGAGTATGAAGTGCAGAACGGCGATTGTATATAATGTACAATAAATTGTAGGCTTGCCGACCCATAAGAACCTGCACCATTTTATAACATTCTATACCTTTTTATTTGTTGTGTAGTCTAACGTGCCTACACCGATCGAGTAGCAACCATGTGGAATAAGCTAAAGCAAACTTAGATAGTTATAGTATTGTGAGTCTTTTTGACATCGAAAAACAGGTGTTTTTAGATCAATCCATTATTCCAGAAAAAATATTTATATCGAAAATATCACTCTTTGATTTAGGGAATGGTAAATAAATCAAAACAATGGTAATGTTTTTGTAATGTTTTGTCATTTATCATTTTTATTCCAAAATTAATTTGGTGTTCCGACAACTGCAGTGCAACAAAACGAGGAGATGACAATTGAAGAGGCTTTGATTAATGACGATTTAGTAAATGGAGATGATGCTTTCATAGGTAATTTAATATCATTTCATCAGTTGAGTTCGAACAATAATTAATACGTTTCTCAAGTACGTCTATTTAACGAAGTCGAAATCAAGCAGTGAAGGTTTTGGCGACCTTGAATAGGTCTTCATAAGATAGGTGGCGTTGTTATCAAAAACTGTGTGTCGTTGATGCATTTAAAGTGAGTTTCAGTAAAAAAAATAATCAAGATAATATAGTTAATTGAAGGAGGGATTCAAATTAATGATATTACACTGTACATTCAAATGAATATACATTGTAAAAACCACAAAGTTTCCACATATACTGTAGCCATATTTACATCTTCAGTAACTTACGGGATGTGGACAAAATGGAGTCCTTGGTCACGTTGCAGTGTCACGTGTGATAGTGGAACTCAGACCAGAACGAGGCTTTGTCGGAAGACGTCACCGTGGGATATTGATTGTGATGGAGAGGATAGCGTCTCAAGATTTTGCGACAATGGATTGTGTCCAGGTAAACAATTAGGGGTTAATATGTTAACTACCTGGAGTGACAAGCAAGGACATTGTGTTGCTCTTTAAAAAACCATCAACTAATCTCTCCTCTCAACCAATACAATGTCTCATAAAGTGACATATTATAAGAGCACCATGTGTTCATGTATCTCAGGGATAGATATATAGATCAACACATGTACACTAAACTGCTAAAATGTTATTAGGGTATATTATCAACACCTCTATTTGCCTTACAGATTGTGACAAAACGTGTCCATCAAATAAACGTTTAAATGGAAACTGTACGGCTTGTATTTGTCCATCTAATATGAGACACATACAAGTTTTCAATACGAAAATGGTCCCGATAGATGGCGTGACAGTTGCTAAGTTGGAGACACAGTATGAAATATTGGGAACAACCGCTGATTCAAATGGGACTACAATTGATTATCTTTGTGAATCAGACTTGTTGATATTCAAGAAGTCGAAGTATGTGGATGTCACATTATCTGTTGGTGGGGTCTCTTCCGATCCAATTGTGGTTACAATGGAAACAACAGGTAAACCATATATAGCCCTGACTACAATTGATTATCTTTGTGAATCAGACTTGTTGATATTCAAGAAGTCAAAAAATATATGGATGCAACATTTTCAGTTGCGGGAGTTTCTTCCGATCCTATTATTGTCACCATGGAAACAACAGGTTAAGCCACCTATAGCCTATAGAAGTGAAATGCTAATGTGCAGTACCAGTTAATTTACACAATTCAACTTTATCTAGATACAGACAAAAATATTTCATTATTGTTTAGATTTGTGTCGATCTGCTTCAATATCATATAATATGAATATGAAAATGAACTGCGACCAGAACCTTGTTTGTATATATTTTAAAGATAGTCAACTCCTTTTTAGAATCAATAGAAGTAGTGAGCCATCCTCAAGATGCAGTAGCATTAACTGGTGATTTCGTCAACTTCACGTGTCGAGCTATAGGAAAACCACCACCTGACGTATATCAGTGGTAAGCTAGTATACACAATTGTTCAAGGATTCTGTGCATACCCATAATGAAGTTACTTAAAAAGGCAAGATAGACTTTTAAAAGTGTGAAATCTGATTAAGTTTACATTATTTTGGATCGATGGTGCATAAATATCCAAATTTGTCTAAATTGTAAAATACATCCCATTAATTTCAGGTTCAAGAACGGGGAACTTATCACAACCAACCCATCAATAAATGATAACCAGTTATCTTTAAATGGTGTCATTGATGGTGACAAGGGGTCTTATCATTGTAAAGCTAGCTCCAAATATGGTTCTGCAGTATCCAACATTGCTTCCCTTGATGTAAAAAGTAATTGATATTTAATTTATTTGTTCCATAATTTATCTCTCTATTAATAATTTTATATTTTCAAACTATTCTCTTTAGTCTAGAGATTTCGGAAAAACATATAAATACTGAATATATATCGCATCGTGTAAATGTATGAGTCATTTTAGATGACGGTAGGAGTTTCTGTGATTCGTCGCCCCTATCACATCTCAAAGTCTTGCCGAAGGACTGTCCACAGACTGGAGAAAATCCACTGCTGTACGAAGTTGGCCGTTGCCGTAGAAACAAGTGTATAGAGCGACCAAAGGCAAACGCCGAATCTGAGTATTGTTGTGGGTCGACTCACCAAATAGACAGACGACTTGCATGTGCAGACTACTCACTGGACATTGTTGTGACTTTGGAGTGTGGTTGTATAATTTGTAATCAAGCTAATGTTGGGGGTAATATCATTGCTACCAATCGCAAGGTTACATTTAGCGGGTATGCTCATGATATAGTTGACGCAAACTTTCCTCTTAGATTTGGGAAGGTATATTTATTTGATGAAGAGGTTGCAACAACTAGTTATAATGGTGAGTTCAATTTTCCCGTCGCTCTTGACATGGCAAGGATCGTAGTCACTTTCAAGGAAGGATTTATCAAAAATAACTTCATTGAGACATCTAAGGTATTTAACATACCCAAAGATTATTCTGGTAATTTTTACAGAGACATTCCTCTTTTGAGAAAATCTACTGTTGTAGAAATTCCCTCATCAGAAACAACAACTCTCTCCTTGGCTAACTCAACGTCTGGGAGTTCATTTGCTGACGTCATCATTCCCGGTGAGTCATTTTACAAAGCTGATGGTACGAAATACAGTGGTCCTGTTCAAGCGGCTATAAATTTTATAGACCCTCGGGATACTGACCTCCTTGACGCCATGGTTGGGGATTTAACTTTCACTGATGACAATGGGGATATTGGGTCATTGCAAACATTCGGAATGTTCCACCTAGCATTTAGTGATTTGGCCGGAAATGATCTTAGCATCAAAGGAGAAGTAGGGATGGCAATAAGTGCTGATGTCATAGGTGCAGGACTGAATAATGCAACTAGTGTAAAATTATGGTCTTTTAATCCCTCCTCGGCCAGATGGGAATTTGAAGGGAATTTGAGACGAGTTTCGAAAGCAAGAAAAAAGCGATCCCAAGGGGGCACCACAGACTTTTTTGTTGGTGACACAGTCATAACAGATCGTTACTGGTTCAACTTTGACGACGACAGTTTAAATTACTGTTTCATAAAAGTAAAAGCATATAGTGAACCAAGTTTGACTACACCATCATTACCCTGGGACCGTATTTTAGACCCCACCGTAATTGCGTTGGATCAAACAATGGGGAGCGCAGGACGAACTGTCACAGGCAGTATGAGTTATGATTCTTTGACAGGTGTAACATCGAATAAGACTGCATACTAACAGTTTGTGGTGATTCCCGATTCCATGGATACATTTTCTTGGAAAGTCCATCTGGTGCATTGAGCGCTTCATCATTACTTGGTGGATCAAGTTCAACTGTGTCTGGTGTGAATATAACAGTCGATCAACTAAGTCCAAGTGAAAGTCGAGGGAGAGTCATTGAGACATCAGTGTTCCCACTCATGTCAAATGGTCCTGTGTTTCACAGCAATAACACTCTTTGTTACAATAAGAGTTCACAATTTTGTGTGAGTTGTTCTGAAACTTTGCGTCACACCGACTGTATATTTTGTGATAGCTGGAGATGTGCATTTCCAAGTTCACTGTCTTATGCTATGTGTTTAAAAGCAAATGAAACGGCCCCACATTATAGTTTTTATCAAAGTAATGTTTCCTTATTTGAGTATTCTGTATGCGAGAATCTGCAACAGGATTGCCCTTCAGTGCAAACGCTTTGGCCTTTAGCTTGGTTTCCCAGAGTCGAAGACTTATATTGGGTTGGGTATATAAAAATTCGCGTGCTTGTTGATAGGACAACAGAGGAATCAGCTGTAAGAGTTGTTAGCAGAGGAGGAAATCACCCAGAAACCTTGGGGAAGGTGTTCGGTATCCGTGAAGACACGACCATTGATCAAACAGCATGTATTGAATTCAAAGGAAGTGGAGATATACTGACACAAGCTGGTGTCGCGTCAGACCAGACTATCGTAGAAGTGCTTGTAGAGGGCACAGCATGTACAGTAGAGAATGTGGCCTCTAGTTTACAGCAATACCAGACAAACACATCTTTCAATGATGCAGCGATAGTTTCGTTCAAACCACCTTCTGCATCTCTCATTAGTGGAGAAGGTTTTGGCATATACGTAGCTTCTAATGCTGATGTTAAAACGGCCAAAGCTACCGCTAAGGCAAGATGTCAATGTAGTGATTTCAAGGAAGGTCAAACGTGTAATTCCCCCCGACCCAAAATCGGATACGCAGTTTCTATAGCATGTAAGACACGTCGTAGTCGCGGCTAGCTCTAATTTTGAAGATGACGAACACTCTTTATGTTTCTGAAATTGTCAAATTTTAACAATTTTGTGAAAGCAATTGCTTTTATCTCAAAGAGACTGATTATATCGAAGCATTATGTCCTTTATGGGTTTGTATATAAAATGTAAGAAACGGTTTTACAAAATAATCTTTAGAATATTTTGAAGGAGGCGAGTCATGTGAAACCAAGATGCTTGTTTATTCAATTAAACAGCATAAGGAAGGAGATGGTGTAAAGGAAACCCGTGTATTAAAGGTTTCAACCTTGTGTTGAATGTGACACTGGGACATAATGGGTTAGATGGTGAAAAGACAGTAGTGTACAAGATTGTCTACCTTGAGCAAAAGGTAAAATGGTGATCGATTTCCAAAAAGCAGACTCGCTGAGCCTATTGGTCCGGATCCCCATATGAAAAGTAAATTAGTGCTATCTGGACCACCTAGTAATTAATTTGAAGGCGGATCAATTCATCCTATCCATGAAAGAGTTTGACAAGACTACAGATTACTGTACAAGAATACTGCAAGAACATTGAAGCATTAAACACTGGAACATTAGAACAAGTTAAATGTAATAGCATCAAATAGACTGGGAACAAATGTGCAAATCCTTCCTTTGACTTTGAATGTCTCTTCCAAAGAGAGAGACATGTTAAAATCAACACTTATATATGCAGAGGCGGATTGGATCGGGGAATAGTGCATAATTATAAAAATTACCTAATTCTATGAACATGGCACAGATTGAAATGGTATAATGCTAAGTTAAACATTGAAAAATAGTCATGGACCTTTATATTAAGAAACATTCTGAGATTGGTGGCGTTAGAGGACTATCAACTATTTTTGTTTGCTGATTGTAACAACAAGCTTAAGTTTATGCTTCATTATACATTACGCTACACAAAAACGGGAATATTAGTATGAACATCATTAAAGATTTAAGTTTCGATTAATACAAAAATGTATTATCAGTATACTGTTGTACATTTTATTTTAATATGGGGTTGATTTTAAGAAACGCCGCGTGTGTTTCAAATACTTCATGACTATTTGTATTCATCATAAAAATGAATATTTTTGAATAATACAATCTAGAATGTCTGTTCGTAATACGTGATGTTGTAGAGCATGGCCAGATATACAGTAACACAAATACAATATTACTAGCCTTGCCTAAGTCGGTATTTTTTTACTAATCTGATCTTGAATTATTTCCGCGGTCATAATAGAAATCAAGATAAGTAAAAGACACCGACTTGGGCAAGGCTAATACAATATAGTCACCAGGGTATTTCCTAACGAAAAATTGTTTGCCGGACATACGGACTTGTAATTTCAGAATATGTCTGGTCCGTACCATGGTTTGCCGGACATACGGACCTGTACTTTTAAAACATGTCCGGTCCGTATGTAACATGGCCATTTTCATATTTTATATTTCTCACTTTTCATATTGATCAATCCTTTATATTTCACTTATTCTCAGTTTAACAGGTCCCTAGCTTACTATTGTATCAGTGACAAATGTTTTAATCCTCTTGTTTGCCATGCCTTGCCTTTTCACTTTCTAATGTTTCAAACCAGTTTTTAGCTTTTTATGTTGTATGTTTTGTATTGTGTCACTTCCATATATGGAAAACACACTCACTCACTTGAGTTTGGGTGTTGGCCCAGCCTCAGTTATTGCTTATACATAGACTGTACAGAACATGCTTTTTGAAGAATCGAAATAGATTTGTTTTTATCATATTTTATATTACTTTTCTGTTGACTTTATATTATTGCCACCCACGGCCTTAGCCCCGGACATTACATTGGTACCAGGAGTGGGGTTGGCAAGGATGTAAAGTGGTGTTGGTGAGCAACAAGTGGGGTAATAAATTTGGATATTTGACAGTAACACACAGAGGAATAATTGGACATTATTACTTTTCAAAAATGGAATTTACAAAACGATGTTGGTTCTGTAAGTCTACAAACCACACCAAGCGACAATGTGAACTATTCAAAAATGCCAGGTATTTCTGTTCAAAATGCCAAATTTATGGACATCGTGATAAAGATCATCAGGATTATCCGAGACTCCAGGAGAATTTTATGAAGGCATTCAAGTCTGCTTCAACACAAACAAAACTTTTAAAATCAAATGAGCGACCAAAGCAACATAATAAACATTGTCAAACAGAAACTGTAAATATGGATGTTTATAAATACAACATGGACAACTACAAACGCATAGAGAGTGAATTATATGGACAGAAGAATGGAAACAGAATATACAAGGAACGGATCATGGAACTAGAATCACTGAAGGTTAAAAATTTGGCTGACATGAAAGCTCGAGACAAAGAGATCCAAGAATTACGCAGGGACTTACAGGAATATTCTGATCGCACAACTATGGATGATCAAACCATCTCCAAACTGAAATCTGATCTGACGGATTCTGAGGTGAGATTATACATATTGACCGTTACCAGTGATAAACATCTAAATACAATCATTGATATCAGGAATCAACTCAAGGAACAATCCGAAACTATGGAAATATATAAAACAGTGATAAAAACGCAGCAGGAAAAATTGGATCAAATTATAACTCGAGTGGGACCAACTGAATCTTCAACTTTATGGAAACAATTAGGAGAACATCTATTTTGGAAGGGAAAGACACCAAATCAACACAAACCCATACTCTTTGATGTTTGATTTGAGGATATGTTTCGTCGTGACCTACAACTACAAGAGATGTGTATAACTTCTGCAACTTATGCATATTTACTATTTTATGATCATCTTCACAACCTTAAACTGCATTGTTGAACTGTATAGATGTGACCATGGTGCAATCATGACATTCTCACATATTTGTTTATATTCTGCGATACTTATCTTCAATTGACTGTCATGACATCAGATATACATATATCGTTAGTGACTAGCCTTTTACCACAATGTGCCAATCAAACCTATTGAGTAATCAATCGTCATGGTGTATTTGTCTTAAATTGATGTTTATTTATTAGCCAGTTATGGTGTTCATTTAACTGCCTATGGTGTTCAAGCCTTATGGTGTAAAGTAACTAGCCTTTATGGTACTAAAGCCTTTTATGGTGCATATACTCAGCCTTTTATGGTGTGCATTTGCCTATATGGTGTTATATTTTGCCTTACATGGTGTTAATTAAGCCTAAAATGATTTTACTTAACATGTTTTTTGGTACTTCAATGGCTTTTCATTTAACTTGTCAACATTTTATACTTTAGAATTATGTTATACCTTGCTTTATAATGTTGACCATTGTGGATGTTATTAGGGGAGGAATATGCTCATTTTTATACAGATGTGTTACATAATTTTAAATTGCTACAAATCTTTCCTTTATGTATTTTGTATTTATCTACTTAAGGTAAATGCGGGACGCATTTAGACGTTGTCCGCGTGGATGTAACATGGCCATTTTCATATTTTATATTTCTCACTTTTCATATTGATCAATCCTTTATATTTCACTTATTCTCAGTTTAACAGGTCCCTAGCTTACTATTGTATCAGTGACAAATGTTTTAATCCTCTTGTTTGCCATGCCTTGCCTTTTCACTTTCTAATGTTTCAAACCAGTTTTTAGCTTTTCATGTTGTATGTTCAATGTTGTTTTGTATTGTGTCACTTCCATATATGGAAAACACACTCACTCACTTGAGTTTGGGTGTTGGCCCAGCCTCAGTTATTGCTTATACATAGACTGTACAGAACATGCTTTTTGAAGAATCGAAATAGATTTGTTTTTATCATATTTTATATTACTTTTCTGTTGACTTTATATTATTGCCACCCACGGCCTTAGCCCCGGACATTACACGTATAAACATCAATCAGACCGTAAATAAACTGCAAATGGATTTTCTAAAGGCGCTGTACCAAGCAGAACTCTAACTCCGCCTAGTTTGCACCTAGATGGAGCTTTGCGCTTGGTTGAAAACATTTTTAGAAAAAATGTTTAAAAAATCATAACCAATTAAGGAATCCTTTACATAAACATGATAACGCTAACATGTGTGTTGTGTCGCGTAACTTTGTAAAATCACCAAAATGAGCGTAGGTCCGAGGGGGATTAACACCAGAGTTCAAAGATGACATACGCTTATAATGTAAACCTGTATTGAGATGACATACACCTCTGATTGGTCCAAATCAATAAACAAAAATGGCAGATTCAAAATTTTCTAATAACGCTTCGAATAATATTATGTTGATTCCTGGCGTATTATACCAATAGCATAGCTTGGTTTTTCAAATTAAGATAAAGAAATATGTAAGGATTATGTTTACATCGATTAAAACATCACGACGACGCGCTTTGTTCGAATGGTGAGAATTTGCGCAAACGAAGGTGGTACGCAAGAGATGTATTATGTCAGTCATCGCTAAATCTCTTTCCCTCCTCTTAGCGTAGGTGTAATTTGTAGATATATCAAATAAAAGTGAAAAATGACATTTAGTTCAAGTGTACAAGGTTGATGTGTTTCTTCAAGATTAATTAATGTGTAATTTATGCTTAAATAAGTTCAATATTGACATACTCTGACTTTCTAGGGATGTATCTCAAAATAATGATTTGATTTTGTTTTTCATATGTGAATCTGACTAAAAGTTATGGTTTTATTCAAAACATATTTAAAGGGCGAAGTCAATGTAGGTAAAAAGAACGATCGACATAAACAGCTTGGAATGTACACTAGAAAATGTAAGACGCATGAAGTATTTTTAAAAACCTGTTAGTTTTGTCCCATATACAGGATACGGTTGTCTTAACGTATGCAGGGTACCAAAATAAAAAGGAATGGTTTTAACACTACAGGATGTTAACTTCATGTGTTCATGTAATTCGAGAACTGAGGGAATGGTAGCAAAAGTTAGTTACAATAAATGGATTCCGGTTTCTTGAAATACCAGGTTACAATTACAATTCAGCAAGACTAGTTGGTCATAAATATGATACATGTACGTATGTCCCAAATGTTTGTTATATAGACAGGTTCCAATTTCAGAATATCTCAAGGGAAAGGGTTTTTGAGGCATTTTTTAGAAAAAGCAACAGAGCTATTTTTTCTGGATCAGTTTTTCATGCTGATAAAGATATTAAAAGATGACAGCTCAACGGGGTGGTCACGACACTGAATTTTAGCGTTTTTACCCCCCTGTGAAATTATTTTAGGGGGTACTATAATATTAGTTCATAACTCAAAGGATATATAAACTATTGTTCTGAATTCTACAGCATACATTGTTAGTACAGAGATGAATACTACCCTAGTATTCTAATACAATAGAATTAGAATACCTAGTATTCTAACAACATTCCCAAGCTATGTGTGATATTGTAATACATCTATTATAGTGATGAAGTACTATTTTGTAATTTTAATATGACTTTATAGTGCCCTACCCCTGGTAAATAGAAGAAAGTTGGTGTGGTTTTCTTCTGGTTTTAACATTTTATTGTCTTCTTAGTTGAAGATACAATCAATTCTGTCAGTTAACCATGAGTAGCTTTACAATGGTTAACTATTCCCATGAATATAGGGTTGGTGTCATTCTCTTCATATTTTTAATTCTAAATACAGTAAAACCTGTCTAATCCTAACACCCATGGGACCAGCCAAAAGCGTTCAAATTGGCAGGTGTTCAAATTTAGAGGATATTGTTGGTCGGGGGGGGGGGGGGGGATTTTCATTGTTCAGTCCACTATATTGAACACTTAATACTTAGTCAGAAAACAATACATGTTGTTGATGAGTTTATTCTACAATAGGCCTATAGCCTACATGTATATGCTATGTTTTATTTACATTTTGAACAATTTCATTATTTTTAGAAAAATAACTCTTTAATTTTGGCGAAAACTTTGTAATACACTGAATAAGTATATGATAGTCTTGTACAAAATCTTATGCTTATTAAATGACTTATCTCATTTTATGGTTACATAACACTGCTTTACTTTAGCTTGAAAAAGTCCTTCATTGTTGTTTGTTTCTTGGCACTTTTAGCATTAGCAATATTTGGGTAGATATCCTTCATGAGTGCTCATTGGTTTCAGTTCATTTTGGTCATTTAAATTCAGTGTCTTTAAAGTCCCTGGAACAATCCACTTTTCCTCTTAGGAAATAGAACATGTCTCAAAGCATATTCTAATTATGCATTCAACAATATAATTAAAGGTTGCATCTTTGGTGAAAATTAGGTCAACATTTTTAGTAAAAAGTATGTTGATTGGGCCATTCCCTTTAATATCACTTAGGTCTCATTAATCATTATATTTACTTTTCTTGAAGATAATGAATAGATCTAAAAGATATACCCATGTTCATGGTCAGAAAATATTCATAATTCAAGTTAGAATTGTCTGAAGTTGTTTGCGATAACCTACATGCTCCTTTATAACATTATTATGTAAATACAGTAGAACCTGTGTAAGTGGAACACTCCATTCTGCCACAAAGTGTTCCACTTAGAAGGTGTCCCACTTACGGAGGTATTGGGTTCGCAGGGAACATACAAGATCAAATATAGGATTTATATGTATCATTGGAAATATGATTCTCCCTTCATTACAGGGCAGGTATATACCATTAATAATCCATTTATTTTACTCAAAAAGGTATCTGACATTCTTAATCCTCCTCATTCTGCCAAAAATGTTTTCTGACATTCTTAATCCTCCTAATTGTGCCAGTCTCAGGTACAAGGAATTAAGTTTGAAAGACTTGTTCCTACTGCTAATAATTCAATTGTTTTTAAATGACATTTTTAATCTTACTTATTAAGTTTGAAACAAACAGCAAGGGATATTAATTAGTGGTAGCATCACGTGTCCAGTTCTACAGGAGGTTAATCCAATTTTCTGAATGAAAATCTTATGAAATCCTAATTTGCTGATTATCAAATTAATTATTGGTTGCATCACATGTTGACCTCTACAGGAGGTTAATCCATTAAAATCCTAATTTGCCAATTATCACAGTATTACCTGTTTTCATACCCAGATATCATTGAAGGAGATTAATTCTGTTTACATATATCAATATTGAAATCTATGGAAATTGACTGTTCCACTTAGCAGGTTAATTTTTTCAATATGGGGTGTTCACTGTTCAAGTTTGGAGGTGTTCCACTTACAGAGGTTCAATTAACATTAAGTCAATGGGTTTTTAAAACGGGACTTTGAAAAGGCGTTCCACTTGGGAGGTGTTTCACTTACGGAGGTGTTCCACTTAGCAGGTTCTACTGTACATTACTTGTGCATGATGACCACCATAGTCTAGTTGCTCAAATGAGATCAATTGATGATTATAATGTTTAGACTTTATGTCAATGTCCAGACTGTATGCCAACCTCTCTAGTATGTGGTTACACTAGATTTCATTATGATACATGTACTTAATTAAAAACTTACATATAAAATATCTTAAGTCCTATATTCTAGTAATAAATGAATTAGAATGTCACCTAACATTTGATGATGGTATGAATTTATTGATTTGGTGTCTATCAATACATGTTTCTAACTTAATGCTGCAAAATGATAAAATTCACCACATCCACTTTCTTCAATTTTCCAGGGGTAGGGCACTATAAAGTCATATTAAAATTACAAAATAGTACTTCATAACTAAAATAGATGTATTACAATACCACACATAGCTTGGAAATGTTTTTAAAATACTACTATGAGCTGTTTAAGCTCTCATATTGTGCTTGAAGCTACAAATATAAAATTGGCAAGACAAAAATTGGTATCTTTTTCCTGTTTTTTTTTTATTTTTCTGAGACCAATAAGGGTATCAACCCATAACTTTAGGATAGTATTCATTTTGTACTAGCAATGTATGGTGTACAACTTAGAACAATAGCTCATATATCCTTTGAGTTATGAACTAGTTTCATAGTACCCCCTAGAATATTTTCCTAGGGGGGTAAAAATGCCAAAATTTAGTGTCGTGACCACCCCGTTGAGCTGTCATCTTTTAATATCATTATCAGCATGAAAAACTGATCTAGTAAAAATAGGTCTGTTGCTTTTTCTAAAAAATGCCTCAAAAACTTGAATTATTTGAATTGGAACCTGTCTAATATATTATTACTAGATTTTCAGACATTTACAGGTAATTTACCAACTAGGTACAATTTGCGCATGCGCGTTTTGGTTTTGAGACTATAGAAATTGTCCCTCCCCTTTGCAAAATTGATTACTAACTTATTACTCATTTTTGAGAAATCAGCTTTCTCACCATATGAGTCTACCAAATGAAAGCCATTTTGGAAATTGAACTCAAGATGGTCAATTTATGACATTCGCCTTAACTGAAACCCGAACTTCAAGTGAGACCATCACCCTTGACACTATTCTTTAAATAATCAAGTTCCGTTCGGTGCGTTTATTCAATAGACATGATAGACATTTGACTTTGACAAGCGATACGATACGTAAAGTTAAACTGAAAGGAGCTAGCCCTTTACTTTAGACTAGATTTTTAAATCTGTGTCATGCAAAATTACTTATTTATAATAGGTAATTTTACTAAAGTAAAACAGTTTGGTATCTACCGTATAACTTGTTAATGTTTATATTGGATAATTTTAACTTTAAAATAACTTATTTTACATGGTAATTTTACATGACACCGGTGTATAAATATTTGAAATTACTAAAACTAAAAGCATCATTAATAAGCTTTTAATAACTGTATCATCAACTTTAGAAACTTAAGAATGGACAAGTGAAATTCAAAGTAGTCAGCCATTAACCAACAGTATTTCGTTTTGGTTTTTTCAACATATACATAACAACATGAACTATCGGCTCTCCTTAAAAATGCATCTACATGTATGTAGATAACGAACTATTGAGCATATGTGGGACAAAAACTGTTTTTCATTTAGCTTGTGATTTCAGTCTGAACGTACATACTATTACGCCTTGATGCCTGTGTGCTTCAAAGTGTGTAGTTTATGTTACCACGCTGGAAGTCCACGTCGATGGTGAATTGGTAAGAGAGAGATCGAAAGGAACAAAACGCTCTATTCGAGCAGGAGATTAGCATTTTAGTTATCAACGATGAGTTTCTAGAAACTACACAGAAGGGATGTGCATCTTTATAAGCAAAGGAAACTAACTAAACAGTTCATTAATCATTAATAGAAAAAAAGTGAACTAGTAAACATAAACAGGTTATACATCTGACCAAAAGATTAGGCACATTTCAGTTTGAGTGACGACACTAGCTCATTAACGTATCGCAATACAAGAATCATGCTATATTTTCTAATTGCAGTTGGGCTAACTCTACTGAGCGCAACAGAATTCTATACAGTTAAAGTTGGAGCGACACTAACCGATGATGATTTCACGCAACTTACATTAACTGTCGAAACACTTTCAGTCACGGTTAACGAACAGCAACAACGCATAGGAGACCAAGATAGGGAAATCGCTGTGCTGAAACAAAATGACATCGAATTGAAAACCCTAGTTGCACAGTTGAAAGAGAAATGTGAAGATAAATGTAAGGGAGTTCGTGGGCAGCGTGGTATTCATAGAAGGAGGGGGGTTAAAGGGGAACCCGGTGTGACAGGTGCAAATGGTCCAAAGGGGCCGAAGGGAGATAAGGGTGACATTGGACGGAATGGTCTCCCTGGTGCAGATGGTGAAAAGGGTGATAGAGGAGAAGCTGGCGTTTCAGTCCAAGGACCACCTGGTCCACCAGGACGACGTGGAAAAAGGGGTAGACCAGGGAAAAGGACAGACAGTAAGTTTAAATTAACTATCGAATAATAAATAAATGGTATACTATCGTGGTAACCACCCAGTATATATATAGTTTTATGCTTAAAAGGTTGGACTTACAGAGGCCAGGGTCACAAAGCAGCCCCAATGCCCTTAACACGCCAAATGCTTAGATATAAACATTTTAACAAGTCCAAGACCAAATACCGCCAAGTGTCAACGCAGCCCCGGAGTGCCTTAAAAAGTGCCCTGGATATTCACGTGACCTTTTACTATATAATGACCTGTCACATACATACTTGCCCAGTTGATGATTTCAAAATATTATTCACAAATATAAATAGTGTGAAGGCAGATTCTCTGACAAGGTTAGCATTTTTGTAAGATTTTGCATTAAATGGTGACTTTCATCTGATAGCACTTTGTGAATCAGGCAATGTCACTGATGAAGATTTGAACTCAAAAGATTTTTTCATAAGAGGATGTGGTGAACCTAAGTATGCTTCAAATGAGGGAAGAGGTCTCTTGTTATGGTCACATGATAGTATTGAGGCTAAAGTATGTGATACATTTATGTCCCACGATTTAGCAAATTGTTGGGTAGAGGTTAAGGCTCAACATAAAGTTTTTATGTTTGTTTTTTTCTACCGCTCACCATCAATGTCAGCAGATGCAACTAGACTTTACTTAGATTCTTTAAAGTTAAATATTTCTCAAGTGCTTTTGCTACCAACAGATGGTGTAATATTAAATTGAGACTTTAATGCCAGAAATAAACTTTGGTACGACAACGATATTGATAATTTAGCTGGCTTGTAATTAAATAATATTCTATTTGACCTAGGACTACAACAGTTGGTAAATGAACCTACACGGATTACAAATGTTTCTTAATCATGCATTGACCTTTTAATAACTGACTCTGATCATCTTCTATCTGTTACTGTTGACCCGCCAATTGGAAACTCAGATCACTGTACAATTGTCAGCAAAGTTAGGGTAAAAATTCCAAGAGAACCCTCAATTAAGAAAACCTTATGGCATTTCAAAACAGAAGACTCTGACTTACTGAATCAAAAAATTTCAGAAACTAACTGAGATTTTATTTTGACCAACAATGTTAACAGAGCTCTTTGTTAGAACTTTTCTAGATATAATTAAAACAAATGTATCTCATAAGACTATTTCAACCAGGTATGATGATCAACCTTGGTTTTCCAATAACATCAAAAAGGAGATTTATAAAAGAAACAAACTTCACCATAAATACAAATCTACTAACATTTTGACCTATCATACGCAATTTAAAATTCAAAGTAAGATAGTGAACAAATTGATTTTGGAAGCAAAATCTGAATATGAATTTAAAATTCGGAAAAAATTGAGAACACCTCCAAACATTCTGTTGACTACTGGTCTTTGATTCGCGACTTACTTGGAAAAAATCAAGCTACATCAATTCCGGTTTTATTTGATCCCAATTCCAACTTATCAGCAGCCACCAGCTCTGATAAAGCAAATGTTTTAATGAAATACTTTGTAAGCAAGAACATTGTCACTATTCCAGAGAATTACACTCCAATATTTAGACCCAGAACTCATCATACTCTTCAGGAAATCAAAACTACTCCTGACGAAGTATTTAAAATTTTAAAAGATCTTGACATTTCTAAAGCAGATGGGCCTGACAATATATCTAACAAAATGTTAAAAGTCTGTGCTAAATCTCTAGCAATACCAACTGCTAACTTAGCTTTTTAATAAAATTGTTAAAGTTAAAGTGAATAATAGCTATTCGAATTGGTCCAATGAAAATTCTAACGACAATACAAACAACCCGAATAATTTGCATACAATTTAGTCATAAATGCTGGAGTTCCTCAAGGATCAGTATTAGGACCCCTGCTTTTTCTATTATATGTGAATGATCTTCCTGATAATTTGCATTCAAAAACCTTTATTTTTGCAGATGACACTTCAGTCTATAACTCCTATAAAAAAGTGAGAATTTTATTAACATGCATGTACACCAACCCATTCAAAATGCCTTAGATGATCTTGCTTTATGGGCTTATACCTGGAAGGTGAATTTTAAAGCACAAAAAGCGCCGATTTGATTTTCACGGGAACTAGAAACTTACTTATTGAACCTCCCTCTTTATATCTAGGAGATGAACTGATACCAAGATGCAATAGTCATAAGCACTTGGGGCTAATTCTGGATCAACATTTGAACTTTAATGACCATATTGATCAACTTATCACTAGAGTAATTTCTCTAATGAGACCTTTAAAGAAACTTAGCAAACTTCTTAAGAGTAAACACTTGGAAACAATTTACAATGCTTTCATTATGCCACATTTTGGTAACTGTGATCTAATTTACGGTAAAGCTTTAAATTTCAAACTTCAGTGTTTAGATAGATTGCACTACAGAGCAGCATGTTTGGTTTCTGGTGTTATACATGGGTCAAACACTGCTTCTGTTCTAAGTTACTTAAACTGGAAATCCCTATCAACTAGAAGAGATGAGTATTATAAAATGTTTATGTTTAAATGTAGGTACAATTCTTATCCACCTTTCATTTGTGAATTACTTCAAACCTATGAAAATACTCAGGCTAGGCAACTGAGAGATACAAGACATTACTTAATTCCTACAAAAGCTAGCAACTCATTCCGGAGGTCGACTATTTTGAATGGAATAAGAATATGGAACAATTTACACCTTGACACGAGAAGAGGTCAACCGATATCACGCTTCTAAAGATTAGTAAGAGATTACAAGAGCCCTGTCTCCATGCTACCCACTACCAAAATGGTAAACGAAATGCCTAGATATGTTGAATCTGCTTTTAACAAACTCAGAGTGGGTCTTCTTTTAAAATCACAGCTATATGCTCATAATTTCACCAGTGTTAGTGATCCCTTTTGTAAATGTGGATTACCACAAACACCTTCTCATTTTATCTTAAAATGTCCTCTGCTTGTAAACGAGCGTGAAACTTTATTTGCAGGACTGCGAACTTCAGATCTTCATCCTTTGGTTCAGAAGTTGAACACAGTTGACAAAATTCAGTTTCTTTTGTATGGTGATGAAGATTTAGATAATTCATTAAATGAAAAATTAATAGAACTTATGAGTCATTTTGTTAATCAAAGTCTGAGCCAAATTGATCGGTTTGGCTAATTTTTGCATGCATGTGTTAACACATCCCTGGCCCATGGGGTTATAGTTTCTTATATGAGTGAAAACATTACTTTGATAAAATTTTAATTTTAATGTATTCCTATTCATATTGTCTAAAATTGCCGCTAATGTTTTTTTTATAAAACTTTGGCAATCAATTGCATGTCTTCTATTGATTACTAAAGGAATAAATGTATGTATAAAAAAAACATGCTTTAGTAATCAAGGGTCGTCAAGAGTCACGGGTCTTAAAATGCCAAATACTTTGATATTGACATTTGACCTTGGAATAACCTTTTTTATCTACCTTTTTTAAATACCCATTGACCCACTGAGTATGTTAACGTCAGTAATAGTCTTCCTTGGGTCGTTTTTGTGGATCTTGTAGATGTAGCGTTTTTTATTTCAGTTTGTCAATGGAGGAAGTGGTCGGAGTGGCAAATTGGCGAATGTTCTAAGTCGTGTGGAACTGGGACACGTCTCAATGTACGAACTAGGAAATATACACATTGTGTGTCTGGTACATCGACAGAAACCAGGAGCGAAGCATGTAACACGTCACCATGTCGTAAGTACAAATTTATTCTTGTGCAGTTACATAAAATGAATGAGTTGTATTTTGAGCATATCAATGGACTTAGCCGAATCAAACTTCGTCAAACATTTGTATAATGATTTCTATAATAAATCCGAATGATCAAGTTGAAGTTCAACAATTCTCAGCATTTCAAACAGATCAAGAATACTTCCAAGGGACTTTGGAAATCCATCACGTATCAGGTTGATATTGAAAATTAAGTAATAATAGTATGATCAGGAGCATGACAAAAAAGTCTATGCAGGTTTAACATGACGATTAGATAAAAAAAATTAGATAAAAAATTTCATTGGATGTTTCAAACAGCGAGTGTCTGAAATTCCCAAATAAAATTTCGTGAAAAATCGGTACAACAATATATGCAGCTCAACGGTTCCAAAATGATTTACTAGTTTGTGGATCCTCGACATGACAAGCAGATAAATGTACATCCATATAATCATTTAGAATAATCGCTAGAATTATTGGAGAAATAAAGCAATACATTGAACTGTATATACGGAAAATAAATATTTAAGCATATAATTACTCAAAAGCATATCATAACATTACGTGAGCTTGGAAATTCATTGCCTAATATTTTGTTTCATTTTTATTTTAAAATGGATTTGGTATTCCGATAACAGCAGTTCCTTCGACGACACCAGAGCCGTTGCTAAGCAGTAAGTTGTTCAAGCGGTAACAAAGTTTGCAGCTATCTTATGCCTTGGTCACATAGGCTCCGATTTTCACTACGGCGCCCGGCCGATGAGTATTTTGTACAAAGTCGGCCGGCGAGCCCGGGCATCGTAATAATGATTACTTATAAAGTGATATAAAGGTTTTAAAAATAATGAGGTAAGGAATTATAATTACTAAACAGACATTTTTATAAACCACAAATGGAACGGTTAAGCTAATTGTAAAACAATGACACGCAATTGAATGGTTTGGTGGGCGAGTTGATCTAGTCATTCTTAGCATATATTGACATTAATCGTGTATGTCTGTCATACACATTGAATAGAGTGATACATTTTTATGCGTATATTCAGTCATGCATATACCATTACAAATCATTTATTTTAAAAACCTTCTGAATGTCAAAGTATTTCGTTTTCAAATGTTGCATTCACGCCATGTGGAACAGTCTTACTGGGTCATACGGGGATTTAGTGTAAATCTAGAGGCCTGTAGATTGACCGATGTCCTGGCGGGTGCCGTATGGCAATCGGAAGATAGCCTTGCGATACCCATGCGATATCTTTCAGATTCAATTGATTGCGGGCGCCGTACGGTGCCTGTACTAATGTGACCATACTCATGATTAGATCAAGACATCGGTGAAAATTCACCGGCGCCCGGGCGATTTAGACATCGGCCGATGACTACTCATCGGCCGGCGCCCGGCGCCTATGTGACCTAGGCAATAGTTACCGAGTCAGATAAATTCCTAACTAATTTTATGAACGAAACATATATTACTACTGTTAAAAGCATTCAGTGCTATTGATTTAAGAACTAATAGAATCCATACATTCATGTTAATTTTTTTTTAAATCTTGACTACTAATATATTAACAATTGTATTTACATATTTAGCTTTGTTCACTTAAATTTAGGTGCGGTTATAATTTAAATTCTGACGATTTTTTAAACAAATTGAAGTTTTATTACGTTTTAGGTATGAACTTCAGACCAATGCCTAACCCTGAATCCACTTTGATCAAATTTGAGCAGGGGAGACCATCCAGCTATAAGCCTTACACAGATCATATTAATTCATTCTTAGAACGTAAGTTAAACACTCCTCTACATGTAGCTTAAATTCTTGAAGAAAATGGTGTAGAACATCGTGGCATCCACATTTAATGAATCACTGAGGCGCATCACCTCAGTAACAAAAGATCCTCCGCTTATATAGTTATGTGTTCCCTAAACTCCTCAATAAACTCATAACATCCTGAAAATGACGCAGGAAAAATCAACAAATCCTAAAATTTTGCTTTAAATATTTCGAAAACTTAAATATTGCACCAAAAAATACAAATTTAAGATGTTAATTCAGATGAATGAATAAATCAAAATGGTTACAGAAGTGCGTAAATAACTTAAAGATGCAACAAGTAGTGCAGAGGGGGCCATTCAACGATCATGGACCAGTGTCAAAATATATTTAAGTTTGGATATTTCATCAAGACTAACATCTATTTTTATTTTCTACAAAGAAACCCCCTAGATAATTATTATTTCAGCTTATATTCCTCTTGAAACATGGTGGATCTTAAAAATATAAAAGTGGACGTCCACTTTTTCAAGCTTTGAAGTGAATTTACACTCTTTAATGACAAAATTGATAGTTTATCCATACGTTTTAAGAAAATAGGTATGTCGAAGAAGATGTTAAGCCAACTGTTGCCTTGATAGCTCAGAAAAAGTTAAAATTTTCCTATTTTCTCTCTACAAGCCTTATTGCCCCTTTAAAATAAGCATGATTTGGATGTACAAACTTGTCGACCTATTTTAACAATTTTGAAGCATTGCTAAAAAGACAATTCCCATTTGTCCACCTCTTTCAAAACTCATTTCTCAAATCTATTGTTAAAAATATTGGCCGTAACCACGAGGTTGCGAGTTCGAGACGCGTGTGCTCCCTGCGTTTATTCGTTTGTAATCTGGCTTAAATGCGTGGAAAATCAGTGAAAAATGTATGCATAAATAAAATAATATTAATCTTTTAGAATATGAGAATGAAAATCAGGTTCGCGAAAACTTCATTGATTGTTCCTATGGTGCAAGAACTGATTCTGAGAAGGTTTGTAGATTTGATGTGAGCAATCTTGGTCCAGAATGCGTTTGGCAAAGGGATTTTGGATATGAAGAGGCAAGACCATGTGTACTCCTTATGCTAAACAAGGTAAATCACTAGAAATGTTTTTCCTCGTAATGCCTTTCTCGAGTTGCTTTTTATTAAGAAATCCTATTTGGTTTTAAATCGTAATTTAAGAAATTTTCATTAAGGAGGAGATGTTCTTAAAAACTTACTGAAATTATCAAACTAAATTTATATGTAATCCTGGTGTAAGATCAGTTATAAATGTTTTAACTGCGTAGAGAACCTCGCTGTGGACCAAAAATTAGTTAGTAGTGCGTTAATCCAATGATAGGAAATCATCATAAATAAACAGGAAAATCATGTCGAGTAAGGGCAACACTAGTAATGCTATATTTGCTCCGATTTTCAGTTACGGCACCCGGCCAATTAGTATTTTGTTCAAAATTGCATTCAGTCTTGAACAAAATATTCATCGGTCGGGAGTCGATGTTGAAGATCCGAACAAATGCGACCATGGTATCAGAGAAGAGTAAAACAAAACACAACAAACAATTTCATAAACCAATCTGCATAAAAGTACTAATAAATATGACTAAAGATTATGGGATTGTTTTATTTTTAGATCTATGACTGGGTACCAGAACCCCTCATCAACCCCAATGTAACTGGAGATCCGGGTAAATATAGGAATACAGATGTAATGATCACATGCCACGGAGAGGTATAGAAACACAGATGATTTCTTTCATTGTTTTTAGATGCAATCGAAATCTTCAGAAAGATTTAAGCTCAAATTGATTGTTTTTTAAAACCCCTATTAAAATTATTTGGGATTGATTTTAGATATGCCCAGTAACATATTTCTACTGCGAGTGGCCGTCTTGCTTTTATGCAACGAGTTAAGATATCTTGTTGACGAAAATCTCTTGTATAATTTTCTTAAGATGTGTACACAAGTTAAAAGAACCAAGTTTAAAAGTTAATTAACTTTTGACCAGCATTCTTAAAAAGGATTAATAGTTGTATAATGTCCTATTTTGTTTTCATCAAATTCAACTCCGGTGATATGTTGAGATGAGATGGGAGGAGTTTAATGTTTAATTCAATGGTCACTACTATTTTCAGAGCCCAGCTGATGACGAAAACATGGGACCCGTAAAATTCTGGCCAGCTGCTGGTATGCCATTCGAGTTTTTCCCCTACAGAAACCAGCCCGGATATAAATCTCCTCTAGTTATGGCACAGTTTTTGCGGCCAGCATATGGCGTGGTTATCCAAGTCAGATGTATGGCCTGGGCGAACAACATCTACCACGACACAACTGATAAAATGGGCAGTGTGAATTTTGAGTTATTGGTCGAATAAGAAAAAATAGATCTAAGTAATGCATTATTTTACATGAACACCATTTTATGACCTGACGTTTTGACTTCATGTCGTTCTGTATGTACACGGAAAAGATATTACTCAAACTAATACCATTTTTACTTGATGGATTACGATCAAATCATCTACACTTAATGCATAATTTGCCATTTTGGAACTTAAAAGGGATGTTGTGATAGGAAAGCACAATTAAAGCACCTTGACTAATTGCATCTTGAGCCGTACCACATATTCACCGATCTACTTATGCCCGGGTCACATTTGCTCCGATCCATCGGCAGGTGCCCGGCCGATTGAGTGTTTTGCTCAATACATTGTATTCAGTTTTGAACAAAATATTCAATCGGCCGGGCACCGTAGTGGGAATCGGAGCAAATGTGACCAAGGCATTACCAACAGAAAAGCCCAAAACCCGCTGCTTTATGTACTAACTTTGCCATTGTGCTGACTGGTTGATTTATTTTCGTCGAAATTAATTATCTGAAACTTGAATATTTAAAACCAGTGAAATCCTCATGCTACAGTTGCAGGCCTCCTAGACTATTAACAACGCGAACATCAGCTCTGACCTCGCAAACTACGTTCCTTGCACTCGAAACACGATTTTCACATCGCGTACGTAAAATCTTTAGCCGCGCACCGCCATATCTTTTCATTTAGTCAGATTATAAAACTTCTAAAATTGTTCTGAATCAAGGAGTTTTGTTATTATTTTTATCCGAGGCCTGTTTAAGAATAACATCAAAAACGAATAAACTTTGTGTATTGTATTTTAGCGCTTCTTCCAAAAGTTACTGCTGGGCTTTCAATAGCAGGGGGCGAGAGTCCAAAATCGCCGTTTGTTTTCTTTAATTCGCCGCTTGTCAGAAGCCAAAAATTGTGATCGATATTCATTTGATATTATGCCAAGTAGTAGAATATCATATTTTAAGCAAAGTTTCGCTGAACCATGAAGTTCGGTATTGGATGATTCACTTATTGTTGCTACTTGATTTTAAAAGAGGCTTACATGGTGAACGGGCTACGTTCACCGGTGTAGATATCATTTCCATTTGTTGATAAAAACCATATCATCAATCAATCCTAGGATATCCTATTCATGCATGTTAAAGTGTCCGAAAAGTCTGGTGACAACTTTTACTAGTTGCTGACGTTAGACCCTTGATGGATAAATTGTGTTGCATTAGTTTACGCAATTGTGTTAGATGCGCTTCAAAATGTCACGTTCCTAATATAAGTTCTTATTACAACGATTCAGAATCAGTAAATTGACTTTTTTGTATTCAGCGAAGAAATATGCTGCCACTTGGGTTAACTACATCATTAATATGATTTAAAGCGCCGCTTCCGCAAGGATCATGTGTTGGCCAGTTTGATTGTTTATTTGTGTCAAAGAAAAAGTAATCAGACGTCGCATAAAGTGCTGGGCCTCTTGCATTATGGATCTGAATTCTGTTAGGGACTACAGTGGTGCATTCACTGGCGACGACTTTCACCATTCTGCAATCCAATGATCCACTTCTCAAATTAACAAAGCTCCCAGTGGCTGGAGTACACGCAACCCATTGGTTGATATTTGATTTCATCATAAATTCACTTCCGATTCGGCCCCACTTCGCAAACTCCAGTGCTCCAAGCTGCGTCTCAGATAGAGGAGGGCTTGTAGAAACTGGAGTATTTGCTGTAGTGTATCCTATATCAATCCAGGATGGGTGAGGAGTAACCGCATTGGTAAAACTATCAAAATTTGCATAATCTGTAAACGTGTATGTCCATACTAATGTCCAACCCCCACCATCTGTCACCATGTCACAATACAGCTGTTGGACGCCTGGATTACCAAGTGTCACCCAATACACCCCCGATGGCAAGATTTCTGGTAAACGCCTTTTCTGAATATCCAAGCAAGTTACTCCTGGTGAAACTGAAACTTCTCCATACTTCGCTGAAAGAGATTAGGTATGATTTTTATTAAATCTAACAATCGTATGATATTTTACCCGATTTACTTTGTTTATTTTAATTAATTTGTATATGTTGCATTTTTGTGTCGTGCGTATCACTAAATGGAATATTTCTGAGTCTTTTTAAAAAGAATATATGCATGAAAAGATATGAGAGCTGTATATGTTGTATCAAGCCATGAGTATTGGGCATTAGGAAGAATAATAGCAGAGGCCCATGGCGCGAGGCTGTTAGTTCTCATAAGACCCAGTATGGATATAAGATTAATATATTTTCTTTTTAAGACGGGTGATTACAACTTTACCTGTTGTGCAATTGCTTCGTGCTACTGCCTCACATTTATCCAACACGTTGTTCATTTGTGCATTTATACCATTGAAATCTTGTTTCAGTTCCGCTGCCACCAATGTCGCATTGCACAAACCTCAAATAAAACAATTTGATGTCGCTCATACATATGCAGATGAACTAATCACAATGATAAACACTCCATTTAGTCATTATTCGAGCATGCCGTTCAATAAGTTCTTCTAACTAACAATTTTGTAAATGATTTTTCTCATTTTTCTACGAGATATTATTTTCTTCCATGGCGCTAAACAAGTACTCATAGTTATGTCGTATATAAAATATATTTTTCTACTTCAGAAATTAAAGCAAGTTTCATAGAGAACAATAAACAATGTGCAAATACGGATGTGACAATACAGTTTTGAAATGTATAGGACATCTTAGGTTCATACTAAGATTATCGGTAACTAACGATGGCCATACCTTCTAAAATTGTTGTGATGTTTTATGAGAACAAATAATCAAATCAAATAAATCAAATGTACCTTGTGAAGACCCTTTGCTGACATCAGTATCATCGAACTGTTTCTTAAGTTCAATCATATCTTCTTTGATCTCAAGAACATTGTCTCTAACGTTGGATTCACCATCCCTTAAATTGGCCACATCGTCCCGTAGATTTGATACCTCGTCTCGTATGCTGGCTAATTCTTCTTGCAGGTAGTCTTTCAACGCTGTTTGGGTTTTAACCAGAGTATTGACTGCGTTCTTAAGATTCAGAAGATCGGCTTTGATGTTGATGATGCCTTGTCCACCTGATTTCTTCTGCGCTGCCTGAACCAAGATACAGCCAAGACAAAATATAAGCCACTGGATCACCATATCACCTTTTATGTCTATGGAAGGTTTGAAAAGAGCCGTTTACTAGAATAAAAGAGAGATTGCTAAATCATCAAGCTAATAAAACACTCACAACCATATTTGCAATGTTGCCGAGCTCGTTCTGATGTACGTTAAACATAACAGGATGTAAAATATGAAAATTTGGGTTCAAATTCTAAAATCTGAAAGTAATTTACGATTTTGTAGAATTAATAACCTTAGTTGTCAGGATGACTAATTGACATCAAAAGTTCTGTCTGTCTTATTACTAAAGAATGAAGGACCTTAGATAGCACAGTTGTGTGACCTAGTTTGATGACCTTGAAAATTTTACTTAGTCAGAGCTCAGTAAGGTCTTTTGTGATTAAGCTAACCAAAATTTACATCCAAAAATCAATTTAAAAAATCAACTTTTTGACCTTTCGAAGGTCACTGAAGGTCAATTAAAGGTCAGATTCTAGAACTAATGTCAGATTTGAACTCCTGACAACTTGTAGATGATTTTCAAAAAAAATTGGTCAAATTGAAGCAAGTTGAAAAATAACTTATTTTTACTGTTTTTTGACGTCAAATATCTCAAAAATTGTAAAATTTGATGCTGACATATATTGAGCAATATGTAGGGAATGCTTTAATCTAGTAATGATGTTATTCATTGCAAGAAATGATCAAGTATAAGGCAAACTTTGAGAAACCTGTCAATCACAAAACCTGCCATTGACTTTATACATGAGAAAGTTTCCTGAAAATGTTAAGTCCTACTTTTTGTCAAATTTTATTGAGTAAACACCAAAAACTGTAATTCCAAGAGCTTTGAAATCTTCAGAGGACATAAGTTGCATATACAGCAACTACTAAAAGTTATTTGAAAGTTCTACTTCAACAAAGTGTCTAGTATTTACAGAAAATTTGACTTTTTGACGTCAAAAACCGCAATTTCTCGGAAACTGGGCGAACTTGGGAAATGGCGATGATAGGTCAAATATGCATTATGGATATGCATAAAATGAATGTGGCTATGACTCAATCCGAATAGCAGTTTTAATTTGTGCGGCAAATGTTGACGGACGGACGTACGGACCAACGGACGGACGGACGGACCAACGGACGGACGCCTGGTTGATCCCATAGGCTCACTGTGTGAGCCAAAAACGATTCATTATAACAGGAGAAAACAATATTTAAAACTAAAATCTAAACGTTACCAAAATTTCAGTTTTTTTTTAAAATAAACCAGACACATTACTCAACTACTAATTTAAAAGAGCTGCTTAGAAATAGATCAAACAGTTCGATTATTTGGCAAGTTGTATGTGAGCTATTTTCACAGCAAAATCGTGTATTCATGAGCCAATCAAATGTCCTCTACTTACAAGTTAGTACGTATATAACGCGTCTCGTCCCCCAGCTGTTCTTTAATACGCAATCTCTTCAAAACAAAATACTAGACTCGTACAATGTATGAATGATATTAACGATTGCGGCATCACCCTGTTATAGCATGACGGTTACGCCACCTCTGAAAACGAGGTTGGACGGCTACGTTCACTGATTTATCCTATAAAATGGCCGCGATGGAACAGAAAACTAAGGTCGATGCATTATTTTCTACTACTGTGTATAAATGAAAGGATAAACGATTTATTTAAGCATCGCATTCGGTGATGCATTCAGTAATGTATATTTTGAACGTAGTCTTTGCAAATTGATGCCCGGGGATAACATAAAATAAGCGAAAAACTGTTGAGTTTGAAATTCAAAACTACACCCAATTTAGTAATTTGTTTAGTTTTGTCAGGGCATGGTCTACATTGGCTCATTGCCTAACAACCTCGGGGTATATAGATGTAACCTACATACGATTATACAAAGCCAAATGAGCGTTCGAAACCACTTAATATGTTCCACTCAAGCTATAATAATGTATTTTGAATTTGCGGTAACGCAAAAAATTGCTGGGTGGTTACGCGAACCTCGTCCAAATATTTATCCCCGATTCATTGTTATTAATTTTGTCATATTCATCAGTACTCAATGCTAAATCTTCTTTTGCCTCTTCATTGCTATATTTTTCACTTTCATTGGTTTCATAAATAAAGCAAGCCACAGTTTTTCCTTGCCCTATAGAGGCTCAAACAAGAGCGTCTCTTGCGAGCCCTGAAAACAAATATAAGCAATTAAATATTCCATTTCTTACCCATTATAACAATATCATGGAAAGAGGCTATCAGATCTAGCAACCTTGACTTGACAGGTGTACATGCACGTAACCGTCCGCTCAATATCTAATGCACAACTAATACAATACGTTACCGTCCATAGAGTTCATACGTAGTCTTCTAACGACATTACGTTTGAAACCTTATTATTTACAATATACACCACGTTCCTGTTCTGGATTTGTCATTTTATGGCTTGTTTATACACAGTTTACTTACAGTTAATATTTTGAGTGGCTTTGAGGCACATATACTGAGAAAACACGAGAATGGACTAAAAATTATGAACTTGGATATTCAGTCGGTAGGTTTACAGCTTATATTCTGCTTCTTGTAAAGCACCTGGCAGATTTGACCCAGTCTTTATAACCATAAATATATACGTCACCGAATGGAACTAGTTGAAAAGGAAACCTTATCTGCGAATCTTGCCTACAGGTGAGAAAGAGGACATGCTGTCTTTCCCATCCGCCATTTTTTGTTATCGTTACCGCAAAATTTTGCAAATCGCCTTGACGTAACCGTCATGCTATAACACCGTGGGTATAGTATTCATTCGCGAGAATCGATAGAAAATAATAATAAATACATACATTTCAATACGCGTAATTGTGTTTTGAAACTTAGTATTTGTTTGAGGAAAAACAATAAACCCGTTAATACCATTTATTGAGTGTTTATTTAATTTAGCTAATCAAATAATTTCTCACCATATTTGATTCAAACTTTTATTTTGTTATCTGTACAATAACAGCTCGTGATATTTCTGATATTATGGAGATCCGTATGGTCTTTTCAAGAAAAAGTGTTTATTAGCCCATATATATGCGGCTGATATCGTTTCCTGATTGTAATCATGGGATAAGCCCATTATCAGATCATTTCTCGTGATACAATTTCATCGTTGATATTGAATTAAGATTTGTTCGCTTCGCACACACTGTAAATATTTGATATCAGCTTGTGGATAGAAATGATATCATGATAATGATAATAAATTGTCTTATTGTACTTTGAATAATGAGATGGTTCCCCTAAGATACCACACGGGTATTTGAAATACACGGGTATTTTTTATACTTTTATTCATATAAAAATACGACATCATTGTACAAATAATATATTCTGGATTAGAACATGCAAACTACATGCTCCCGATATTATATTTTTTCCCCAGTCCATACTCTTATTGATGAATGAGTGATAACTACTATTTAGATTTAATATGATTGTATCAATCGTACATATTTATATTTATTCAGACTTTTTTAATAAATACATGTACTGTAACACTTAAAGACAAAATGACTTAATACCTCATTAAGTATATTTGTGCCTCGCCTATTAACGTTTGTCTAGCTTATTTTTCGTCCTACATCCATGGGTTTGATACAAAATTTGAAAATATAATGAACATGGTATGCGTTTATAATCAAGAAATTGGAAAGGATATTAAATGATTTTTAAGAAAGCATATCTATTCCTGATTCGATGAACCAAAATGCAAATTGTCAATGATATGTATCTCGCCGAACTCGTTTAAACAAACTATACTGGTGACGATTGGATTAACATTACAATGCAATAATCAAATAATAAAGCCATTTCATAGTTACGTTACGTTATGTTATTTATTTATTTATTCACTTATTTATTTATTTCCATAGTATATTTCTATATAAGGATCAGAACTACATTCAATGTGATTGAGTTGGTTTAGTGTGTATATTTGGTCTTATACAGGGTGGTCCAAAAAAAGTGAACCCCTGCAACGGGCTATATTGTCCTTAATACTTGCATGAATAGACTCATATTATCACATGTTGTCAAGAAAGGTCTAAAGTTTGGTTGATGCCATAATTTATGCTCAGTCTTAAATTTTGAAGAAATTACAAGCGTTTAACAAACATGACTAGAAATTAGATATTGTACAAAATTTTACCTATGTGATTCATGGAAATTGTTGAAACACATTGAATGATCTTAAACAGCTTTCAGTTAGAGATACAAGTTTAAAACCCTACCATATGACAAAAGGGACACTATTTAAGCAAAAAACACATTTCACACTTTCATTGATCATTTTGAAGCAGTTTTAACCGTTCAACAGTTCAGGGGTATGTTATCTACACCAACAGTTAGAGGGGGCCTCTCGTGGAAGGAAGTTGCCCCCTGTGACCAGAAATCTGAGAAGCCCTTCATCAAATATCTTTAAAAAATCAAAAGAAAATCCAATATTCAATGTTTTGAGCCATATTTCATTAGAATTAGTCCGTGATTTTTGAAGATATTGACATTTCAAGATCATATAGGGGTATGTTCGCGATTTCACTGGAAAATGTTTTCGGCTATGGAAGCTTAGAATATTTCCTTGGATCACAATAACTTTGAAACTAACAAAGGTAGGATGCTAGGTTAAAGCCATAATGTGCGAGATTCAAAATTGAACAAAGTCAGAAAATATTAGTTCTTTACACTGTGGCTAGTCGATCTATGTGGATGCAGTCAGGCACATGTAATGTTTCGTGAGTACCCGCCTCTGTACTTTTCAATGGAAGAATTTTGCACTTCTGTTTAAATAATCTATATTTACTCATCCGTGTATATCATACTTCATTGATTTACAAAACCAAAGCTACGCTATAAACACACATTCTCTGATATTTTTACGGAGAATAGATAACTCAAACGAGTTCACTCGACTAGTTTTATCATCTCGCTCATAGCTGTGAGAAGGTATGTATAATTTGCCATAGGTTTACCTTGTAATGGGGAATAAAAAATTCAAGTAATATAATTATTTCACATACACAAATATGTCTGTGTGAAGTAAAATACAAATACAATGCGTTCTATAATATTTTTGGAGTTATGGTATGAAATATCAGCTTTAAAAAAGCAATTTAATTATGATCAGATGATGTATCATGTGGATTAGTAGACGTTCTGATTGGATTCATTGAACAGACTGGCTAGGTTTCAACTGAATCATTTTGAATGTGTGTTTTTTAATATTTTAATCCACAGTGTCTGAAAACAATAATAATGCTATATTGGTAATTGGAAAAATTCCACTTACCACGATTTCAAAAAATTGTAAATAGATAATACTATTCTTGAATGATGGTAATTTGTTTCAAGGAATCTGGAGGCTCGTTCAGCTGAGCTGACAAAATCATCAAGATTTACGGATGGTCCATCTGTTGGCTGCTCATTGTCACCTTCAAGGAATGTTAATGCCTAAGGGTATCGCAAAACCATATTGATTGACAATATGGACATGGACACAACGTGTGACTTCAGGCTGATTGACCAATCAAAACGTTATCTTTTTTTTTTATCATAATATATTTATTATCATTTTTACTTTTACAATTACAATTTACAATACATCATAATTCACACACATAAACACAGTTTTGGATACTTTTAATCGTTTACAATATTACCTCGTTGTTAACGAATATAAAAACATAATAAAAGGGACATGTTTGTACAACATAATCATAGTATACAGGTACATAGAATGGTGAAAATAGAATACTAGGTAATAAAGACGCAAGTAAATACAGTTAGGTTTGTGTTAAAAACGTATCTCTAGTTTGTTAAGAATAGAAATCCATTTTTTAATAAAGATTGGCCTAGTCTGGTTTTCTGTTGATATTCTTAATTCATTTTTTATTTTGTTTCTTAAGATATTTTTAAAACCGTTGATGTTGATTATCGAATTACTCAATTTGGAAGAGTGAATGTAATTTTTGCGTAAAGTAGGCAATAGTTTAGTACGGATTTATTGTCATTTTCTTGATTATTTGTAACTCCTAGTAATATATCCCTATTGTTTAATTGGATGTTATTGAGAAAAATTGACATGTCATTCCAGAAATTCACTACTGTTGGGCAATTGATGTAGAAATGAAGGGTATCGTCGATTTGGCCAAGGTTACATTTGTCGCATAAGTTTGATGCTGAGATTTTTTTATTAAACAGAAATGAATTGCATGGCGTGAGGTTTGATAAGAGTTTATATTGAAAGCTTTGTATTATTGGTTCACGGGCAACCTCAAAGGGTAATCTAAAGGTCGATTTCCATTCATATTCGGAGAGATTGTATTTTTCATTGAAGTCGTTTCCCTGTTGGTTCTTTAAAAATATCTTTTATAATATACCAGTATATTTGTTTGGTGTTGATGTGTTTAATATTTATGATAGATTTTTTTACTTGAATGTCGTTTGCACCTAGAATTTTAATATTTTCATGTTCATTTCGCAAAAGCGTTTTCCAATTTCTCGGGATAGCATGAATTATTCCATAATATGTTACAAAAGGTGTAGTGATATTGTACTTTTGGAAGAAATCTTCGTATCCTAGTAATTCTCCATTTTCTTTCATAAGGTCTTTGATTTGTTTTACTCCTCGGATTTTCCAATTTGTGTAATTTACTGTTTTATTATTTATTGTTAACCATTTATTGTTCCAAATAGTTTCGTTCATTATTGTAGTTTTATCATAGGGTTCATCGTTGTGAACTTTACTCCAGGTTTTCATAATTGAGAGATAAAAAGGTGGAAAAGTATTAAGGGCATCATTTTTGAATTTTGCTTGAAAGATTTCTTTTGAGTCAATATTAGGGAATAATTTATAAAAGAAAAGTTTCCATTTGGCCCCGTGGTTATTATATAATCTCTTCACCCATTGTATTTGTAACGCTTTTATTTGCGAGTCTAAATGGATTGATTTGATTCCTCCATTTTCTATTTCTCCTATTGTCGTATAATTGCTTATTAGGGGTGGTTTGCCGTTCCACATAAAGGAATTAATAAGGTTTTGCACTTGTTCGATGATATTGTTTGGAAAGAGAATGGTTGACGCAAGATATGTTAGTTTCGATATTGCAAGAGCTTTGATTATTGTATTTTTAATCAAAACGTTATCAGGTTGACCTGCATAAAAAAGCAAACTACCCGTCTAGGACTTGAAATTCAATGATCTGATCGAGTGTTTCTTGAGAGTTACAATATATTATGTTATTAAATGTACATTGGAATGTAAGCAGTCATTAATACTCGTCTAAATGAAATCATGCAATTCAATGTTGATTCAAAATCGAAACTGAATTCGCGATGGAAATGCACGAAGACCTAGTCAGGCAATGTAGGGCCGTCGTTGATTTGTCAAATTTTACGGACAAAAACATTTGGTCGGTAAAGCACATGGCTTTCTCTTAGGTACAAGGCGGTCATAATAGAAATCAAGATAAGAAAAATAGACCGACTTTGGCAAGGCTATGAAACTTGATTTGTGGGTATTCCAGTGAGTCGATGGGTCTTTTGCTCTGAATTCACTTCATTAGCGTACCTAATTTCAACATTTTCATTGTCATCTTTACATGTTATGGACCCGTTTCTCAAATTAACAATATCAGCGATAAAACCATAGTTTTTGGCTCACACAGTGAGACTATGGGATCGACCAGGCGTCCGTCCGTCCGTTGGTCCGTCCGTCCGTTGGTCCGTCCGTCTGTCAACATTGGCTGCACCAATTACAACTGTTATTCGGATTGAGTCATTTCCACATTCATTTTATGCATATCCATAATGTCTATTTGACCTATCATCGCCATTTCCCAAGTTCGCCCAGTTTCCGAGAAATTGCTGATTTTTAAATTTCGAGAAAAATCGATCTGACGATAGCCTTATAGAAAGTCAAGAGAAGTGAAGAAAAGATTGAAAAAATACCAGTCCAGTCCATTTCCAGGTCCAAGTCCAGGTCCAGGTCCAAGTCAAGGTCCAGTTCAGGTCCAAGTCCAGATCTAGGTGTAATTCGGTTTAAACCAGGTCAAAGGCCAAGAACTAGGTCAAATCCAGTACTTTGTCATTTTTGTCAATTTTCTCAGTCGTCCTTGAATATTTTTGCTTCGTTTTTTAATCATATTCCTTGGAAAAAAGCCAATCCCGACAGGCAAGTTGTTTTTGATCACTCTTACCGTTTTTGAGATATGGCATCCGAAAAGTAGGTCACAATAAAAAATTCTTGTAATTCAATGTATAAGTTATGAAATATGTGTAAAATTGTCCAAGGAATCCGAATCTGCAAACCAGATTTTGATCCGACTTCCGGTTCGGAAGTTATGGCATTTTGAAATCTCAAAAATCGCTATTTTGGTATCCCATGTTAAGTCAATGGGGCTTGAGAAAATTATCAATTGTAACAACACAACACTAGATACAGCTTGGATGCAGCCAACTTAATAAGAATCTACAATAGAAGCCGTCCCTCAAAATCTACTTTCCTTCAAAATTTGAACACTAAAAGGCCTAGGCCAAAATCTAGGTCAAATTCATAGTTTTTCTTTTGACTACAACAAATCATCTTTAATTGATCTCATATTTACCAATACTTTTGTTTGTAAATCAGGATATACATTCCTCTGTAGGTTCTACACTGTGTGAGCACAGGACCGTGGGTCCTTTATTTCATCTGTAATGGCATTTTCCAGTTGATGGGTTTATATATAGTATTTTCAATTTTTCATGAGGGTGCCTTTAGACTACTTGTAATGGGGTGGCTAATTACTTTACTGAATGAGGAATGTTTATCCAAACAATGGATACAAAGAAAACCTGGCCAGTTGTCCATCAGTAAATAAATCATCATGATAAAAGTATAATTTATTAAAGCATCCATTTGTTACCGTTCTGAATCCAAATGTTACATAGGTGCATCCATTTTATACATATATGTTGACGTTTACGAAATGTTTTTCAAATATCTTCCCTATAACAGGAATATGGTAGCTGAAACTTTCACACATTGTCATACTATGTATATTGAATATGTGTGCAAGATTTCAAGTCACAATGTTAAGTAGAAACTCTGAGATCACTTACCTCGATTTGCTGTCATATTTTTGCAATGATCCCATTCCCTATAATGTACGCGAGTACCCACGATACATTACATATAAATGACTGCATCCACATAGATCGACTAGCCACAGTGCTTTAAGACTGCAGCTTAAACATTTTCAGGGGAAGGGTGTTGAAGGGTCGAAGAATCGCGGATATTGAAAATAACATTTTATCCATTTTCAGTAACATTTGGTTAGGGCTTATAATTTCTGCAAATTTCAAAATTAACAAAAAAATATGGTACCAACATAAGTTTTAGACATTCCTCTACATCATGTGAAAATGATAAAAGAATTCAATACAAAATACAATTATTTTCTGAAATTATTGAGCGAGCGCCTTAAAACGTTGTACACAGATATCATTTTTCATCGTATGAGATGCATGTGCATCATTCCTGTAAAACCACAATCGTACATAAACCTATTTATTTCTCATCTAATTGTTTATCAATAGAATTGCAGATACGAATTTTTGTCATTTAAGGGACCCCTCCTGGGGTCCTACATATAATTCATAGGATTTTTGATATTCTTCTCCACACTTTTTCTCCTACTTCCAGCTAGGTTTCAATAATTTCCTGTATAGCCTCTCGCCTGATCTTGGCTGAACTTGGTGGGGAATTGTTTTTTATCTCGAACTTTTCATTTTTCTATTCAAACAGTTCGGCCTTTCTTATTTTTTTATTCAAACTGTACGGCATTCCGCAAGTTATTTGCCGCATGCGCATTACATCGATATTTCATTTCTGAAGCGGGAAAAACTTGAGAACTAGATTTTCTCTCATTTTTATGAATTTTCGTACGTGGTACCATATCGTGAAAAGCATACTCGTAAAATAGCTATATACAGCTAGCACTGATAATACAACATCACGGTACGTAAATTGAAGGAAGTATAGGTTGGGATCATTTTTATTTTCAATCTTTTTGGAAGCTGATGTTTAGTTTTCAAGTGTGCAATTGCTCATTTAAAATATCAAACACTGAATATATAAGCGCAAAAGCCAAAGGGAAGGGTGACTAAAAACTTTAAATATCAATCAATTGGGGTCCAAAATTATGGTCTAGGACCCCATCTGGGCACTTTTTAGAAAATGTTAGGCTATTTTCTAAAAAGAGGATTCTGTTTTTATCGATTTAACCATACAGAAAGTTTCTTCTGCACTATATTTACAACTTCTGAAAAGGGGATTGGTATTGGAATGCTTTAAAGTTAAAAACCACATATCCCATGTTATTTTCCCATAGGGAAAACTCGTGCTATCCATTGTTTTCAGCATAATGTTGGTCATCGAAAATTTATATCTTCGAAACTAAACTTTCAATACCATTCTACTTTTGAAGAAGTTGTAGACCCCTTTTTGAATAATCTTTTCATGCAATAAAAATCAGAAAAGGGAGATCCTCTTTTTAGTAAATAGGTTGAACATTTTGAAAAAAATGATTGACATGGGTCCCTATTCATAATTTTTCGAAATGTTCGATTGATATGGCATTGCTTCTTTAATCAATGGATATGAGTCAGTCTTAGTATCAAAGCTTCTTAAAAATTGATTATTCTTGGCCCATCCTGTATACATATAGTATATTCTTTTTTGTCTTTTAAGACTTGTTTTTATTTTATGTTGGTGACAGGATATCAACGTATGTAGACATTGCCACGTGGGATATCAACATTTTTCACATATCGTTTACCCGAGCCTTCTGCACATGGGTCAAATTTAGGAATACACGCAGAACTGGCAATGTCAAAGTTAATATAATCTTTGCCATCTCTCTGTAGAATTAAGCCACATATTGGACTCCAGTTCACGTATGTAGGGGTGTCATCTTTACATTCTGGGTGTTCAGTTGAAATAAACTTTACAACTTTACACGTGATAGGACCCTCTTTATCTTCTTCCAAAATACTCCCTTTGCCTGTACATGCTATCCAATTGGCAAGGTTTGATTTGACAACAAAATCCGCATTTCCTATTTGCTTCCAATACTTGAAATTCAAGGCACCCAAATCATCTTCTGATTCAGGTGGGGTAGTTGAGACGGGGACCTTGACAAAAGGAGTATAGATAGGTGACATAAAGATATTGATATCCCAGTTTGGCCTAGGAGTGACATCATTGCCTTTACTCGCAAAGTTATTATAATCGGTTAAGGTGAAAGTCCACACAAGTGTAAATCCCCCTCCATCAGTTACCATGTCGCAGTAGAGCCTGGTAGCAAAGTCAGGCGTTAGTGCAATCCAGTACAACCCGGAAGGAGGAACAGGACGTCTTAGTTGAATGATTTCCAAGCAAGACTTGGCTGCGTGTGCTTCGCTACTTCCTAGTAGAGGATCTAAACAAAAGAAGCGAAATTGCTGTTCTGGTTTTGATACCGATTATGCTGATGAGTCAGCAGAAAATTTCTTTGCGACTAACAGGAACACTTTGTGTGGAACCGACAGTTATTTTGTAATTTGCTTTATTTATGAGCTAGGATTTGTTTGTAAAACCCCCGGACGTGATCGTATGTGAAAATTTATACGTTGTACAGATGCTATTTAGCTTAAGAGTTTAAGCTTGCATATAAAATTGAAACGCCAACCTATACGTATGGTCAATCGCCCATACAAATGCATTGCTTAAATGTTGTCCGTTCACGTTTAAGTTGTCAAGAACATTGCAAGCTTAAACTCCCTAATGTATACTGCATTGCTAAATAATACATTGAACATCTGCTTCTTAAGTTCCTTGATATTAGATGTGAACTACCAAATGCTCAAACCTGTGATGTTATTTTTGTGCGCTAGAAGTGGTCATTTTTGACATCTTTTGACATTCACAATCACTCTTTTTTATCAGTGAGAACCATTTTTTTCATAAGTAGAGAATGTTCAAACCAGGTAAAATGCAAAAACATAGGATAAATAGTTCATGTGAAAAAAAACATGCAGATGCGGTTTATTCATCATGCAATTTTACAATGGTTTTGATAAATATAGAATAAATGAATGATACTAAATGATGTCAATGAAAGGCCCTTTGTCATTTACTCAGCTGTGTTAGGCATCACCAGTGGTGAAAGGATGATAATTTCTATGGAATATATTAAACAAACCCATCGTGTGCCATATAAACAATGTTTAATTGCAAACCAACATATATGTAAAAATATCAATATATCTAAGTCCCTCGGTTTTTATCTCGGCTAGTTGAAAAATGATCATTGACCCATGGAAACTAGAGAAATAATTAATAATGATTACATGTGTTATTTTTATTCTAATGTATTGTTTTAAAAGATTTTAGGTGATTTGCACATTACCAACTAAGAACAATTTTGCGGGTGGTGAAATATATTGTTTAATTGAAACAATTTTTGTGGTTACTTATAGCAGGACAAGCTCGATATATACATTATGGTAATGTGCACTTCTTTATGAAAAATATAAGTTAATTAGAGCAATCCCAAGCCGAATTAAATCGTGCCAGTCAATTGTATCCTCTGTAAAAATTCGAGTCTCAATTCATTCATTCCCTATCCTATCTAAGATTTCAAAATCTGAGAACGGGTAAACAAGACTATGTAGACAAGATTTTGTTACGAAAACTCCAAAAATTGAAAATGGTCATATTCAAAATGGACTGTCTAATCTAATATGACACTAACTAGGGAATATTATCCCATGCCATGAAAAGTGACAAAAATCTTGTCTCAAATTACCGTCCAATAACTTCATTAAGCTGCCTTTCAACGGTAGCTGAGAGAGTTATTTTTAAAAGGATGTTTGACCACTTGCTATCAAACAACCTTTTATTTAATTTTCAAAGTGGATTTCTCCCATGTCACAGCACACAACACCAACTTTTTAGTATTCTTGATTTTTCTATCTTCTAATATGGATAATGGTAATGATGTTCGTGCAATTTTTCTTGATATATCGGCTGCCTTCGATACTTTACCCCATAAGCTACTACTTAAGAAGTTACGTGCACATGGTTTTGGTACAAATAGTATGCTACTTATTGAATCTTATCTTACCAATCGAAAAGTAAGAGTGCTTATTGATGGACATGAATCTTCATGGTCAGCCAGCGACTATATCAATTCAGGGGTTCCCCAGGGGTCCATCTTAGGACCTTTGCTATTTTTAGTTTACATGAACGATTTACCTGATAATATTTTAAGCAAATGTTTTCTGTATGCAGATGACACTTCTCTTTATCAGCCCTTCAGCCATGATAATATGCCTGATTGTATAAACACCCTCCAATCTGATCTAAATTCTATAAACAATTGGTCTGATGAATGGCAATTAAAATTCAAACCCTCTAAAAGTGATGATTTGACGTTTAGTAGTCCAAAAAAGAATGAAATAATAACCCCTGACCTAAAATTGAGAAACGGAACCTATACCAAGGTGTGTTTCATATAAATACCTTGGCTTTATCTTTGACTCCACATTATCTTTCAATCTCCACATTACCCAGCTTGCAAAGAAAATTTATAAGCTTTTAAATCCACTTAAAGCGTTAAGTAAAGAACTTAGTGGAAACCATCTAAATCTTATGTTCAAATCTTTTATCTTACCACATTTTGATTTCTGCGACATTCTCTATGGATGTGCAGATATTTCCAAATTAAAACGCATTGACCAGCTCTACTACAAGGCAGCTCTGATTTGTAGTGGAACTATACATGGGTCATCTTCTGAAAAGGTGCTCAATATTCTAAATTGGCCTAAACTAGAGACGAGGAGGAAGTTTCATCGACTGATCCTCATGTTCAATATCCAAAATCGGAAAGTTCCTTCATACGTTCAAAACATATTTGATAAATATAAGAGACAACAACCTCCTCTCTATTTGAGAAATCCAACTGAATTTGTCTTGCCCGCTAAAAGATCTGTGATATTAAAGAAAACATGCATTTTTACAGCTATCTCAGAATGGAACAAACTACCCCAACAACTCCAAGAGATAGACAACTTAAGTACTTTCAAATCCAAATTGTCACTTCTCATTTATCCAGAACCTATCATATCATCTACCTCATTGCATTTACCTAGATCTGAGGAGATCAGCCTTAATAGGACTAGAGTTGACTTGATTTTTCAATCTCATTTTCATGCCCACAACTTTACTCTTGCTGATACACCAAAATGTAAGTGTGGATTCAAAAGTGAAACATCCAAGCATGTCATATTTAACTGCAGACTCCGCAGGACTCTTCTAACTGACTTCGAAACTAAACTAAATAACCTTGAAATCCAATATAAAAAGAATTTTAAGACCCAACAAGAGAAATTGAATTTCTTCCTTTTTGGCAGCTCAAAATTTAACTGCGCTACACATAACTGTTCTTGAAACTAGTGCCTCTTTTCTCCAGAAGTGTGTAAGTGTCTGAGTGTTGGCAGCAATTATCAAACCGTCTATGCTTAATTTATTCACCAATTTGCTTCACCAAATGGATTGTTTTTGTAATAAAATTTTTGTTAATTAACCTCGCGACTTATAATGTTATACAAAGTCGCCTTTTTGGATATTTTCTTTTAACATATATTATTGTATAAATAAAACATGATAAATAAAAAAAAATCTAATATGACAGAGAATGATTTAATTAGTGCAAACAGTCTATGTTATGAATTTAATCAATATTAAAAATGAAATCTATATAAAATATAAAATTGATCAATTACGTCGGCTATTGGCATACACCAGTAACGCCCCTTTTTAGCCCCGTTTACACTGACCGGTCTTTTTGATCCCTTGTGTATTTCCAATGGAGAAAAGACCGCCAGTTTTGACAGGACTTTTGCCGGTCTTGATCGGTACTTAAAAAATCCGATGGTAAACTGTTGAGTCCGGTGAAGTCCGATGGAGACCGCTCCAAAAAGAACATTGGTCTCGACAGGACTCCACCGGTCAAGACCGTTATTCACAAGACTCTATAGGTCTCAGAAGGACACGTGGGGATATCGCGAAAATAGACTTTCGGTCATTATAAGTCAGGTCGGACAGGTCAGTGTAAACGGGGCTAAAGCATGCGACATTTTGAAATGAAATGTATAATGAAAAACAATAAAACTGGAGTGGAAAATGTGTACAATCGTTAATGTTTGTAACTAAAATTCTTCGAGAGTAGCACACGTTTAATTATTGTTTGATCTTTAATTTCTCTAATACGAGATAGGAGTGTAATACGATTTAAACAAATGGCGTAATATGATAATGGATATATGTGAGCACCTGACACGGCTTAGTTAAAAATCAGTCTCGAATTTAAATCCAAAAATGACCGCATTGGCTCCGCACCGAGTGTTTCTGTTCGCTCAGACTATACAGAGTGATTAACGTTTTGATAATTTAACTCAACAAATCGTTTTCTAGATCAATTCAATTTTGGATGATCTTTACAAAAGATCTAAATACGCAGAATGATATTTTTACAATCCGTAGGACAACATATTTGAACAGAATTATCAAAATCATTATCATAAGATAAGAATATGAAATTAAGATTGCCATGGAATGCTTGCTTTTTGGGTACATGTACGTATTTAACAAATGCAACTTTTTCCCAGATGCAATAGGCCTGATTCTTACCTACACAAGTGCATGACTCTTTCCGACGCGATGGTTTCTTGGTAACCGATGGTCTTTCTCCTAAAAAAATAAGAATTTCAAAATGTACATATTAACATGTTGTGGGTAATATATCTTAATTTAGATATAACTGTCGGTTTTAGACTGTAACATTTGCTGCGGGGCTGCACGTTCGACGGCTATTAGAAGTCCATGATTGCACGGAGTCCGGCTATGCAATCAAAGATAATAATTCACCCCAACGATGAATGCAGTTTAACAAAATAATATACCAGCGACACATGCGATCTAACAAAATAATATACCAGCAATGATACTCAGTCTTGCATCCAAATGATCCATCATTTTGGATAGTTCACCAGAGAGTTTGTCATTTCTTTCTTTCATCTCAGTCGACATTTTACGAACTCCATCTTTAACTTCAGTTATTTCATCCTCCAATCTCGTAATATCTCGTCTTTTACATAGGGCGTTACTACAAGTCTGACATTCTATCAAACCTAAAATATAATTTATATATGTAAATAGAAAATGGAAATAAGTCATAATATAGTTTATCTGTAAATTGACTAAATACTACAAATGGACGATGTATTTTGACATATGTGAAAAGTGAAATATGCACAATCAACTATTTTTCTATTTTTCTTCATCATTCCATTGATTTCCTAAATAAAATCTTATCAAATAAAGGATCTATGTAGATTAGGTATAGAAAGGTCCATGTGATGTATGGCAAGTGATTTTAGACAGCCATTATCTTTCACAACGAGTACTTTCTGGGCATAAATACAGTATTTTTATTAAAACAATATGTTTTCCTTTGAGTGAAGTCCCCATGATGATAAAAATATCAATCAAACAATTAGAAAAATTATGAATGGGGACCCAATGTCAACATTTTTAAAACGTCTCTAAAAGTAGAATTGTTTGAAGGTCTAGTTTTGAAAATATCAATTTTCGATGACCAAAATTATCCTGAAAACAATGGATAGCATGAGTTGTCTGTATGACATTTTTTAAAAAGTGCCAAGGTGGGGTCCTAATCTATAATCTTTCAGAGATTTAGATTGATAATCTACTATATTTTGGACTTCACTTGAAAGAAAGCATTGTTTTAATAAAAACAACTGTATTTATAGGCAGAAAGTACTCGTGGTGAAGGATATGACCGTCCAAAATCACTTGCCATACCTCACATGGTCCTTTACAAATTACAATGTTCAGATGCATTTCCCTGGAATAAGCTGGTTTTGAATTATGTTTTTTAGAATGTGTTCGACAAAGTTGTTGTATCATGAACTCTTGATATATATTGACCATTGATTATTCTAATCAATTATATTTAAATCTACTTACTTAATATCAGTGCCAATGTGATTAGGGAGAAATACACACCGTACTGCAAATCCATGTTGTTAAAATAAAAGTTAACAATGCTATAGCTATAACCTAATAAGTTAAGGACGATATGCATCATAATTAAGCTAAATGTTTATTCACCTGCCCATTTGCCGCTGTCAGCCACCAGGATCACATATTATATACATATACAGGGTGTCAAAAAACAACGGCACCCCCCTCCACAGCAAAAACTCCTTTATGTTACATGGCGTGTCATATCTCATTTGAAAGATAATTTAATTCTGGAGTTACTCATCAAATTTCATTTAATAAAACTTGAAATTAGAAAAGCTACATTGTTTAAAAGTTTGCTACTTCAGTACTTTGTTTGCTACTTTGTTACTGGTTTAAGGTCAAATCTTGGAAATGATTAATATGTAGGAAATAGCCCAGATCTCAACTACCCTGAGCATATATGTTCAATTGTGAAAATCAGGGTAGGAGGACTGATGGATAGGGGGCCTCTTGAAAATGGACACAGTAAGGATGTATTTCTGAAGAAAATGCGGAAAATCCTTAAAGGATTACACAATGCTGAACCTTTCTTCAAATCTTCATTGATATCATATTCATCCAGATTAGCTGCTTTTCGAGCAGCAAGTGGTGGCCGTACCACCTACTAACAATCGGCTGTAAATCTTTAAAATAATATCATACAAAGCTGAAATTTCTCAAGTAACTCCAGAATTAAATTGTCTTTAAAATGGGATATGACACACTATGTAACATTAAGTACATTTTGCTGTAGAGGGGGGTGCCGTTGTTTTCTGACACCCTGTATATTCGTTGTTTAAATATCATCGAGTTTCTATACAAAATAAATATGTATTTATTCATACATACATGGAATATTTAGTTTTGTTTATCCATCATTTTATACTATGAATATGCCTCCATTTCAATGATACGATTAAGCTATTCTTTTAGTTCCTTGGATAAAACAGTTAGTGTTCGTTATGGATGATTGGACACGATGACACAAATTATGTTCTTGGAATTCTCTGTTAGTACCGGATCATGATGTCCATAATATAAATGACGTCATTTTCGTTTCAAAACGGGGTTTTCAAAAGCCATCGACTCATACACTTTCAGTGCCCAGAAATCACCAAATAGCATATTCAAATTGTAAAATTTTGTTGACCCTTTCTTGTCAGCAGTATCATCTATCTGCTTTTTCAGGTCAATCATATTTTCCTTGATCTCAAGAACATTGTCTCTAACGTTGGATTCAACATCTCTTAAATTTGCCACATCGTCCCGTAAATTTGACACCTCGTCGCGTATGCTGGCTAATTCTTCCTTAAAGGCCGGGTTCCGGGAAATATTAACACAATTGAACATGTTGAACAACTAATATACATACTTTTTGTGGCTTGGTTGAATGGCTATCCCAAGTTCCGATGTGCCTCATCAAGAAGACGATAGAGTGACAAAGATTATGTCAAGCGGAGTTAATAATTTTTGTGCAAATTTTCTTCTTGGATCGAAAAATTTCATTTTAATTCGATTTTTCGTGGCGTGTCATGGAAAATGGGCGCGTTTTTTCATTGTGCTATATTTTTATCTGTTTTATTGGTTTTGAAACTAGAAACCAAGGATTTTAGTCAACTAAACAGTGTTTTTATGGACTATAGCACCTCTATCTATCTTCCGGATGCCATATCTGACGTAATATGCATCAACAAATGGCTCAAACTATGGATTCTTTACTCAAATTTCTACACCGGAAATGAATTATTTACAAAATGCGGGAAGAAAAAACTTTCACGGAGGAACCTGAACTTTTGCATGGTCGCTGCCATTATACTACTTCTTCTATCAGGGGATATAAACATTCAACCAGGCCCAACACAGGTCCAATTCCCTTGTGGACTTTGTACTAACGAGGTCCGGAATAATCAAAATGCTCTAGCTTGTGACAGTTGCGACATATGGTTCCATCGTAAATGCCTCAACATGCCTCTCCGGGAGTATCGCAATCTCGGAGCATCTTCTATTGATTGGTACTGCTGGCAGTGCCAACTACCTCACTTCTCTGACTCGTTCTTCAACTCCACTGGTCCCACCGAGTTGGATATTTCGGGATCAACTTCTTCTTGCAATTCAAGTGAGTTAAGTGAAGCCAGTGATATTTTTAGTGAGCTGCGACACGTGAGGAGTAAATGTCGCAAAAACCTAATATTTGCTCATATAAATATAAACAGTGTTCAAAATAAATTTGAGGAAATAAAATTTCTTCTCACCGAAGGTCTAGCAGACATTCTCATAATTGGCGAAACTAAGTTGGATCCATCCTTTCACAATGCTCAATTTAATGTAAAAGGATTTCAGTTATTTAGGAAGGATAGGAATCGTCATGGTGGTGGCCTCATGTGTTATATCCGTGCCGACATCCCCAGCCGACAACTACCCGATCTCCAGCCACACAATCTTGAAACGATAGCTATTGAGCTGTCTCTTGCCAAGGAGAAATATCATCTATATGCCTGCTACAACCCCCCCCCCCCCTCGGCAAATGTAGACACTTTTATTGACAATCTACAAACCAGTTTAGATAGATCAATGCTTAAAACGACTAATATTATCTTAATGGGTGATCTAAATTTAGATGCTTTGTTTCCCTTAACCAAGGGACGCCCCCTCATAGATCTCTGCGACAATTTTGATCTGCACAATCTCGTGAGTAATCCTACCTGTTTTAAAGAGACTCCATCACTCGTTGATGTCATCCTCACTACAAACCAGAATGACTTTATGAAATCTGGTTCTTTTGAAACAGGTCTTAGTGACTTTCACCACTGCATTTATACCGTGAAACGTGGGCACTTTACTTCACCTCGCCCATCCAAAATACTTTATCGATCATACAAGGATTTTAATCCTGATGCTTTCAAGGATGAAGTCTCACACATTCCCTTTCATGTTTGTGAGATTTTTGATGACCCCAATGACGCTCAGTGGGCCTATAGTCATCTTTTATCTACTGTAATAGATGATAATGCCCCTTTGAAAACAAAACGGCCCAAAAAACAGCAAGTGCCTATCATGAACTCTACCTACCGCAAAGCTATTAAGCTAAAGGCCAAACTACGCTCTGCCTACTACAAACACAGGACTCCTGCAAACTGGGAACGTTTTAGGAAACAACGAAACACCTGCACCTCTCTACGACGTTCAGCCATGAACGATTATTTCCTGGACAAGTGTGTCAATGGGCCAAAAAACAAAAACTTTTGGCCCACCATCAAACCATTTCTGTCTAATAAATCTAAGGGACAGAACACCATCACATTACTGGAAAATGACAAACTTATATCTGACCCAACTAAAGTTTGTGATATTTTTAATGACCTTTACATTAATATTTGTGATAATTTGAATATTGACCAATCTGGTATTTTGCCAGATCATCCTAGTCTTCTTCATATTGCTGCAAGCACACAACCTGATCAAATTTTTAATTTCCAACCTACTACACCTGAAGTAGTGCTATCAAAACTAAACAGTCTAAATGTTAAGAAGGCTACAGGTGTGGACAATATTCCACCAAAAATTATCAAATCTATTTCAGACATATTAGCGCCATCTCTCACAATTGTAATAAATAAATGTCTGAAAACTTCAATTTTTCCAGATAACCTTAAGGAGGCCGAAGTGTCTCCTGTGTACAAAAAAAAGGACAACTTAATCAAGGATAACTATCGCCCAGTAAGCATTCTGGTCAGCTTCTCTAAGATTTATGAAGGTATTATGTCAGATCAACTTAATGTTTTTTTCAACAATATTTTCTCTCCTTTTCTTAGTGCTTTTAGAAAAGGTTATAGCTGTCAAACTCTGCTGACCAGAATGGTTGAGGACTGGAAAATAGCTCTCGATAATAACAAGTATGTTGGTACGGTCCTAATGGACCTGAGTAAAGCGTTTGATTCTTTGCCTCATGAGCTATTAATATGTAAACTTAAGGCCTACGGGCTATCTGAGTCATCATCTAGTCTTCTACTCAGTTACCTCTCAAACAGAAGGCAAAGAGTCAAAATTGGTCAAAACACAAGTCAATGGAAACGTATCTTACATGGAATACCTCAGGGCAGTATTCTAGGACCCCTTATATTCAACATATTTATGAATGACATATTTTTATCTATGCAAGATTGCAATATTAGTCTCTATAACTATGCTGACGATAATACTATATGTTTTGCGGGTGAATCCATGGACCAAGTGAAGGCTAAACTGATCGATGCATCAGAACAAGCTGTCACTTGGTTTAACGCGAACAAAATGGTAGCAAACCCAGAAAAGTTTCAATGTATGTTTTTAAAGCCTTGTAAAACTGGTGCCGATGCACCCTCTGAACTGATTTTTAGTGGTAAAACTATCAAAACTGAAGATAATGTTAACATTCTAGGTATTACCATTGATAATCAACTTAATTTTAATTTACATGTTAAAGATATATGTGTCAAAGCAGCAAGACAGATAAACGCTTTTAAGAGAATCTCTAAACACCTGGATTTAAATACCCGTATGGTAATCTTCAAGGCATTTATCCTGTCCTGCTTCAATTATTGCCCAACCATATGGCATCACTGTGGTAAACTTAACTCAGTCAAAATGGAATTGTTACAGAAGCGATGTCTCAGATTTGTTCATAATGATTACAAGTCTAGCTATGAAGAACTACTTGTAAAATCTGAGGTACCTACTCTGACACTCAGTAGAATGCGACAAATCGCAATTGAAACCTACAAAATCATTAAAGGCACGTGCCCATCTTATTTGTCAGATTTATTTCAAACTAACACTCACAGATACTCCTTAAGATCAACCAACACAATCAATGTCCCTCCATACCGTAGTTCTCGCTATGGTAGACACTCTCTCAGAGTGGATGCTGCTTTCATTTGGAACAGCCTCCCCAATAAATGCAGATTGGCAATTTCCTTGGGAGAGTTCAAACGTTTAATCTCCCAATGGGAGGGTCAGGATTGTAAATGTGCAATGTGCAAATAATAACTTATCACCTTAATTTTATAAACTAGTCAATAGATGTCTCAGTCATATAGCCAGTCTATACTATGTATCAATTTTATTCTATTCATGTCTTATAGATGTCTCTGTTAAATTATTGTATGCATGTATTTTATTTGTTACACTTTTTACCATAGATTTTATTATACACTAGTCGGAGAATAGCGCTTGCGCTAATGTTTTTGTACAATATAACCGACGTAAAATAAATATTATCTTATCTTATCTTAACTTACGATAGGTGGCAAAAGGTCTAAAGGTAGGTCACGTGACACAAAACAACGAATCATATGACACGAAACAATGATTCATTCACCAGATGGCGCAGTTAAATGAGGTCAATTTTACGACAAACGAAAACCGTTTAGCTCAGCTTCAATTTTGCTCTCGCTGTCGAACGAAACTGAAACTTCTTTCGTCGATATCTAGGTGGGTGATTTTTTTCAGGCTCCGGTATTTTGACAAAAGTAAGTTCACGTCGTAGCCATTCTTAGGGGCAGGTCTGGGGCACCAACGATTTATTTTGAAGTTTTTGTAAGGAAGTATTCCCGATTTCCGGTATTGCACCTTTAAGGTAGTCTTTTAACGCTTTTTGACTCTCAACCAGAGCATTGACTGCGTTCTTAAGATTCAGAAGATCGGCTTTGATGTTGATGATGCCTTGTCTACCTGATTTCTTCTGCGCTGCCTCAAGTAAGATACAGCCAAGACATAATATAAGCCACTGGATCACCATATCACCTTTTATGTCTATGTTGCGTTTGAAAAGTGCTGTTTATTAGAATAAAAGTTAATTTACGATTTTGTAGAATAAATAACCTTAGTTGTCGGGATGACTAATTGACTTCAAATGTTCTGTCTATCTTATTACATTAATGAAAAATGATCCATTAAAACTGTAAAATTTAAACTTTACCAAATTTCCTTTTTGAAAAAAATGAACCAGACACATCACTCAACTACTAAATGATGTTACGAGCTGCTTAGAAATGGATCAAACAGTGTGTGAGCTATTTTCACAACAAAACAGTGCATTCATGACAAATTGATAATGCTATACATCGATCACAAGAATATAAAATCGAAGACCTATCAAATGTCCTCTGCTTACAAATTATTACGTATATAACGCGTCTCGTCCCTCAGCTGTTGTTTAATGTACAATCCCTTCAAAACAAAATGCTAGACTCGTACAATGTATAAATGATATTAACAATTGCAGTATAGTATTCATTCGCGAGAATCGATAGAAAACAATAAATATGTAAATTTCAATTTGCGTAATTGTGTTATAAAACTGAGTATTTGTTTAAAGAAAAACATTAGATCCGTTTATAACATTTATCGTGTGTTTATTTAATTATATTAATTGAATAATTTGTCATTAAATTTATCCAACGATTATTTTGTTATCCGTGCAATAACAGATATGGAGATCCGTGCCCCAAATACGTCTTATATCATTTATCGGCGCCATATATAGCTAATATAGAATTGATATTTTGAATTCTTGATTGTAATCATGGGAAAACCCAAATATCAGATCATTTCTCTTAATATCATTTTATCGACTCCCTTTCAATCACTCGTGTTAATAGAGAGTTTAAGCTAGCACTATTTTTCACAACTTAAACGCGAACGTAAGTTATTTAAGCGATGTATTTGTATGGGGGATTGGTCAAACGTATAGGTTGGCGCTTCGATTTTTCATGCAAGCTTAAACTCCCTAATATTTGATGTCAGCTCGTTGATTCAAATTATATCACTCAAAATGATTGATAATGATAATATAAATTATATCAATTTATTATAAATGATGAGCAATAGATGGTACTCATTTGAGATCATACGGTTATACTAAACACTCAAATGTGAAACATAATAAGTAACGGAAGTTCTTTTATGTATTATAGCATGTTTTATTGGTTTCATTAAATTGTTAACGTTTTTACTCAGCGGATGAACACGTTACCCCTTGGGTTAGCAACATCATTAATGTGATTTTCACCGTATACCCCACAAGGATCGTGTGCTGGCCAATTTGAACCTTTATTTGTATCAAAGAAATAGAAAACATCGCTCGCTCTAAGAACGGGACCCTTTGGCCTCCAAAAGGAAATTCTTGTAGGGACTACATCTGTACATTTAGTTGCAACGACTTTCACCACTCTGCAATTCAATGAGCCATTTTCCCAATCAACAAAGCTCCCAATGTTTGGTGTACACGCGATCCATTGGTTGATGTTCGACTTAATCATGAATTCCCTCCCGATTTGTTTCCACTTCGCAAACTCAAGTGCTCCAAGCTGCGTCTCAGACAGAGGAGGACTTGTAGAAGCAGGGGTGTTTGCTTTAGTATATCCGGTATCATCCCACGATGGGCGAGGGGTGACTGCATTGCTGTCACTGTTAAAATTTGCATAATTCGTAAATGTGTATGTCCATACTAAGGACCAACCACCGTCATCTGTATCCATGTCACAATAGAGTTGTTGGGCCTTTCGGTTACCTAGTGTCACCCAATACAAACCTGATGGTAGTTTTTCTGGTAAACGCTTCTTTTGAATATCCAAGCAAGTAATTCCTGCTGAGACTGAAGCCTCACCATACTTCGCTGAAATAATAAAATATTTTTGAGAAATTCCGTAGCATATATACCTGAGAGTCGAGACAGGGTGTAATACACATATTTGAGCTTCGTTACCTAACGGATCTGCCGTTGCTAGTAGAGAGCTTTCGATATAAGTTATTTGGTTAACTTGTACGTAAACGTGTATTTCTAAATAAAAATACAGGCTGTTACATCATCATCAGGAGCCACCCATTCGTATAATAAATCACATTAAAGGGTCTGTTTGGAGAACACCCCGCCATAAGAGCAAGATATTGAGTTGATAAATTACGGATTTCAACGATGCGATAGATATTACATTCGCAGTCACTGATTGATGAATGAAGTTTACAATTCGGAAACTATTTATTCCAACTGGGTACTATTCATTACAATCAAAGTGATTTTAGTTTGACAAAGCCCTTTAAAGTACAAGTTCTCTAGAGTCCCTCAAACATTAGGAATAAAGCTAGGGTTTGAATAGGGTTTGTTTTATCTGCCGCCCCCCCCCCCCCCCAATATAGGTAAATTTCCACCTACTAATCCCCCGTGCATCACAAGAAACTATTTCAAGTGTATCATAACCCGAAAGAAAGTTGCATGTTTGTATTTCAAACCCACATCGACGTAGGGGAAATCGGGGCAAAACGGGACATTTTTCAGTGTTTTACACTCTGAGCTCAGTCAGTTAAATGAAAGCATTTTGTATGTTAGAAACATCAGCTAATTGCAATAAATAAGGAGATTAAATTCTCATTTATACCCTGTCAATGACCTGGATAGCTGATTTGGCACCTTTTTCAAAAATCATCGTAAAATAGGGGAGGCCGTGAAAAAACGGAATGCTTGATGTTTCTGTTGTCAATTATCCTGCCAGAAAAATGGCCGTTGCTAGGATAATTTGCCAGACAACAATCGAAAGTTCCATTTTACCCTGGTCTTTCCTGCTACGATGGTTTTTTGGCGCCAGATAGGCTTTTCGGGATGTTGCAAGGATGATTTTTGCACGTTTTATTAGTGATCCGTTTTTGTAAGTTCCTCCACATATTTTTAATATAGTATTCTGTCTCAAAGTTAGTAGAATACTCGATCAACATATATGATAAGTTAAAACTAATCGAGTGATTTTCCTTACAACAATGGCAATACAATTTGGTCTCACGCCAACCTATTGACTTTGTTCTTGGTTTATCTATTTATAGGAGGGGCCAACGTGCAACCTTCTATTCAATAAACCATTGTTAACCCAGGATATAATATAAAGAGGAAAGGGAAAAATCAGAGCATATAGTGTGTTGGGCGGCAGATTGAGCGAACCCGTTTGAAAAAAACTCACCTGAACCTGTTTTGGGTACATCTGTAGTGCTTTCAAACACCGCTGGAAACATTTAAACATAAAATTAAGCCTACTTTACTGCCTTCTTGTTTCTTCGCTAGGAAAGTCACTTTAAGAAACTAGTAACTAGTAAGTTTAACTTTGAAAAGGCTTTTTCACAACACAATGGTTCTGCATATATGTACATATTTTTTTAATATTTCTGATTTGTTATGCATACACATACTTTTCTCAACATCCACTCTACTTTTATTTAACTTAAGGTAGCATTCGCGAACCGCCGGCTGGCGGCTTGACCATAAAGTCATTAATTCCTGGCATCCGGTGATGCTGGGCGGCTGCACTTGAGCCTGAGTGCAAACTAGTACAATACTATGGTGTTTAAATAGTCTAATGGATAACGCTAAGGTTAGAAACAGGCTCACCTGAACCTTTTTTGAGTACATTTGTAGTGCTTTCAAACATCGCTGAAAACATTCAAGAAATAAAGTTAAGCTTGCTGTCTTCCAATTTCTACATAGAGTTCCTTACTATATAGAGCATTTCCTCACAATCGTGCATTTATTTGTTACCTAGGTTAGCTGTCGCAACAGTATATCAGAACAGGAGTATCTATGAATGCAATCAAAAACATACTAATACACCAGATATAAATGCAAATAAAATGCGATGAAACGAATAATATACAAGTTACAAATTAATGGAATGAAGGAAAATAGTTTACCAGCGATAAAAAAAACATAGACAGAAAAGTAAATGAGCGATAAAAACAATCAGGCAAAGTAATAGAACAGCTAAAAATTCAATCAAACACAACAACAAAACAACCAAGCCTAAAATGATTTTCAATCAAAAATATAATTATAACAGGGATAAATGGAATCAAAAGCAATAAATAACAGCAATAGATGCGATCAAGCGGAATGCTATTCCAATTTATATGCAATCAAACGAAATAATGTAAGAGCGATGTGATGTATAAAATAAATCAAAAAATGATGTAATTATAAAAACAATAAATCCAAGATCACAATATAACATCGATAAATGCAATTAAACAAAAAATGTACCAGCAATAAATGCAATGAAGCAAAATAATATACCAGCGATAAATGCAGTGAAAGGAAATAATATACCAGCAATAAATGCAATAAAGCGAAATAATATTCCAGCAATAAATGCAATGAAACGAAATAATATACCAGCAATAGATGCAATGAAACGAAATAATATACCAGCAAATAATGCACTTAATTGAAATAATATACCAGCAATAAATGCAATGAAACGAATTCATATATGACCAGCAATATGCAATCAAACAAAATGATACAAGGGGATATATTAATTGAAAATAATCAACAGGCCAGTGATAATTGCAATCAAACAAAATGATATACCAGCAATGTTATTTAGTCTGGTGTCCATCTGTACCAATTGATCCAACACTTTAGACATTTCACCAGAAAATCTGCTAATTTCGTTTTTCACTTCAGTTATTTCTTCTCCTAATCTCGTAATATCTCGTTTTCTACACAGGCCGTTACTACAAGTCTGACATTTTACCAGACCTACAATATAAAAATAATTCATTTATGTGTAAATTGATTTTTTACATAACAAATGGACGATGTGCTACTTGGAACATGTACAATCACCCTAAAATATATGTATGTACAATAATGTCGATATAGTATTTTCCCGGAATATTGGTTTCATAAATAGAGAGTTCAAATATTGCAACATCCTTGGCCCAAGAGTAATTCATTGCATTACATGATCTGCTATGAAAGCAGTGAAGGACCGATCTTGAAGGATGATATTGCAACAATATCTGACTAAGTTGCCCAAATCTGGAATCTTATTATAACCCTTTACGAACCGGTCCATTTTTGACTTACCTGATACCAGTACCAGTGCTCCTAGTGCAAAATACACACCGTGTTGCAAATCCATTTTGTTAGAATAAAAGTTAACAATGAAACGAATGTCATTAGAGAAGCTATTAATTACAATTGAGCAAAATGTTTATCCACCTGTTCCTTGTCAGCAGGAATACATATACAGGGAGGGTCAAAAAATGTTTCTGATGTGACTGAAGTGTTGTAACTCATTTATTATTGGCATGGTTGGTCGTAAACTTTCTGAGATGACTAAGAAGTGGTGCAAGTTTTCAACTTCAATATGTGTGTCCAAGCAATACTTGGTCAGTTTGGCGTATCGATGGAATACATCCTTCACTAATATAGACTTAGAGATTTGATTAGCAGCCACCAAAAAACAAAACTTATTGAACAAAATTTGCACCAATTCTTAGTCGTCTTAGAAAGTTTGAGACCAATCATCATGACTGAGTTATTACATTTTGAAATCAGTAGCAATTATGGCCGACCATGTATATATAGCATATTATTTAAATATCATTGAATGTCTATAGAAAATAAATATGTATGTATTTACTTAATACAAACATGAAACATTTAGTTATGTTTACCTTAAAATTTCATCCATCGTTTCATACTTTGAATAGTCTATACATTCATGTTTATACCATTATATTGCATGTATTGTGTGTCGTTAAGGTTCGACTGGTATTAACGTCGCGTAGCACAAAGGTCCATTTGCAGTATGGCAAATGATATTAGACGGTCATATCTTCCACCATGAGTACTTTCTGGTGGAACATACAGTGATTTTTATTAAAACAATATGTTTTATTTTAAGTGAAGTCCCCATGATGAAAAAAAATCAATCAAACAATTCGAAAAATTATGAATAGGGACCCCATGTCAACAATTATTTCAAAATGTTGAACCTATTTCCTCAAAAATAGATCTTCTTTTACTGATTTTATTGCATGAAAAGATCATCCGACAAGGGGTCTAAAACGTCTTCAAAAGTAGAATGCTGAAAGTTGAGTGTTGAAGGTATCAATTTTCGATGACCAAAATTATGCTGAAAACAATTGATAGCATGATTTTTCCCTATGGGAAAATAACATGGAATGTGTGGTTTTTAACTTTATCGTATTTAAATACCCATCCCCTTTCAGAAGTTTTAATATAGTGTAGATACGTTTGATACGTTTAAATACTAGATAAGAACTCATGGTGAAACACAACCGTCTAAAATCACTTGCCATACTGCACAGACCTTTTGTACAAAACAATTAGTGTTCGTCATGGATGGTTGGATACGATGAAACAAATTCCATTCTTCGAATTTAGCGTTATTACCGTATTAGACCGATACTAGTAATGGTGCTTTCCCTTTGCCACAGAAGATTTCACATATTTACCCGTTGTGCCAACTGGCTCACATTTATCAGTATCCAATATGTTGTTTATTTATTTTCATTAAATGTCGCATTGACGAATTGTCACAATTATACGAGTTTGTTAATGTCATTACGGATGAACTAACCACGGTGAAACTACTTTCACAAATAAGTAATTGGTTTTCTCGATATCCAATAATGTGAGTATGACATTTTACAAAGAAATATCAATAGTTTCGTGTGACCTCCCTCTCAATGCTCACCACCCCGCAAGGTCTCGTATGCTCTGTTTTATAGTATATGTATTGCATCAATATTCGTTTCTTCACTGTATATACATTGTAACTCACCACCCCTATTACGTGTCTCCAAAGCATAAACTAGTAAACTAGCAAAAACTGCAAGGTTTAAAACTAGGTCAACTCAGACAATGATTTAATGACATCCATTAATTTAATGCTTGGGTCACATTTGCTCCGATTCATCGGCCGGCGCCCGGCCAATTGAGTATTTTGTTTGAAAGTGTATACAGTTTTGACCAGAATACTCAATCGGCGGAGCGACGGCCGATGAATCGGAGAAAATGTGACCCAGGCATCACACACACCTTAAACTTATGATAAACTTGGACATAAAAGCATCCGTACATGTACTATCCCATTCTGAGAATGCACCCGGGCTTCGCCTTCGTGCATTATGTGCATGGATTATTATATGCCCTCATGCTTTAATATTCCCAATATAGAATGATACGGGATTCTTTGTTCCTTAAGTATTAGTTTGAGGAAATACAATGAACAGTGAAGTACAGTAAAGTGGCTGAGTTAGAGTGGTGGGAACTTATTTCAGAAATTACTTGAAAATCACACCATCTCTATGGTTTCATAAAATAGAAATATAAGCTGGCTCTATTTACTTTCTTTTGGATATAGACCATATAGTTTAGTAAATACGCTTTCAAACAAGCCATAGTACAAGGTAATCTGATTTTTATTGACTGAGATACGAAGTTTTCAATATTATAATGTGGTATGCGAGTCGCGTTTCGATTCAAATAATTTGAGTAAAAAAATGATTTTTCAAAAACTAGTGATCATATATCCATGAGTTTTTTCTGGGAGGTCCTGAACATGTTTGTTAGATGTCTGCAAAGAAAATGTTTCCATTTTGCGGCTATTTTTAGTCATTTTTCCATCTTACTATGCATATAATTTACCAACTTGAGAATATACTGAAAAGAATTAAACGTGGGTGCCAGCATTTATTGTTTTAATACTTTGTTTCCATTGTTACATATTTTCTTGCAAATTTGATGTTTGATGTCACGGAAAATATTAATATATAATGAAAACTGATGTGATCATAGAAAGTCTATGACACAGGTCAATGATGAAAAACAATATCCACAGAAGAGATTTGATGAGTGCAAAGAGGCAGAAGCTAAGAGGCCTGTAAAACGTTTCACATTGCACTGGGATAATGCTCCATCTCACAATGCTATTCTCATGGTACAAATCATTGAAGCACTGGGGGTCTCCCACTGTTAGGTCATGTACTATACTCTCCTGACTTGTCCCCTTATGATTTTACCTTCATGGTGAGGTGAAGGGGGAGTTGAGGGAGTTTCTCATTGGATGATTTGAAGTCAGCTGTCTTGAAAATTTGCAGGCTATGGGAAAATGGGTTTAAAAAGGTGTTCAAAGACTGGAGTAGAAGACGTGAACTACATGTTAAAAACAAAGAACATTTAAGTCGCGGTTAGTTATGAAGTATGAAATAAGAATATGATATGCCATTTGAATTGTGATTTGAAATATATTATCAAAAGTGTTTCGACTGAAAATTTAGTTTTTTTTGTTTTGATAGTTGCCCCGGGTCTTCATGCTTTCTGTTGCTATGGCAACTATAACTTCAACCAATCACACCACTTTGATCTGTAACTTGAGATATCAATTAAATAATGTTTGAACATTATTCTGTAAAAATTTTATGAGGATTGGGTAAAATCTGAAGAAATTACAGATACTTTTACCTTATTTATTGATCACCCTGTATGCATAAAAATATTACATAATTATTTGAAGTATGTATCAAACGAGACGGTAAGAGTAAATTTTATTTGAAGTTCTAGTTTTTGAGAAAAAAAATTCTGTCATATCGGTTGGCTTTATTTATTTTAAAATATTTTTCATAAATCAGTAAATATAGAGCCAAATATGTGATTCTATGTAATATTTTGATTATGTACCAGTAGAAACATATGGCACCTATAATAAGAAGCAAAATAAACCATGAAAATATGTCAATCCTGCATCTTCTGGCTCAAATACACTTATTTTCAACATGCGAGCGTTTTCGCTAGCCGAGATGCACAAAAAACCAATATCCCAAATCTTTACACTTTATTATAGACAGGGGTATGTCCTGGGAGGTTATTTTTAATACATTATTATCTATTCAGTAGTTTAGGTCCTGGGCTGTGATTTATCTCCCATCCCCCATTTTTCGATATTTCATTTCAAAAATTTTCGACCAAATTACCTATCTCTGAATCTAGGAAAAGTATTTACCCATGATTTAGGGTTCTAAAAAGGTAGATATTATATACTCTCTTTAATATACATCTATCACATTTAGTACCATTTTCTGGCTAAAAAATCATTATTGTTGTTTTTGACTAAAAAAGTAAAAAATACGTGTAAAAAGCTTACCCCTATGTTACTTTGACCTACTTTTGACCCCATTTGACCTACTTGTTTGATATTTCAATACACCTCCCTCGAGAGTTCTGAATGACCTACAATATGGTACCTTAATTTTTACTTTACCTCTTCTACGTTTGAAGAGTGTCCATGAGTGTTATGAAAAATACGTTGTACACATTAAGGTTAAATGATTTACTAATCATATTAATTCAACGATTATTGTGTTATCTGTATTATAACAAATTAACAACCAGTGACTTTACTGATATTATATGGGAATTCGTGTGATCCTTTCCGTTTTTGAGCCCAATATATATGCAGCTAATATCATACTCAAATCTAAACCATAATAAGTAACGGAAAGTTGTGTTTTTATGTAGGGTGTTTTATTAAGAATGACATCATTAACTAGCTAAAATAATTGTTCAGCGAATGAACACGTTGCCCCTTGGGTCAACAACATTATTGATGTGATTTTCAGCGTATACCCCACAAGGGTCGTGTGCTGGCCAATTTGAGTCTGTATTTGTATCAAAGAAATAGAAAACATCTCTCCCCCTTAGTACAGGACCCTTTGGCCTCCAAAAAGAGATTCTTGTAGGGACTACATCTGTACATTTAGTTGCAACGACTTTCACCATTCTGCAGTTCAATGATCCAGTTTTCCAATCAACAAAGCTCCCAATGTTTGGTGTACACGCGATCCATTGGTTGATATTTGATTTGATCATAAATTCACTCCCAATTTGACTCCACATTGCAAACTCGAGTGCTCCAAGCTGCGTCTCAGACAAAGGAGGACTTGTAGAAGCAGGGGTGTTTGCTGTAGTATATCCGGTATCATCCCACGATGGGCGAGGGGTGACTGCATTGCTGTCACTGTTAAAATTTGCATAATTCGTAAATGTGTATGTCCATACTAATGACCAACCACCATCATCTGTATCCATGTCACAATAGAGTTGTTGGGCCTT